ACCTTCCTTTCTCCCAACATGCTGGTAAATAGGCCACGCAGTTTTGCGCCAATTAATTACAATTTTGTCAAGTCACAGCAATTTCAGTGATTCATTACTATGTTCTCAAGAGTATACTGTTTATTAAAATACCTTACAATACAGGATGTTTATTTTTCTTTTCTTTTAAAAAGTCATTATTATTATCTAGAATTTATACACAGCTTGTCTGTCAATTATGTAATTCATTTTTGACATACTAACTGTCTGAGATTCAAGGTCAATTTAAATCTCTTTGAATGAAAGATTGTGTAATTTAAACTGAATTCACGTGTGTGTAATTCCCAGATTCTTTATAAATTGTCAGACTAGATGAAAAATAAACATGGTGTTTACGTGTGTCGGTTATTTCCATGAAACAAGAATACAATTAGTAATTTTTTCATCCTACCATCTTACCATCTAGTTTTAGTGCCATCATTAATGGCTAATATTGTTATTTTTGCCTACACCTAAAATTATAAGTAGTCGTTACAAAGCAGATCCACCAAATCAATGCCCGACATTCAGTGTTCAGTGTGGATGCATGAGTGAATCGTAGAGGCATGTTACCATGTGGTATTTTGTTATTGGCTGGCACTGTACGAAAGTGCCATGACTCATCAACATGAGTACAGGAAGCTCACCACCTCCGACATCTCTATCAGCAAAAAGAAGGCCCCTCAACCCCCCCGGGGCACCTTTGAGGCAGCCGACTGCTGCACTGTGTGGGATGAGCTAAATGCAGAGAATAATTTCTCCACGGGGATTAATAAAGGATACTTTCTTTCTTTATATATATAATTGGTGGCATTTAGTAGTGAATGGGGGTATTGGCTGTTTCATTAACTACTTTCAGAGTTATTTGTTTCTTTTTATCGTGCCTGCGGTTTACAGTTTATTCTGCAGTGGTGTGCTTGACTGCTCTTCAGCCATTCATCAAGGCACTGCTTTCCATTATTTGGTGCAGTCAGCTGAAACTGAGAAAGGCTTTTGGGGTGGTGTAGCTCATTCTTCCTCCACTAACTCTCCTTCTCTCCTCAACAAAGATGTTCCTCGTATTTTTCACCTTATGACCTGGATCAGTGGTCATAAATTGAAATTATGCTACAATTTTTTATGAGAATCCTATTGAAACAGACCAAATTATGTTTAGATCATCAATTGTGACAAAGTACTGTCCCTCATATTCACATTTTTGTAGATGCCCAACCAACCCATAAGACCCGTAAAATCAATAACCTAAAGTATCATGTTCTTGGCTTCTAATATTGTCAGACTCAGATTCCATCAGGCTACGGTCCAAAACTGCACGTGGATAACAGCATGAAGAGGGGCTGGTTGAGATGAAATAAAAGTGTTTATCGTTAATGCACACTCAATGGCCGGCCATTCTCAACATCTGTATTGTATACTCTGTTCTTGCAGCACAGAACTCATCCCACACTAAAATATATAGAGATCCAGAGCAGAGATTTACGTCTGTGTTTTAAAATCAAATCATCAAAAACGTTTACAATCAAGATTCTATCCTCTACTCCCCATTTACATCCATACACTGAATAAGCTGTTTGAGTACATTTTTGTTTTATGAAGAAATGTCACTTGATTCCGTATGAGAGTTAATGTCACAGTTGAGAGAGGTGTCAGCAGCATTCTGACTGCAAAGCACAGCAAACTGAATAATCTCATGTGTGCTGACTTTGTGACTGATGATCAGCGTGCTGGTGGCCCACCTGAATGTGCATCGTAATCTCCCAGCTCAGCGTGATATTGTCAGCAGCAAAAAACGACAACAACAACAGAGCAGCTCTCACATCCATGTGGGCCTCATAAGACACATTGTGAAAGGGAAAATGCTCTTTCAAGGGACCAACTAAGCTTTAAGCTTGAGGACCAAAAGCAGGCTAATGTCAAACATATTTTTGATTAAAAGATAACAAAAAAATACATAACGTAAGTATAGCATATAAGATATATTTTTTAAATATATATACATATATATTTATATAATAGTTTCAGTTTTTGTGTTTCAGTTCAGGTTTCATCTTTTCAGGTTTTAATCTTAACCTCCCTTTCTGGAAAACTGAAACGAAGCTGGAATGGAAAGAGAACAAGGAAGAGAAAAGCTGATGTGATTTATCACATAATGGATTTTTCTTTTACAATAGCACTTCATGATATTCATGGATTAGAGAAAAGGAGTTCCCAGAAGGAAACATGTGAATGCTAAAAAGGCTTATGTCCCAGAACAGGGCCCTCTATGTGGAGACCTCTCAGTTTACAAACTGGCCTATCTGGCCTGTCTTCTGGTTCACATTTGCTGGGGTAAAAAGGGTAAAAAGGCTATATTTGTCTGTGCGTCTTGTGCTGTGGTGGACAAAACATGTCAGGCAGCCTTCTTGCTTGGTGAGAGTCGAAATGCTTCGTTTGTAATGATGGTTTTGTCTAATTTTACCAGCTTGCTCAATGTTTGCAATGTCGCTCGAATTTTTCTCTGCCCCCCCACCTCAACCACATGATTTACACAAAGAAAAACTTGGGGTTCAGACGGCACCTGCTGCTTTTATCAAGATCTCACCAACCCTCGTCTTCTGTGTGTGAAAACTGTCAAACTGCAGTTGACTGAAAATAAGTAGCCCCTCTCATTTAGATATAGTGCTTTGGATGTTAGTGCTTAAAATGTACCACAGCAATGTATTGAGTATTGAGTTAATTTAGCCTGTGGAACAGATATGCTTTTTTTTCAAGAGAAGTCCTACCCGAAGGCGTAATGCAAAAGTGTAGGTTCATTCCTCATTCCATCACTGCCCTTCACTGAGTTGTCTTGGATCATCGATGAAGCAGACAACCTTCAACCCTCCATCACTCCTCTCAGAACATTGTGTTCTGGTTGCTTTTAGAGAAAAACACGGCAACGGTCTAACATAGTCTAACGTAATCTGCCCTTTTACCCTGAAGCTTTTACTGTATCCTTGCGCAGTATTTGTGTTGATCTGTTGTATATAGAGTAGTAGCAGTGGATATTCTGTGGCCATGGGTTTAGTTTTGTATATTAATGAGATAATCCAAGTGACAATTTGTGTTTTTATCATTAATGCAACATTTTAGTGGGTTTTATTTAATCAGTTTTCAAATATTTGTTTCTTGTCCTTAACACATGAAAGACACATTCTGTAAAATAGGTGATTTTTTTATTCTTGATATAACATACCAATTGTTAAAGGTTTTGACAGATGTCTATTAAACGTAATGCAAATGCCCACTCAGGCGAAGTTGAATGAAAAGGCTTTATAGGTGTACAATGGGTGCATGAGGACTCCATTTTTAACAGAATATTATTGGTTTGCCTTCGTGATCACCCTGGAGTTATTCCAGCACAAGATTCTAACCACCTATTGTATACTTAGAATGTGTAGTTCTATAACATCTTTTTATATAAAATGTGCATCAATTTATACAAGTTAGATTAAATATGTGGTGGAATAGCACACACTGTAACATATGTGGTGTGCGTGTTCTAACCAGAATTTAAGGAATTGAGAAATATATGCATTGCTTTTTGGATTTTTACTTTTTTTCATATTATTGTGGATAGTGAGCAGTATACACTGGAGACAGGCAGCACAGATATTGGGGACATGGTAGGGTAGATAGTATAACAAAAATTGTTGGAAGACATGCAGGAGCTGATGACGATATCTCCACATGGTGCCTCACACACAATGCATCTGCATCAATTTTGCATCCATCAGCATCAATTTCCCTTTTTAGTATGACACGTATAGTTGATTTTGCTGGACTCCCTACTGACATCCAGCCAACTGCATTTGAATTATTGTAAATCAGGACGTCATAAAATCGTGACGTCTTTTTGTTGATGTGATATTGTCTGATTGCGTGCGATGAGCAGATAATGGTTGTGCAAAGAAGGAATCCTTAATCCCATCGACATTTATTGTCAGCCTCACCTTCACCTCTAACTTGCAATGGTCTCCATTAGGACAATCGAGGTCATGGAAGGTCCACAGACCTTCTTCCCCATTTGAGCTTGACTAATGAGGCAGACAGCTGCTCCCTTAGTGGAAACCTCCCCGTGCTGAACTGCACCTTGGGGAGGCAGAGACGATGACAATGTCACCTTCATGTTCATTCACAAAAAGAATCTTTTGAAATCAAAAGAAGACATGCCCCCAGATGAGCTTGTAGACAGGAAAATGCTCTCGGGCAATGACAGCACATTCAGCTTCAAGCATGAACTGGAAGGTTCTAACAAAGTTGTTGTGTTCTGCCGTTGTCCTTGAAGAGGCTCACACTTTGTCTTCTCACAATCCCTCCAAAAGAGCATTGGTTTTAAACGTCTGTTTCTAAAGCTTGGCAAAGTTCAATAAAACACCAGCAGGATAAAAATGCTTCTGCCATGTGATTAGGAAACTCTGCTGAGACGACAAGTACAAATGTGGAATAAGAAGGTAAAATCCAGCAAGGCTGGGTGATTAGGCCTCATTTGGATGTCTTCTGCACACTGTGAAGAGCGTCTGTTTCAGGGTAAGCCGGTCGCTCGGATCGAAGGTCCACAGTGTCTCGGATTATGTGTCCATTTACTACCGAGCTGCAGAACATGACTACCTCTAATTAGGCCATGCTACCAATTAGGACCCTGCAATAATGCAGCGAGGAAGCGCTCTGGGAGACTAAAACCTACCATTGTTTCCACCCTGTGAAAAAACAGTTTTCCAGCCCCGACAGCTGTTGACGGCTGGAGTCCATGTCAATGATGCTTTCATTAAGGTTTCTTTCGTTTCCTGTGCCGTAATGAAGATATTCATGCAATAGGGCGATATAATGATGGACCATTAACTTTGAAAGGTGTCAACCCTGAATGGTACATTAATGTAATTCAATGAAAAAACATTAAGAACCAGTCCAAAGCAGCAATCTGTCACGGCCATGACCTCAAACTCTGTCTCGTAATCCCACAGGAAGCCAAGGTCAGTTCCCCATAACTCAGAATGTGACGGTGGTGGAGGGGGGCACAGCCAACATGACCTGCCGTGTGGATTACAATGATAACACTTCCCTCCAGTGGTCAAACCCTGCACAACAGACCCTGTTCTTTGGGGACAAGAAAGGTGAGTAATATTCCGAAGGAATAATGGCTGTAATCATAAAATGATGAGATAGGATAAAGATGTCATAGCAAGATCACATTACTACAGGAGTCAAATTTGGAATGTACAAAATTGCCACTGTCTGCCTGAGACCTCATCATTATTTAATACAGGAAAAATACAGGATAAGTGAGAAATGCATACGGTATTGAAACAGACTTTTAATTATTGTATGAATCTACTAACCGGACATATAGACTGTTGAACTGTATGAACTGAACTTTTGTAATCGCTGATCGCTTTTGTAAACACTGACAGTGTTGTTTCCAACACGGTAATGCCTGTGGATTTTGAGATGATTGGGCTTAATTAACATTTTATCTGCCCTACATTTGTAAAGCGGTTTTGATGTCGCTGAAAAGAAAGTGCACTGTTGCAACCTCGTGAAACATGGGCTGAATCAGGATCAATTATAATGTGCTCTCACCAGCTAAATCCAATTTAAAGGTGACAAGAGTCTGGAGTTGATAAATTGGAATTGAGGTGACAGGGAGTAAAACAGTGGACTGGTCTTGGAAGGGTTGGAGTATTCATCCTGCAGCGTTTTTCACAGGATATTACCCATTCCATTTATGTTATAGCTGCTAATACAATATCATTGGTTCAGTGATTGGAGATTAACTTCCCCTTTGAATAACAATAGAGAGTGAGAGTGAACCAACAAGATGAGAGTCACAGTCTGGTTTGTAGAAATACTTTCTGCCTCGTGAAGTGATTGGATTTAGTAATAAGGTGTTTTATTAGATGAAATTACTTTCAAATACAATTAAACAAAAGCTAACTAGATCTTAAGTATATACTTTTGTGTAAATGGAATGCCTTGAAATTAAATTCCAGCAAAAGTAGTTGAACCAAAACTATTTTTCTATATTCTCTGGTGAATAGAATACAACATTTCAGTTTCCATTTTTGAAAATCCCCAAATTCTATTAAAAAAACAACTCAAAAACGTCACTTCTCTGTAAGATTGAACACATAATGAATCAAATTGTGTTCTCTGGTTATTTCTTTTGGCTGAAAAGAAACCAGTTAGGTGTGTTTTGTTGTCATTCCCTGTGAATAAAAACCCTGTATCCCCATTACAAATCCAGAAGGCTGCAGTTATAATGATGTAAAGGGAGCTTTAACCTCACATTATGCATGAGCCACTTTGCCATTCTTGGGCAGCCATTTAAATTGCAAGACAAAATCCTTTTCCTGAGAAATGCGGATGACAAAATGAATGTGGTCCCCTCAGCAAAGGTTGCCAGGGCTAAGTATGGGAACACTTCCTCTCCATCTCCTTTCAAACAGCCAAATGAAAAGCTTTATTGGCACAACTAATACGACGCCTGTGAGGCCATCAGGAGAAACGGAAGGCGTGGAACAACACAGGATTTGTGTGAAGATGAGGGTGGGACACCTGGAAAGAAACCTCTACTGTGCCAAATTGCCAGTTAATCGCTTGGCAGTGGGCTGCAACTGTCCTTTTCCCGTTTGTTGAGCCTTCTTATAGGAGCCAATGAAAAATGTTGGATTCAACCGTATGCTACATTTCAGTCAAGCAACTAACTGCAGACTGGCTGAGCTTGATGCAGGGCGTCGAACAGCTGATCATAGACTGATGTCATTCTGTAGATTGGATTCATATAGCTATGTTGCATTTTTGGTGTTCTCTGTGTTAAGATTTTTCTTTTCTTTTGATGCCTGCTGTTTATATTCATCTTTCATTTTCCCTGCACTTGTTGTCTCTGTCCATTGCCTCTGTTGTCTACCTCTCCGCTTACAACAATCCCCTCGGGGCGTCCATGACAGCATGGCCATATGTTAGCGTTTGATGCACATGCAAGTTTTTCCCCCTCTCTCTCTTCACAGAGATAGTTTGTCATTGTGTGTGTGCAATATAAAAAAAAAGTAACTGTGATTTTACAGCGTTTATCTGTAAATCCAGATGCTCAACACATACAAGTAATGATGATAAAAATACATCCGCTGCTCTTTCTTAAATTAGACAAAATGCTCTGTTGGGCCTTATTTAAATCTACTCTTGCTCTCTCCCTCAAGCTCTGTATGGAAGATAAGGGCATATGTCTGGATCTGTAGTAGTTTGAGGGAGGGAAAAGTATTAAAATGACCTTTTCAGCAGCTGAAGTAGAGTAAAGAGTGACATCTGTAACGAAGCTGAGGTTTCTTATTATATTAATTGGGTTTGTCTACTGGGTAAATTAAGACAAAATCTGATCTTTGCCCTGACTATAATTTGTTCCATTTTAATTCAGGTCTGACAAATGAGAATATAAAAAGAAGTCCCAAAGTGTGGCTATTACAGACAGGGAAGAAATGGATGTCTGTGTCTTTCCTGAATTTTAAAGATACCAAATCGCATAAGTCTACTCTAGAAAAAGAGTAGGGAAAGGTGGAACAGGTATCTTTTTTCATCAAACGCAACGTAAGGTGTTCAAAGTTAAGACCACTTTAACCACTTTATTTGATATTTGTTGGTTGGATTTGCAATGAATATGAAATGTGGAATCTGTTGTCAAATTGTGACTTTTGTAGGCATTTAATATGGGTCATATGAACCATCAATTAACTCTTTTGGCAAATACAATGCCCATTAATTACTTTAAATATTATTCCAATTAACCTTCGGCTGTGTTATTTTTGCAATTTAATTAAGAGGCCAATGTGAAAGGTGCTCTATTAGTCTAAGAACACCTTATGTCCTATGTTGATACAACATAAACCCACCAGCAGCACAGATGTGGAATTGGAAAAGAAGTGTTTGTGCAGGTGGCACGGAAGTAGTGGGCAAGTGGCAGCTCAATAACTTTGCATATCTTTGGTGAGAGTGTAATTGATAAGAACGACCTCCATCTCCATCCTCTCCCATAAGAGGATCACTAAAACCTTTTGGATCTCCAAGAGAGGGTTAACCTTGCAGGATTCCCAAAGCCAATCCATATGGGTTTGACTGTCTCTGCACATTTGTCTAAAGCTGAACACAGCTTTCCTCTTAAACCACGCCAGCTGGCTCCTTGGCACGCTCTTTCTCATCCATTATTTATATCTGAGGATTGATTGTTGCCACTTTAGAGGATTCAGACTACACTATGGCAGGTAGGTTCCGTCGCAGTACCACCACAAACCTTAAAAACAGAGATATAGCCCCTTAAGCCCGGCCAAGACATAATTCAGACATTACACAAATTAGCAGGGACTTTTGAAGGAAGTGGCTCTGTGATGAGCTGAAGATATTGATTCGGTCATGGTATTTTGTAGAATCATCCATTATTTATATGAGGCTATGGTTGTTCTATATTGTTGTTAGCAGGACAAATGAGAGCTTGAAGTTGTCCTTGTTATGATTAACTTGAATTTCAGCTTATGTGACAAAAAAAGTATTAACGTTGTAGAGAATTGTAACACCATCACTGGAGGCATGCAGGATGCAAGCAGAATCTTTAATCAGATACGTTGAATATGAATAATGAAATTAATGAGAAGTTACTGCGGGTTGCATGTCAAAGCCAGATAACCAATTGCTCATTTGAACTTCAGTATGGGTTTTATAGCAGAGATATGGAGACATATACATACATGCTGTGGCAAATTGAACACCATTTGGCATATCTCAATTGAATCCCTCAGACGTTCGTGGTTCATCATTCATGACATTTAATTGGGGGATTCAGCCTGGATCATAAAGGTCACAAAGAAAAATTGATCTTAATTGGCTTTTAGTAATCAAAATGCTGTTATGTGCTAAATGAATGCCCTAATGTGAGAATTAAAACAGTCATTAGCTTGAGAGAATGAAGGATAATTACAAAGGATGCAATTACTGGTGTGAGTACCAATGAAAACACATGTTAATGTGCATTCTAGTAAACACACAACATTTGATATTGGGTCTGTTTTAGGCAAGTGTAATGATATGTACCATCAGCTACAATATCAGGTTGTTTTTTATATTGTTGTATGTCGCATTACAAGCCATAGCTTTGTTATCACAAGTATTTTATTTACTTTTAAGTAACTGGTTTTATTGTGTCTTAAGGCCTCAGCTAATCTTCAGGGTCTAATGGACTTATAAGTGTCCTCTAGCTTCAATGAAATGTGAACGTTGTGTCTAGTGCCATTAGGCCATCATGATTTTGACTCCTTTACAGTAGTTTATCTTAACTTTATCACTATGCAACTTTACACGTGTACTGTCCACACACCGGGCTATCATGTAGATGCCTGGTATCTTTGCCTAGGATGTACTGATGTTGTGATATTTTTTTGAGGTGATTTACAAAAAGAAATGTATGAATTATTGCTCAGATTTCTTCACCAGTAACATATAAACTGATTTGTACACATCACTCACAGGGATTCCCCTTCATCCTGAAGAAATAAAATTGTTCAAATAGACAAAGTAGTTACAGAGTCATAACACTTTTATATCATGGGTATGCCATTTTCAGGGCAGAGGCCAAAACACAGCCTGAGTGGACAGCCAAAAATATATTCTGTGTCATTCACCACTTGAAGAGGGGACGTAGCATAGCTGCAGGGCTCCTTCCTTTCCTCCTTCAAGCACTGAAAATGAGTCCAATTTGAGAAGCATCTGCTCCGTGGGATCTCTAAGAGTGCGCGCAATAACAATGGCCCTCTGGAACAAGGCCCTTTCCTTCTCTTAATTGCAGCCACATGCGTGGTGAGAAAGAGCCCCCTGCCTGCACAGCTAGCCCTGGAACAGATCCAGAATCGCCCACACAGTCACTGAGTGAGCACAGCCAGCAGAAAACACACTCTAATTGCAAAGAGTGGAGCCCCTGGCTGGACTGAGCGAAGGAGGCGCGGGAAAGGGGGCGGTTGGGGGGTGGGAGGGGGATGCGTTCTCGCTGAAGGACAGCTAGTGCTTTCAAATTCCAGTACTGGTTCAAAGTGGTTACAGGCCATGCAAAAACGGCCAAACGTGGACACTCGGCATTTTTGGTAGAACCCGATAGCCATCTGCTTGTTTATAACACTAATGGATGGATGTAAAATGTCCATTTTCTATCTGGACTGTCAGGAGATACTTCATCATTTGGATTAGAAACATTTAGTCAAATCTGTCTGCTGCTCAGTAGGGTGCCAATGCGAATGTAGCTTCCAACCACACTGTTTGCTCTTCTCTTACAAATCCAGTGAGTGCAATGCATTGGAATAGGTGATTGTAAAAGCTTCTTTACGAGTTGAAATTGATTCCTGGACATTGCACATTTATATTTTTCCACTGGAACGAATTCGAACAAACCGCTATTCTCTTGGGAGACCTCAAATTGGTCTTCCACTAACATGGTCGATGGTGCAAAGGACTGTCAGGGAAACAAGGCAAACATTACTTTGCATCAAAGGACCATTGCACAGTATCCCTTGCCTTGAGGGAGAACTAGGTGTCAGTTTTACTGATTTGAGACAGCCTTGGTAAGGCCTCCATCACAAGAGATGTAGTGCGCATTAAGCTGCCATGCTGCAAGGCTGTATAGCATGCACAAGGTCAGGGTGAAGATTTATGCTTTCTCTTAAGCAGAATGAACAACGCAGGAACTATCTAGGGTTTAGGCGAAATGAACCTTTTCATCACATTGATTTCCTAAAGCACCTGGAGAAAAAGGCTTTGTCAGCCGCTGGCATTTGGGTCTGATTGTGACGGATCTGCCCACAATCTGGACGTCTAGCCTGGATTGGAAGCTAGTTGTAAGCTTCCCTGACAATATGCTGTTTGAGTAATAGATAACAATTGTCTTTAGGTAATTCAAACCTTTGTGAATCTCATTCATCTCATCCGTGTGTCATTCACATGTCATGTACTGCCAGTGCCTGTTCAACAAACATGCGTTAGTCCTGTCCATCTTTTCTTTAACTGTGAGTTGTATTTCAGCCACTATTTAGGTTGGTTTTGTTTGAATGGTAATTCATTACTGGTCAGCAAATTAAAAAAAAGTTTAGGCTCACTTTTGCCTTACACATCCCTTCAAATTCAAGTGTGAGTTACTTGCATTGGCTTTCACAGGGGATTATTTTCAGGATAGAAAATTCTACAGCATTTCATGTAGGATAATTCACTTAAAATAAAAAATGTTTACACCCACAGATTTTGGGTGTAATAATACTTTTACCAAAAGATGTCTGTTTTCCATTGACAAATCCCTCTAAGGAAACAACCACAACATTTAACAGTATCACTGAGGTTGCTGGAGATATTCATTATTTTTTAGGGGGGTTAAGAAGGTCTGTTTCTCCATGCTGAGCACGGATGGAAGGATATTCAGGAGAAGTACAGTCTGTAATATTGTCCAAAGCTTTGAGCTCCTCAGCCTGCACTTCAATATCTGTAGAGTTGTGGTGTGATGTTTGTTTAGACCCCCTTACCTCTCTCATGCATCCATAACAAAAGGCTATTTTCTGCAAAAGCCTCTGGGCATTTTCAAGCTCTGTAGTGAGGATGCTTAAGAACATCAGGCAGCTTTGTTTCCGGATGCATGTTGCTACAATAAGACTATCAAATGTTTGTATTAAGCCCCAAAGCACATAATAAGCTGGCTCTGTGATGGCGGAGCTTGTTGTTCAATTTTAGCTTGAAGATTGTATTTATTTACTCTTTATTCTTGAATAACAAAGAATCTCCAATAATACATGTCTTGGGGCTATCAATATCTCTATAACCAATCTCACTTTTTAGTGTGTGTGATTATAAGATAATGATCATCAAATGATATGCTGTAATTGAAGCAGAAGAGCGGTGTTGTTAATGACCTTAGTCACCATTTGTATGTAAATCTAATAATCATCTCATCCAATCTAATTTAAGTGTTCATCACATGGCTGCTATGTATGTTCATCTCTAACAGTTGATTAAAGATTTACAGGGAGATGTCTTCTTTATGGGATGTAATTTTACATTGGCCGTTTTGATTAAATCCCAAACAACACTTCTGCTGCATTTTGACAGATTCGCCCGGTGCAATCCAATCCAAATGAGTTAAAGTGACTTCAGATGAAAAACTGCCGTAGGAGAAAGTTTGCCAGGCCTAAAGGGAGTGTGGATTAAGAATATGTAATTCATTCAATGAGGATCATTTTCCTCCCTGCCCTCTAAGTCTGGTTGGATGCATGAGCAGCCGATTTTCAATTTGAAATTGTATAAAAGATGTCAGGTACAAGATGACCTTTTTCAGCTTTCTTGTTTGGTCTCCCAGCTTTATGAGTGTAATCTGAATGAGCAGCGGTGAATGTGTCCTACGAAAACACACAAATTTTCATCATCACGATACAGCAAATTTAAAATAATCCAATCAATTTTTCCGCACGTAATACATTCAGGTTAAAATTGGTTATGCAGTTGTATGTAATTCTTTCACAAATTGTGTTTATATGATACTAGCAGTCAATTATTTCCATCTGGTACTAATGCTTAACCTTTAACTGCACTTTTGACCTATATTTGAAAAACACAAAAAGTACTAAATGGCTCTGTATGAAGCAAGGGGGAGGATTTGATATCAATATTTAAAGTATAATATGATAGGGGTTACTATGTCAATCAATACCTGGATTGTAAGTACCCCATAGATTACCTACTGCACTAACTATAAGCGTTTTCTGCAGCTAGGCTTCAGTGCTTCCAGCTGATGCCTTCGGTATTCTCACAGACTTAAGGCTATAATGCAAATGTCTACAAAAGGTTTCAAATCATTGGCCACAACATATGTTTGCTGTAATCAACAAATATTTATTTATTTTAATCGCTATTCATTTCAAATTCCAATTCAAAAGTAGTGTGTTGCGCACTTTTATTGGTGCAAACACAGGTATTCAAGTATTCCCTTTACACAGTAGCAGTTAAAATATTTTGAATCAATGTAAAGAAATGTAATGAAAAAAACAAGCTCCGGGACGTTAACATTTGATCTACATTGTTATAGAAAAACAATTTAGCCTCAGAGTCCAGAGTCACAATCATAACAGTATAACAGGCAAGTTAAAATTCATAAATCTGAACAGGTACCATCAGAACCATGTTTCTTTTATCAGGGAGCAGCATGAACAGATAATAAGGCGTTGACTTGCCCAGGGCTGGAAGTAAATGAAAGCACAGTGCACATCGGGGCTGGTTCTTCTTTATCTTTAGCTGCATTACAAATGGGAATTGTCATCACTGCATACAGCAAGAATTTGCCGGTTAGTAAACTGTTTTCTCTGCCTTTGTCTTTGTGCTAACCTCTCGTCCACAGCTTTGAGGGACCACAGGATTGAGCTGGTACGAGCCTCATCACAGGAGCTCATCATCAGAATCAGTGACGTCCTTCTGTCAGACGAGGGCCAGTACACCTGCTCGCTCTTCACCATGCCTGTCAAGACCACCAAGGCCTTTCTCACTGTTCTGGGTGAGCCTGTCTGCTCTAGAATAGTCTCAACAGGGCTAATTAATTATGGTTAATTCTTCACGTTTTGACAGCATGGATACAAGCCCATTTTTAATAAAAGTGTGTTCTTAGAGTAGTTCTTCGCCACGCAAGTGTAACATTACCTAACACATATAAGATTTCTCTATTACGTTTTACACTTGTCTACTAGAATAAAGAATTGCAAGATAATTGTGCGACGGTATTGAATTGTCTTCCAGGCCGGACAGCTATAAAAAATACTCCATGGGAATCCCTTCAAACCCAAAACAGATAGTTTTAAAGAATATTCAGAAATTAACAAAAATCTGTGGAATGACTATGGTCAAGCATTTCACTGCCAGGCATAAATACATTTGCCTCAGTTATTATCGTCTTTGACTTTATTTAATAATATGCACTTTCCCACTCATATAATTTCTATTATTCAGCCAGTGTTGTGATAATACTTTTTTATCCTGTCTTTTTGTCCTGACTTTAAAACTACAAACATCAACGGTCTAATTCAAAATATTGTCATGCTCTAAATATCAGTTGATAATATTGTATCATCAGAGGAATGCAGTCTTGTATACATGCATTTAGTGTGTTATCTATAGTTATGCTTCCATGAACCATAGGAGTGCCAGGACGACCAGACATCACAGGATTCACCAAGCCGGCCATGGAGGGAGACGTACTCACACTGACGTGCACCGCACCGGGCAGCAAACCAGCTGCTAATATCCGATGGTTCCGAAATGACAAGGAGGTCCAAGGTAGGCATGTGGTGTGGATTTCACAGAGCATTGTATCTTCTGTTACCACCGGTACCCTCTTGGAGACATCATCACTGTTAAGTCTTAGGGCTGTTGCATTCCTTTGTGCTCATATTCATGCATTGTTCCACTGGCCGGGGTTCAGCGCTGCCATGATGTGCAGGGCTCACGGCCAGCCTTGCTGCTGTTGTTGGACGTCGTCCAAATGTTGCTGGACTGTGACAGAGCCTTGACGTAACTAAGGTGAAGACATACTGTATAGGAAAACCATACATTCAATCGTGCATTAGTAAACGGGATCATCAACTGTGAAAATGTAAACTCTGCAGGTTTGCTGATGTTTTTGTCCTTCCATTTAAGATGAGATAGAAAACAGAAGGTGCAAACCCTCATATCTTAGAAGCTAGAACCAGTAAATGTTTGACCTTTCTGCCCAGTAAAAGTAACTCAGAGTAAAAACAAGAACAATTCAGTCATAACAGTTTGAGACTGTGTTGAGACTGCGTGCTTCATGTTTTGTACTATTTGCCTAAAGAGACAGTGGTGTTAATCGATCCCCTGGTTACAGCATCCCTCTATGACCAAACTTAGAGCTGTTGCTATGTGATGGGTTGTTATTGCCTGGTGTTTGTACAGCAGGTAGCTATGTCCTGTATTGTTGTCTTAGCACAGTAACAATTAGATTAGGCAAAGGAGTCCAGGAGGATACAAAAATGCACAAGAATGAAAACCTAGAGTGAACTAATGGGAGAAAAAAATTGTGACAATGCATTGGCAACAGATGGTGCAGTGCGCTGATCACACTAAACTAGCAGAATGTTTCTGTGGTTTTAGACAATATGCCTTACAGGTTTTACCTTTGATGTATACCTCTTTCCAAAATGTCTGAAGCTCTTCACTTTGTATTTTTAAAGCTTTTATATCTGCTATAAAAATGCACAGAAAAAGGCAAAAGCTAAAAAAAAATAGGAATATAATATTTTTCCTCAATTTGATAGCAGAGGTAAGCTGTGTGGAGCACTTTAATGTAACGCTGCCTGCTGTAGAGACAGAGTGTGACAGTTGCTCTTTATTAAAGATTTGCACCAGAGAGCTTTTTCTTGGTGGTTCTGTCTGTGTCTGCACGGCACTACATAATGATTGATGGGAGAGGGGCTGAGATATGAAGTTTTCTTGTTGAAATGACGTGCACGTAGATTTGTGAAAGGCCAGTGGCGAGCTGGCTTACAGCGTCACAAACGGAATCGCTGTCCATCTCGAGAGTCACTGAGATTATCTATTTTTTTGCTTCATGTCTTGGTATACTTAAAAAAAAACTCTTAAGTTCAACAGCTATTGTAAAGATACATAGACATATTCTCATGAAATATAAAGAGTTGATTTACCAAACTTTAACAGCAGCGACAGATGTACTGAATTGATAACTTGTCATGATGACTTGTGGATGAAAATTAAAATGTCATGCCTTCATCTAGCTTTTTTAAATGTGTTCCTATATTAATATTTGATGTAAGGAATAGAATTGAGAATTTCACATTTTTAAAACACCTTATGTGCCTCAAATCTACCCAAAACCGGAGGCTAATGTACTTTTATTAGTTCTACCTGTGCATGGTGGCTTTTATGAACCCGCTTGGGCAAACAACCCTGGTGTGATGCATCTCCACGTCAAAGGGAGATAAAGTACAAAGCAGAGACTGGAGGGCTTGACTTAAAAACTTTATTTCCATGTCAAAGTGTCAGAGAGGAGGAATGTCAATCGGTGCTCTGGATCCAAATCTTTTGTAGGTGCCACGTTAAAGCTTTCTTTAGTGAGTATGTGCTGGGAGCAGCATGTTTTGCCATTGGTTCTTCTGTGGTAGATTATTGCCGCTAGTGTCTGCTGTCAGTCAAATCCATCTCCACTGGGGGACCAGTCTACAAAGCTCCAGGATGACAGCAGGTGTAATAGCAAAAACATGCCATATTTATTTCATGCTCTGATGATTTGTTTTGCCAACAATTTATACGAGAAGCACATAGCATTACAAACTTCAAAATACAACCGTCACACAGTGTCAGGTATAGATCTATACAAATTACTTGTGTCGCTGAATGACAGTTAGGCTTCAAATGATAATCTATTGAGGCAAAAATCCACCCACCGCTGCCTTCTTTGCTTGCATAAAGTGGCCTATATATTCTTTTGACATTGACACAAAGGAACATACGCAACAGCTCCAACAAGATGACTCATTTTATATTTGTCTAACTATACATATATATATATATATATATAGTGCTGGTTAAAGATTAAAAAATGTAACTCGATTATACGCATACATTTAATAATTCGTTAAAAACTAATGTATTGCATGCATTTATTAAAGTTATGTTATCAGAACCATCTAAGAGGCACTCTCAGAGCAACAGCAAGTTATAATATATATATATAATGGTGTTACCACTGTATCACCACCATGTCATCAGGCTTGATGATCATCAAACAATTGTCATTAGATTAGTGCCAACAACAAAAAAGCCACGGATAGTGTTGTCTGTTAATGTCTGTTGTCTGAACATATTTAACCGATGCACAACATGGGTTGAATTGTCTCACATGTGATCCCAACCACTAATTTACTAGTAGTGCCATTGATAGCATGTCCCGTTGTACAACAACTGCTCGTTGAGTTTTTTTTCAGTTTATGTTGCGTCAAGAGCAGTTTGCGCATGCATTTGAAACAAGAAGCATCGGTAAACTAAAAGTGGGCAGAGAACTAAACAGAAACAAACAGAAGTGAAACCCTAAAATACAACCCATATTCCTGGAGGGGAGTCACCAGCGCACCCCTCAACAAGCATGAGTATAAAATGCTTTGGTATTAGCTTAGCAGCCCTCACACACAGCTCATGTTTGACCACAGATGCAACTGGTATGGATATTGATCATTTCAATGATTGTTTGAAGCAATAGTTTGTTTGCTATTTTCTGTTGATTTTGATCTTTTGACCGTAATAGGAAAAGTAGAAAAGTTATGTAATGGAATACTTATTTGAATTTGATTTGCTTGTGTGTTTACTTAATGTGGTAAACAATGGTGTTTAATGATACATTATTATTGTGGAAAGCCTTTGATGTAGAATTTAAGGTTATGTTCAATCCATCTCAAGAAAAATAAAACGCCAAAACAGAAGCGAGTTGTCCCTTTTGTGATGGTGTGGGTTGAACAAGCCATTTTCAAGTTTGGGCAGAGCTGAATATAATTAACACCTGGAGAACTTGACAGTTTATGAATTTTGGGCTTTCAACAACAAATTCATTGATAACAGAATTTGAAAATAAATGAATGAGAACATTACATTTCTCAAAATGGTCGGTTACAAACTGCACCAAGCATGAGGTTCTGGCGTTAAACGAAGCAAATTAGCGCTTGCTTCTTCTGCCTTCATATTCACGCTCTGTTACAGGGTAAGCACAGGTGGACACATTCATATTCCTAAAGAAACTGCCGTTGCGCGCTCTCTGACGCTGATAGCCGCCGCTTTAGGCAGACTGACAGCTTGTTGAATGGCTGCTCTGATGCTGCCGGCGAATATTGGAGAAAGCTGGTGAGATTTGTGTTTGACACCACAGAGATACTCACTCTCCCCCGTCTGTACTTCAGGGCAAAATGCAAAGCTTCTCTCGTTCCTGTTTGTTCAGATGGTATGTGATGTCCAATATTAGGTGTCAGAAAGTTGTGATGTATTATCAATAAGCGCACGATGTCTTGGAGGACAGTGAGGTCAGACCTTTATCTTCTTATCACTTGTAGTGTTGAAGTTGGACTTTTTGTGCGTCTACATGCACACAAAATACATTGCATTACATCACAGAGCTGGCTAAAAAGCACGAAACCAATTTCCCATAAATAATGTAATCAGATTTTAAATTATTTTTGTTCATGTAATTGTGAGGTACAAAAAAAAAGAATCACACAGGAGGAAGATGAATTCCTATGGGCTGAGGAGGGAGGCAGCTCCAGTGGAAAGTCATTCCGAGGGCCGTCGTCAAGTAATGCCTCAATCCTTTTTTGCTTTGTTCAGTACACCTCTCACCAGAGGAAAGTGACACAAACACACAAAGCGTTGACGTGGGAGCAGCAGCAGCAAACCTCAAAGAAATGCTTCCAATTAGAAGCTAGGAGTGGTCTCTAAATAAAGACAACATCACATGCGGGGGACAAATCAAGACCTGAAGTTGTGCAAAAGGTGAATGTTGCGGCGTGGAGCTGAGTAAATAAATGGAAAGGTGTAACTTTAACTGTTGAGAACCACTTTGCACTGCCGGGTCTGTTTGTGTTGACTGGGATGTTTTAGATTAGGTCCAGAAGGAGCAAACACACCCATTCAACCGAGTCAACGTTCACACTGCACTCCCCTCTACTACTTTCACTTGAATTTCAAAAGCCAAGGATTCTCTCCCTCAAAGGAGATGCAGAGAAAAACAACAACGCTGCAGCTGTGTATGTCAGAAAAGCATCGTCTTGAAACAAAATATCATGTTTCTAGTTTTTTTTGCAACGTTAAAGCTGATTGCTGTTTCTTCTTTTTCAAAAATAATGAATTGCATGAATGGCTTTAACAAAAGCCAGAACTGTTTTCCAATAATTGTAACAAGCCACAAGTTGATTGTCCTCCCTTTTCATTTTCTAACTGTTTTCAGGTACTAAGGAAGTAAATGCCACAGGAAAATCCTTTGCAGTTAGGAGTAGCCTCCAGTTCCAGGTGGACAGGCGGGAAGATGGCGTCGCCTACACCTGCAGCGTGGAGCACGTGTCCCTGCCGAACCCTTACATGACTACTGAGGTCCTGGAGGTCCACTGTGAGTGCATTCATACCCACCCTGCAAAGATGGATTATGTGTAAGATTAGCAATGAGAGGAAATACGAGGATTGAGATTACATTTACGGCTGAAGGTTTAGTTTTGCATTTGTCCAGGATTAGTGTAGGATTAGTGTGCAGGTAAGGGATTAGTAACAAAGCAGAACACGGATATGGGCCGGAGCTGAGAGCTGCCCAATGGGTAAAGAATTATCTACTGAGGTGCTTTGCAGTGTTTGAGTTAAAGCCTCTATCATACAGCACTGTGATAGCATTGCACACTTGTTGTCCCTTCTCCACAGATGCTCCCCATCTTGAGATCACGCATTCACTGATTATTCCCCAGGAAGGACAATACTTCAAATTGGAGTGTGTGTCAATAGGCAACCCGATGTAAGTTGCCTTTTCTTTACTAAATTTAAGGCCTAACAGCATAGAAATATGCAGAGATTGGATTTAGACTTGATTTGTCTTCATTGCAGATTATTTATTCAGTTTAGTCAATAGGTCTTTACAGTTCAGAAATCATATGCAGAAAGATGAAAAGAAAGCACTGTTTGTTTTTTCTTTCCCAGACCTGAACCTGTGCTGTGGTCTAAAGATGGGGGAGAGCTGCCAGACATTGAGCGTATGATAGTGGAGGGCAGGGAACTAACCATCACCACACTTAATAAAACAGACAATGGCACATACCGTTGCGAAGCCAGCAACCACCTGGGGACCAGCAGCGCTGAATACGTACTGTTTGTATATGGTGGGTAATGTAGTGGTTAATCTTGTTATGAATGATCAGTTTTGCCATCGCTTCATAGACCAAGACCATCTTCCTGTGGCCATGTAAGTGGACATATGGATAGATGGAAATAATCAATTACTGTGACATTTCAGTTTATGTCATCTTGGTTTTAAACATAAAGCTGAGCCTAAAGTTAGTATATTAGTTATATTATATATTATAAGACATGTATATTATAAATAAAAATTGACAAATGTGATGAATGACCATCACTTCATTGCATTTCCTGCCAGATGAGAATGAAGGATTGGATTGAATTGAATAAAGGGTGCCAACAACTGAGTACAAATGTCAGGAATCAGGAAACATTTATTGCCAAAATATGTCAAACATACAAGGAATTTGTCTTGGCGGTTGGTGCGTGACAGTAGACAGTGTAACAATAGACAACAATGCAGCAGTGCACAAGTAATAAATTAAAGTAAAATGAAATACTAATGCAATGGATTAGTAGAATAAGGCTATGGGTTAGTATAAGATAAGAGAATCAAGTTAGAGTTAAAAATTTTAAATATTAAAAATATTAAGCATAAAGTGCACTATCGAACAAGTGACAATGTGACGAGTGACGACAAAGTGAAAAATTACAGTCAAAGTGACATGTGCAGTATGAGGAGGAGTGACCGGTGGAATGTCATAGTCAGTCAGTGGGGGACCGGGCTCTGTTGATGAGCCCGACTGCTGACGGGAAGAAACTGTTTGTGTGGCGGGAGGTCTTAGTCCTGATGGACCTCAGCCTCCTGCCAGATGGAAGGGGCACAAACCGCTTTTGTCCGGGGTGAGAGGGGTCGGCTACGATCTTTTTAGCTCGCTTCAGAGACCTGGAAGCGAACAAGTCCTGCAGGGACGGCAGATTGCAGCCGATCACCCTCTCTGCAGAGCGGATGACACGCTGCTGCCTGCCCTTGTCCTTGGCTGTGGCTGCAGCGTACCAGACGGTGATGGAGGAGCAGAGGATGGACTCGATGATGGCCGTGTAGAAGTGGACCATCATTGTCTTTGGCAGGTTGAATTTCTTCAGCTGCCGCAGGAGGAACAACCTCTGCTTAGTCTTGGTGATGGAGCTGATGTTCAGCTCCCACTTGAGGTCCTGGGTGATGATGGAGCCCAGGAAACGGAAGGAATCCACAATAGTGACGGGGGAGTCACACAGGGTGATGGGGGAGGGTGGGGCTCTGTTTCTCCGGAAATCCACAACCATCTCCACTGTCTTTAGAGCGTTGAGCTCCAGGTTGTTCTGGCTGCACCACAACACCAGATAGTCAGACTCCCACCTGGAGGCGGACTCGTCCCCACCAGAGATCAGTCCAATGATGGTGGTGTCATCTGCAAACTTCAGGAGCTTGACGGACTGGTGGCTGGAGGTGCAGCTGTTGGTGTACAGGGAGAAGAGCAGAGGGGAAGGAACGCAGCCTTGGGGGGTACCGGTGCTGATGGTCCGAGAGGCTGAGACATGTTTGCCCAGCTTCACGTGCTGCTTCCTGTGGATATATCTGAAAATAAAAGTAGTACGTTCGTTTTTCTAATGCTGTAATATATGTGTCATTTTGGGGTTTGAATGTAGTTCAGAATAAGCCCTGCATGTCACTAGTTGTTCAAGATTTCAGTCCCAAATCTTGGCACTGTGCAGCATAACGCAGTTCACCTCACTGAACTGTACAAATCGCTTTGGACTTTCCAATGAAGAAACGGGGAAAAGTGTAAAGGATGCAGAATTTTTCTAGAGCCAGGAGGAGAGTAAAAGTTAATCCCTGGACAGTGAAGCATCTGAAAAAAAAGACTGCATGCTTCGGGAGACAGGTCGTTACGACATCTGCCTTCCATTTTTGAGAATTAAACACAGTTTGTTTGGGAGATTGTAAAGGCTTAACAAAGAGTTTTGGCGAGAAGAAGCCATTCATTGTTAAAAAATAAAGGACAGGGAGAATGAAAGAATGAAACATTGAGGTGAGCAGGTAAAGGATGGGCAAGACGGGCTCATTTCCACCGATGATGACAGCCATTCTTCAGAACTACAATGTGTCTCTCTGAATACTTATCCGCTCTCTATATGTGTTGCCCATTTGATGGAAAGACTGAGAGTCCTTCATGTATGTTGTGACTTATCCTTTTCCAAAACATGTTGCTGGAATATTGTAATAATTTGCCAAACTCTTTCAATTCATCACATGTGCATCCTTTTTTTATTTTTGCCAGTATCCACTGAGGTGATAGACCAGAACTAACGCACTACAGGCAGCCACAGTAATTGATACATTTTTCCTGTAAGTTTTGTTGAGCCTGATCGCCATGGGGAGCTTTGTTTTTTTTGGACCCCTTCTGTTGCTGTTTTCATTAAGTGGACGTCATCACCTTGATTCCTCCATCTCTTTCGGTCCCCTCTGCTTTAGCCTCCGTCCAAGCCCCCCACCCTCCCACGTCAGACATAGGCAGTGCCCCCATTCCCCCCTATTGCCCCGCCTCAATGCTCCATGCGCCCACAAACACAACACTGAACACACAGTTGATGATTGATGAGCTAACAGCCGGGCTTTGAGCTGGAAAATAGCATGTTTTACAGGACGAATATAACAGTCTATTTTTTCATTTTCTTTTCCGCTTTATCTTTTAACGGAGCGCTGTTACACTACCATGATTTGTTGTTGCTGTGTCTGATTAGTTTTTATCATCGGTAGCTGACAATATGCAATCACTACTGCATTATGTCATCAAGCAATCGCACAAACTTTCCAGAGGCAGAAAATAGAAAACATGAGAGTTTATACTTTTGTTCTGAGGCTGAATGATTTCATTCTTCTAATGATTGCATTAAAACCAAGCAATAAGAACACAAGCAATTATTTTTCCACAAAATCACTGAATCACTCAAGAAGATATTGAGTTGTGATAGAGAAAACACAAAGGTTTTGTAGATTTGGGTTGCACTTTAATTTGATAATCAAACTATGAACGTTAAGCTGCGCTTTTAAGTTTTACTCTAGACATATATGAGGTTATTCCTTCCTCATAAAATACTTAAATACTTTGATGTTGTGTATAGTTTACATCTCTACTAGCTTGCAATCCTTGCGAGCGTAACTGCGAATCATCAAAATAGTTGGACACTGGCGGCGGGAATGTGTATGAATGTGTAATCTAATATCAAAGAAAACCTCAACCAACTCATAAAAACATCTTTATGTAACAGCTTTATAACACTACTAGTTGTAAAAAGTCAAAAATAAAAACAAACTTTAAACAGTACTTTTGAAAAAACAACTTTTAATTTAGCCATATTTCGTACTAATAATCGTTCATTATCTTTTTCTAAAAATAAAAGGCATTAAGAATAAACGTATTGAATTAGCTACAACACATTCTAAATATCTTTTGTTCCTCATTTTGTCCTTGTTGTTATCTGGTGCTGCTCCCCCAGTGAACACTTAGCAGTAACGCTTGCATCTGGCTGTGACACAAAGCTTTGCTTTCAGTCACATTTTCACGCTGTCAAGGTAAAAAAAAAAAAACCCAGACCATTCATATTTCCTATAAAAACTTTGTGGTCACCTTTTTATCATGGTGTTGTTCCCCTCGTCTTCCCTTACTGCTGTCACTGTCTGCAACCATGGCAACAGCCAAAGACTTTCCATGGCCTACAACAGGTAAATATTCCACTAGACGCTCTTGCAAGCCAGATTTACAGTGTGTGATGCTGAATCTGGATCTGGGTCAGGACATATCACGGCCTTCACGCAGCATGAGCCAAACCATCACCATGCATGGATGCTCTCGCTGCTGACGCTTTCTTTCCAGCCATGTCACAGGCTGCATAAGTTATTATACAATATGTTTCCGATTTGATTTGCCTTTGCACAAGGAAATGGACGTCTGTATCTGAGTGAGGCTGGGATCAAGAATGTGTCCGTGCCAAGTGTGTAAATATTTGTTTTCAGATCATGTGATAACTTGTGATCTTTCTGATCACATAACAAAATATCTGTTCACCTTATTTGCCAGGAATGTTCATTATTCAGTGCATAGCATGTGGTTGCGGCAATTAATTCTGATATGGTATTTATATGTGAGATCTGCCAGACAATGGAAATAGAATAAAGACAAGATTCACGTTTACTTACTGCAAATTGAGTCCCAGTTTGCCATTGAAATGTCTGCAGTTTTTGCTTTTGTGTTTATAGTTTATTGAGTGTCATCTTCGATATTCAAGAAAGTTGCTCAACTGTTTCTCATGAGGCATCAAATAAATTACCGTTCAACAGTTTGTTCCTAAATAGCCATGCAAATAATCAATGCATTGAATTGGAGTTCAACAACCGGGTTGTACGTGTTTAAATACTTGTTTTGTCACACCATAAGTGGAAAAAATAATTAGCGAGTTGAGAGCTGAGATTAAACTTTCAGCCGCAGTGCAGCAAGAGCAGTTCAGCTTGTCTAATTCCTCTGAGCAGAATGCACCAGCTCAGTGTGACAATTGCTTATGCACCTTGTTCTCTCTCATTGTATCCATCAACATGTAACCAAAGTGGAGTTAATTCAACCACTGTCCCGAAACAGTTATCGCAAAACTGCGAAGTGGCTGCTTGCGAGTCCAAAAAAAACAATTGTGTTGATTCTATCCTGCATGTAGTTATTTAAACTGCATGTTTCTCAATGTCATCTCGTTTTTAGTTATTTTACTTCTTTTTAACGCCCCACACTGGGTTGCTGAAAATGATGGTTGCATTTCGTTAACGAGGTTTGTAGGAACATCCCCGCCGTCATTTTCCAGGGTCACTTTGCAAATGTGAGCATAAGCCATCCATCAGCTTGAGGTAATGAGAGCACACAAGGTGCACGGTACAGACACTGCAACTTTCTGTTTATTACAGAACAGACACAAAGGCATGCTCGTGTCTGGGAAACGGGCCATTAGCTGTCAGCAGCTAAATGTTGCAGCAAGCAAGCGGAAGACACAAAAGATAACATGTGTAGAGGCTTTGTTGAAAAAATAAAAACATCACTGAGCGCTAAACTGGTTTTGTTGCAGGAGGTTCCTGTTGTTAATGCACATTTTTTAATTACGTGAAGATGTTCCTTATTTTCAATTCGAGCACTTCAAAGGAGCAATGTCGTTTTCACACTGATTGGGGATCATTTGCAACTCTGCTTTGTGTGTGTGTGTGTGTGTGTGTCAAAGTGTTGAAGCTACATCAGGATTTTTTCATGACACTTGAGTACATTCATTTCAATTTATTCGAATAAATCTCTACTCTGCATTAGGTAGCAGCTAAATATGTGTTTCTTTTGTCTCCACTTTTCCCTCCATTTCTCCCCTCTCTGTTTTTTCGGTACAGATCCGAATGCTTTTGCACAACATGGACCTGACCACGCTTTAATTGGCGGTGTTGTTGCAGTCGTTGTCTTCATCACCTTGTGTCTGATAATAGTTCTTGGACGCTATCTGGCCAGACATAAAGGTAAAAAAAGAAGTCCCCTTAGCTTCTTTCAATAATAATTTCCTTGACCGGTGTAAAAGTGTAGTGCTTTTCAGAAGGTGGATAACTTGCTGTGTGTCTACAGGGACGTATCTAACACACGAGGCCAAGGGAGCGGAGGATGCCCCAGACGCAGACACGGCCATCATCAATGCCGAGGGAAACCATGTGCATGCAGAGGAAAAGAAAGAGTACTTCATTTAGACTTTTTTTTCTCCTTTTACTTTGTTTCATCACAGCTTTTGACAGCAAACATGCAAATTAAACTGCCTGAGCGTAACTGTATGATCTGTTTCACTTTACTTATTATTATTTTGAAAGCTGTTTGGTTACACTCTTTTTTAAGCTGACAATACAGCTTTCTTCTTTTGGAATCAATGTAGACCTTCCACAATTACATTATTTAAATTTCAGTTTTAAGGTGCCTAAATGATGTATATATTTCTGCATTTCTTCCATTGCTTGAATTTGGGTTTTTTTTCTTACCTAACTTGTTTTACAACATTTTGCAGATGAAACAGGAAATGTATTTCAACTCAATTGGGATTCCATTCTAGATATGGCAATTATAAAATTGACCAGACATTTTGACAAGAAAAAACATTGAAGCACAATCTATGTGATTGTCTGTATTATTCCCTCCTTGTCTGTATATTTCTGAATTGATTTACTTTCAGTTTTCACTGCTGCTGTTGATTTGTACCAACAGAGAACAAGTCCGAAAATGTAAGCACAAAGTCTGAGGACTAATATGGAGGAGAAATGCACCTAATGTTTCTTGTCTCAGGACTCAATATGAGTCAAGATGAAAAGATTGTGTCAGGTGATGGTGATGAAGATTTCAGTACACTTGCAGTTAAATTCATGGATGAAGAACATTACATTTGTTTGTGATTTGATGTAAAAACCTAACTGAATAAGTGGAACCTTGTGGGGGTTCATTATTTATGTTAACTTTTATTGAACAACTATGCTCTATGTGTGGATATTGCTGTAAAATACTTTGCTAACGTGAATATTGGTGAACAATACTTGTTGAATCTGGAGATCCCTGACATATTACAATTTGTATATTAGCACATACAGTATTTAAAGTATTCCACGAGTCTTAATTTCTTTCTCATTTATCTAAGAGTTTGTTTTAATAGGTGGTGTGTAAATAATGTGTAAGTATTCAATTTTAGTAAAAGATAAAACTCAGATTTTTTAAATTTCAGGTCTAATCAGTTCCCAGCACTTCCAAATTTGTTTCCCAATTTGGAAGACTTTATTTCAAACAGGGATTCGAACGAATTGCTTAAAATTAATAAAAAATATTCTGGTCAATATATGTATTTATTATTATGATTGATTGAAGTTTATTATATGATACTATATTAATTGATATTATTGCTGTTATTACAAAGGTAGTAGTCTGACATTAACTTTTTAATTCTGTATTTATCATTAAAAAAACAACACAAGGATCACCGTTATGGCCTTTGAGTTTGCTGCAAACAGTACTAATGTTGAGGCATTGGTGAATCAGACATGTCCTCACTGTATATAGTCACTGTATCAAAGACATTGAAACACATTGCCAATGCTCATAAATGTTCTTTTGTTAGTTTGGTATGATGCTATAAATAACTCATTTTGTACAGAGTTTTAATTGCTGTAATTAATTTGCTTTTTATGGGGGATGTGTGAGGTTTGCTTTTATCTTAGTATTGAATATTCATTTTCCAACTATGCCACTGTAAAAAAAAGAAAAAGAAAAAGAGAGACAAAGTGCGGATTAAAATATGAACAATTTGAAAACTGACATTTTATTGTGACTAGATTTGTGCTTTGAAATCTGCTCCAGAGTAATGCTTTTTTTCCTGTAAATTACAGCTCTATTACGTACAGTCACAATATGAGTGCATCTCTGCGGTAATATTAAAGGGGCATGTGTTGATGTACAGCCCTATGACCAAAGCTCTGCACTGCAATTGTTATTCCATGTCACTGTTGAGTGTTGCACAGCCTTTAGTATTAATAATATATGCAAGTGTTAAAAGATTAAAAAACCATGAAGCTACTCAGGAAGCTTGCCCGAGGCTCGCAGCGCCGCTCATGATTTGTGCGTTAATACAGGGTGACAAAAGGAAGACTTGAGTCTCCCCAAATTTCTCCCTGTCTCACTGAAAGCAAGTTCGATATGCTTGAAGTGGCTTCCTGAAACGTCCCGCAGATGGCAACACAGCAGGCTGCTGTTGCCCTTCTTTTAACAAACTCGAGGGAGGAAGCAGGCTGAGAGGAGCAACCTGGAGGCAAACCACTCACAGTGATCTGACATTATGGTCAAAGATGTCAGGATGCAGCTGATTGCTTTTAATGAAAGGAAAACTTTAAAGAAACTTTATTGATCCCTGTGGGGAAGCGGAATCAGGGCGTCAAGCTGGAAAAAAAGCGGTGCTAAAATGCATGTGCTAAATAGATCACACACAAAGGCAAACGTGTTGGAAAAGGTAATAGCGGTAGAATAAAGTGGAAGCAATTGAGCGGGTAAAATATATGCAAATGTTGCTATTATACTGGCAAAATATGAAAGAGGATGGCACATGTATTACTAGCAATCAATTGTGCTTTCCGTCAGTAAGGATTACTGCAGAATCGATATGTGTTAGATGATGTTTAGTGCATAGAAATGCCAAAAATCAATTTGAAACGGGCATATGAAAGGACCATAATTTATGAGGGACATCTTACGATTTAAAACTAAAAGTATTACACGATCAGCAGCAAAAGTTTATCCACAGGGCCGCATTAAGTGTAATGGTCTGTAGACGAGCATTATAAAAAACAAACGCAAATTTTGACAATAGTATCTCACGTTTAGTAGTAACGTGGCTCCTGTGCGTACACCAATTTAGAATAAAAGAGAAAGTATCTTTATGGTCCATCATCACTGCTTCAGCGACACGTATAAACTTTTTGAAATTTTATGATGGAAATAATAGCCTTGTGCACATTACTGATCTCATATAAAATATCTAGACATCCTTAAAGGGAGATCTCGTTCCAGGACACGGGGCCCATGTCATTATGGTCCTCCATTCTTCAGCTCCCATTGACCTTGAGCATAATGTTGCTTCCCAGCAGACTAATGTTGCCATTATCAACACACACTGTCCGGCCAGCCATCTGCCTACTTCACACACAACGCTTCGCTCCCCCTCTCCCCTCGCAGAGATGGTTCCCACTGCTCACTTCATAATCATTACCATCAAAAGCCCAGCCAATTCAAATAAACATCAGCTTCCACTAGCACACTCCTTCGCATTATTAAAAGCTCAGTGCTTCGTTAAGCCATGCAAATTGAGATAGACTGTCTTGAATAATGCCTGGCAGAAAATAATGCTGGAAATCCATCATCATTTAGTGATTGGATTTGGAGAGGAGTGGGGGGGGGGGGGGGGGGGGCATTCTTCTGCAATCGTAAATAGTGAGTTGGAAAATAGATTTTTCTCTTTACCCTTGAAATGTGAGAATCACACCTTGGGCAATGTAACAATTGCAGCAGGACCTCTGAGGAGGCCTCGTAAGTCTAACTGAACTGAAGAAACTGATACCAACTGTATCCCATCGGCAGTGTCCATATCAGTCCTCCAGCTCACAATAAGCTCTTATCATAGCAGAACAGACGTCTCTGACAAAATCCTTCAGGGACAAATTGATATCTTCAAAAAAAAAAACATTGTTACACTTAAACATGTCAAGTCTACAGCACATTCTGATTTAGCAATGTTAAGTATTAAGTCATGGATTAATAGTTGCATTTGTGTGAGGATTACTGGGGTATTTTCTGAGTAAGTAAAAGTCTTAAAAGGACTTCAATGATGGAGCAGGATTACAAGCATGCTAAACAGAAGTGATGAAGACATCTTAGCCATCTGGATCATGGTTTTAAATTACAGACTGAACAGGTACTGGTGACACTGTGAAGTGACTCCTTGAATCACACCAAACCTAAAGTAAGTACTGTATTTATCGATGACAACACCATTACAACTGGAAAGAAATCTGTCAAACTATACATTTTATTTTATGCTTGACAGTCATGGGAAATATATTGGAAGAGTTTACTTGAAATCATGCACTGAGAGATAAGGTGCATAGAGCACACACACTGCAAGATGAAATTCACAATGTTTCAATATCCTCCTTTTTATTTTCAAAACTGTGTTTGGAGTCTGTTATTGTTGCCCTTGGAAGCCTGTGGTTGCATTGTTTGCTTAAATGGTTTTGTCTTGACAGCTCATTCTAATGAGGAATTGGGCAGAAAAATTATTGCGCACTGGTGCTAACTTTGAGACGAGTTATCACAATCTCATAATGATGCCAACTAGCATTGTGGTTACACTCCACCCACAGGTAGATTTACTAAAAGGTTGCAAACCTTTTCATATATGTTATATAAATTCAAACAGCACATTTAATCCCTTTATATTTTATGTCAATGTAATATGGCGGCACAACTGAGTCTTTTGTGGCCACTTTTACTAAAAGCTGCAACATTCACACAGTATCGCTGCTGAGTCAGAGGGGAGAAAGAGATATTATCTTGAGACGCGTTTCGCCTAATCATATTTGATGAGATTAAACAGATCACTCACACTTCCAGTTGTGACAGGGATGAGTGGAAGTCAGAAGGAGTCAAATGATCTGGAACAAAGAACATGAGCTTGTGTTTCCCCCTGGATGCATCGCCATGCCATTAGTGTAGATGAATGTGTAGTCAGATACAATTCCCTTGTTTGCTGCATGAGGGCTTCCACTTTGTGAGGCAACGGCTCTGTTGTTCAAATCAGGCCACATGCACACCCGTGGATTGATGACGGAATCAGGGCTACCCACTGTATTTTAAACTCATTCATCCACTATGACTCACATTCTCTGTGGTGCATCTTTAAATAGCCTGCCCTGGGATTTTCCTCCATTTGATTTATTCTATAATGTACTTTTTGATCTAATTAAAACAGACTTTTCTGTATTGTTTGGCTGAATTTCAAATTGTGCAGGCCCAGGAGAGTATATACAGGGAAGCCATATCATGGGTAGACTTTTGGGGGAAAAAACTAGTACCTGTGGCATAAGGTAAGCAATAAATAGAGGGCCATCTGTTTGGATTTGAGCACTTGAGATTATTCCAAGGTACTCACCAGAGACTTAATTAAAGTTGAAATATTAGTCAGTGTGAGACTGATGTTTCTCCAATAAAATGACAGCTTTAGGAAATCTTTAGTTTAAGGTTCAGTTCAGTTTGATAAGAATGCTCCTCTTTTATTAATGATTTTATACAATATATAAAATATATATTAGTATTACGGTAATGCTTTTAACCTGTGGAGTTGCCATCATGTCTGTAGCCTGTTTAGAACACAAATACCGCAATAAAATCTGCCGTTAAACTTGCTTCCTTTTCGACTGAGCCACGCAACGGCCCAATGTATGTGCCGTCAGACAGCACACTGGCATCAATGGAGAAAAGGAGGCACAACGGGCCGTCATATCCTTGTAAAGGGCACAGCTAATGAAGGCACGGGAAAATGTGTTGTATTCATGCAAGGTATACGATCAATGACCTCTTTATCACCAAAAGCAACCAAGCCTAACTTTTTTTGTCCTCCTGCACAGAAACTGAGAGCAGAAAGGCCACTGGGTGGATTTGAACCCAAGACCTTCATGCTGTGAAGCCCTAATCGCCACACCATCGTACTGCCCCACCGAGACCTGTACTTCAAATATTATAATTATGTTAGATTAGGGTTTGTACAGCACACTTGATTCCACATAATAATAATAATAATGTCCTAACACCATTAAAGGTGAGGAAAGTAGTAGTCATTTGTTTTCAGGACAGGGCAGCAGTGAATATTTAAGGAATAAAAATACAACAACAACAAAAAAAAACACATACTCAATTAGCAGACCACTCTTTCTCCAGTGTATTCTATTATATCAGTTCCATTTTGAAATAACAAACCCTCTCCAACGCAAACAGAATAATAATGTGTAAACAGAGTATTGAAAAGGTTTGAACAAACTGCTGTGCCTGCAGGATGCCAGCTGTCTGGGTATATGTGGACATCAGGCGTTGGTATTCGCCTCATTATCATCAAGGTCTCCAACTCCCTTATCTGGGTTTTTTGAAGTTCTTATAGTAACGGCATAGGATGACATTAACTGGAATCGCCCCTGGACTAAACCAGCATCAGTTGTGAAACATATGCTTTAGCCAATGTGCTGCTGACTGTTGTTTACAATTTAATCTATTAAATGAAAAATCACATAAGGATTACACAAGGAATTTCTCCAGTTTTATTGCTATAAAATACCATTAGTATTCTATTTATTTTAGATAACTTTGTATTTTAGGTCGCGCATTAACATCATTAGTTGTTAGGGGCTCATAATTCGGCACTAATGCCATAAATGTCCTTTTAAGCAGACACCACTGCAGCTCGGAAATGTACTTATGTAAAAGAAAAAAAAACAACAACAGAAAAACTGAAATTCTGGCAGATTAAGATACCGCAATACAATAAATACAATTCTGATTACATAAAATCACTTAATAAACCCTAATATAAAACTGCTAAACACTTAATAAATCACTTATACTTTAAAATACTTTAGGAATCATCAAGGGTTGATAGCGCACTGCATGCATAAACAAAAAAACTAGTTAAATAAACTGTGTAAGTATGCACACAAAGAGACGGGAAGGACGTGTGGGATTCCTATGGCTTGAATCCTTCTAGCAGTGTGCCTCTCGTCTTTATGATGCCAGTGAGTGTGATGGTGAGCATCGGGGATTACTGCAGACAGACAGCTCAGTAAGACCACTGATTAAATAGTAGTGTGAATAGAGAACATGTTTAATTCAGCCATGTTTAGTATTCATGGGATGGACAGCCATACAAGAGTTCACCTTGAGGGGTCATCAGGGGAGAAGGTCCAGAATCCCAAAGAGCTCCCTCGCAAGCTTCCACATAACACTTGGAAACACAACTAATTGTGTTTTTAATTGCTTTGATTATCAAGTTTACCTTGACTCAATTGAAAACGGTAATGCAACACAAATTAGCAGACTGATACACTATGAAAAGGAGTTCTGTTGTGAACCTCTTGTTACATTGTGATGTAAATCAATGATGATGTACAATCCCTAATGCATTCAATCAGTTGGACTGATGAATTACAGTCAACTTGAATATTGCTACGTTGATGTTTTATTTGTATTATACTAAAGAAAACAAAAAAATTGTGAAAATGATTGGCTTCCGTTGTTATGCCACCACATTTATTACATCACAGTACGACGAATGCTCCAAACTAACTTGTAAAGGAGAACAACTGTACAGTGTAACTGTGCAACCTAAGAAATATATGGTATGATTAATTCATACCCAAGAAGTCAGTGAAGTTCGAACATTATTGATTTTTTGCATTTGCAACCAGCCCAAAGAATAAATGTTTGTTCACATTTGCTACAGAACGAGGTAGGAGGTAAGCACAGTGCTGTGCATCTCTTTCGGGACAATAAAGGTTTCTGAGACCAAATTGAGCAAATTTCATTAAAGAATTTCCCTCTTCAGTGTTTGCAGCTTCACGTAATGCAAAACAACACCCTGTATATTAGATTTGCTTTGTGAAAGAGTGCCGGCTATAGAGGCATAATTATATCCCTGTGCTGAAATACATCACCATTCAATTATATGCATCACTAGTTCAATAGACCTACAGAATTTGGTTATTGTCTGAAATTATGAAAAAAGAAAAATATGGATTAACCATATGTGAAAGAACTTTAATGTATAAATTACTTTAACAGTTGGCAAAATGGGCTTCAAGAACAATTAGAATGTCTGCTGTATTTGCCAAATTAAGTAGTTATAAACTACAGGTCCTATTTACTTTGTGGAACGTTTAACCCTACGGAGCCATTGTGTCGTCACACAAGAACTGATCTAGGCAGTACAAATGCACTGCACTATTGGAGGAAAAAGTCAAAACAGTGAATGTGTTTTGCTTCTCATTCTTGCTCATTAAATCAAGGCTACATGTTTGGGTTTTGATCGATAGCTCATTGCATCAAACATGGGGTGTAAATACATCTGTGGAACGTTCATATGGATGATGAGCTTCACGATGCAAACCAGGAGATGTTGGCAGTGGGTAAAAGCCTCAGTTGATTGATTCAGCGGCTAATGTGAAGTCTTTTTATGATCCAACTTCTCAATGTCACCCCAGTAATCCAACAAGAGATGAAAGTATGCATTGGTCTCACCTACAGCCTCAGCCATTTAGGTTTTAATGTAAAAATAATAAAAATAATAATTTTAAAATGAATATGTCACAGGACAAGGAAATGCTGCAATGCAGGATAGTGTGAGGAAATGATCCAGAGAGAGGCAGTAGAGAGGAAACACCAAAACACCTCAGAGGTTTCCGGGTGCAAGCAAAACCTTTAACTGCTGAGCCTCATCATTGAGATGTAACACAAACTAATTGTAGGTAGGCAGGACACTGTGCATTAGTGGCCTCTATATACTATGAAAGTGTGAAGCAAAGTTTGTGAGTTGAAGGACATTGACATGCTCCATTGATTTAATCCTGCACTCCATAATTAAAAGAAGAAAATGTAATCAGTGAATCACTAAGGATGAAGAATACAGAGGCTGCAGGCAAGTTACATATAACAAAGAAGCAAATATAACTGCGTTCTACACTTGACTTGACAGCAGCGTTAATGATTTGCACCAAGCTGCAAGTTCAGGTAGCAACACGGCTCCAGTGCTTTAAATCCCTTCAGGTCAAATCAAGCACACAACCCTAATATAGTTATTTGATTGTTTGGTTAGATATTTGCACTATTGTTGTGTTAGTTAACAATTTATATTATTCTATTTCCTTTGTATGCAGTGCATTTTTAATATCTGTTTACTTTATTAACCTGTAAATATAGATTCAATTCAGTAATTTCTCCTTGCAGGATTAATAAAGTAACCAATGATCTATCTTTTGTGATCAGTGTGGCAGACAATGAAGTTTACACCTCGTAGGCTCTAACGTTTGTCTGAAACCCTTTCTTCTGAAAATAGCCTTAAAATGTTTTGTTATGAAATCATGAATAATCCACCACAGGGACATATTGTCCAAATACACAAATAAACCCTTTATATCTGCACAGGGAGCTGGTCGTTTTTGCAGAATCCGCGTGATGCCTGTTACACCACGAGCTCCTTCAAAAGCACAGAACATACACATCAAATAGTGGCTCTGGAGAGGCTCTATTGTTTTCTTTAACTTGAGAAACTTTGGCATTGTGATCCACACAGTGCAGCCTTGGGAATGAAGAGTGAGCGGGTATTCAGTTGGTTGCAATCAGCCCACAAGGAACAGACTTGATTAGCTTATTTTACAGTTTTTGGCTTGGCAGGCTTTCAAGATACTTATGAGTTTTTCCTATACTCCCTCTAAAACATATGCAGACTATCATCTCAACATTCATTTAATAGTCGCAGAGAATAAATGAGCTGGTAATCATGGTTGATGCCCGTTGCTGTCTGTATAGTGACACTGTGTAATGGTTTTGCATGTAAAGTAATGCATTCAGGGATTGGTGATTGTTCTGTGTGCAACACAAGGAATGCAGATGGAAATTGTGTAGTAATTTAAAAAAACATAAATGTGTACAGTTAGAATAAAAAAGGCATAAAGTGACTGATTTGGCCTAAAGACATTACTCTAGAAATGCTAACTGAAGAAGCGATTTTAGAATCCAAGACGCAAAAGAGGTTGCCCGTCCTGATTTAAAATATCAAATCCTGGTGGACTAAAACGGGAGTTGTGGATACAGTTCACAATCTCTGAATCAGGTGTCTGTTGAAAAGTTAAAAACAATAAAACTTAAAAAATATCAATTATTTTTTTAACAGATACACAAATGATATGATGAAGAGGAGTATGGGCTATTTAGAAACTCTGTGTTATTGTCTAGCTGTTGATAAAGCCCACTTGGCATTTTACAGATTAAAATATACATTTACATTGATATTAACAAAAGTTGTTTTTTTTATTACAGAAATATTTGATTCAAATAACCATGACATTATTTTTAACGAAATCATTATTGTATCTTTCAAGTTGAGCTAAATGCTGTTCACCATATATCCATGTTATAAATTGTAAATGTTTGATTATACAGAAATAAGACGCAACATCTAGGCTCAGGTATTCCAACTTTGGTGATATAATACTGCCATCTGTTGGGCATTGTAGCCTAAACAAGTTTGCAAGTAAATTCAATGCAACGCCGGCAAACTGCTGCTACTGCAACTACTTTTGTACGATGTTCTCATTGTAATTTGTTCCTTCCGTTCATATAGTATATACAGTATTTCCACATCATTAAAACATACAGTATATATGGCAATAATGCACAGAAATATTAATATGACTTATGGCTGAAAATTAAGATTCATCTTCAATACCAGTGTAACCCAGAATAAACCCCATTTTACCTGAGAACAAATCCTTCAAAGAAAATTGGAGAGAGACTTTCCACAGTTATGTTATCTATAATTCAAAAGAGGTAAATGGAAAGATTTCATAAACAGATATCCAGCATATTGTTGACTAGGTTGTCCAATTATTAATGTGGTATCAGACCTGGAAATCCTGTAACCGCTTGGTAGTAATACAACGTGTTGTAATTTATGGGAAATCATCACCTAGGGCAAGTTGTAATCTTTAAAGTACTCAAATTGCCAATATTACGAAGATCTTTTAAGGCTTAAACATGCCTGTTAGCTAAAAATAAGTTTTACTTTCTCAAAATTGCAGAAAAAGCTATGAAAAGCTTATTTAGTTATCATAGGTACATGTGACCACAAGCTTAACATGTATTTTATGTGAAAAATAAGATAGAAATGAACAGAATGCATTGTGGAATCCATAAGAATTGACTTCAATGACGAGGCCCGAGTGTGCATATCTACACTCCCGGGATGTAAACTCTACCTCCCTTCAATGCCAAAATATATCTGAAAGATGTCAGAACAGCCTTTTTCATTCAAGAACTGGTAGAGCTGCCCGAGGTCCATGTGATTACCTCTGTTCCCATGGGGGTCAAACATGGCCTCTTCAAAGCCAGTGAATTTGCGTAGGGAGTCTATACTTTCACCAGCTCCGCTGTGCTCTCCCGTAAGATCAAGGGAAATATCCTCTCTATGTCGAATCATGATCTTCTTCCATGTCAGACCCTTCACTCTGTGAAATGGGGGCGGAAAAGGGTTTGGAAAAATAATGAACCTGCGACCTCTGCGGGCTTCTGGCTGTGACAGAAACTGCAAAAAATAACAACACTTACGTTACCTGGACCAGAACTCCTCGCAGGCAGAATGATGACCTTCAACACACACGATGCCCGGCTTCCCAGGCATGCTAAATCCTGACAAGCCCAGCTCCTTGGACCACTCCAAGATGTTCTTCCTCTTCGTCTTGTTGTAGATGTGGTGGCTGTAAATCCACAGTCGGCTGAACCCTTCCTGTGGCCCCGGAGATGCAGACTCCTGCTTAGAGGCCGTTGGTGCTGATGAACTCTTATTGATGAAGACCTGCAGGTGGTCTTTGACCCAGTCCACAGCGGAGAGCACGCATACTTCCCCCTGGCAGTTTTCCACGAGGTACGCATTGAGATCCGTGTGCAGCTCTGTCTGCTGGGCCCTGCTGACGCCAGCACACCTAATGCACAAACAAAATATGCTGGAGGGAAGGATTCGGAAAACATTTCAGTATGGAAGTTTCCATACTGAAAATTTTTAATAAAAATCTAATAAGCGGAGATTTGCGTATAAATAACTAGAACAAGTATTCAGGAGGTCTTAATAATGAATATAAATGACTACTCACGACACAATATTTTCTAAAAGCAACTTAACAGATGTATTTTCTTTAATGCGGTTGCAATACTCTGCATAGTAATGTGATGTATTTGATTTGCGTCAGATACTGGCCATCTAAAGAAAAATTGCAGGAAAGGATAAACCAAGATGTATTTTCCCACACAAGCAGTGATTTCTGCTACTCATCAACCGAGATTGATGCAAGTCTTCAAACCCCTTTGACAGAGAAGTTTAATACAGATATGCAAGAGAAAAGAAATTAATGTTACTGCTCAACACATGTATCAAGTCATCACATACAGTGAACTGCAAAGACGTCTATTTTTACACATGCAGATTCATACAGTAAAATAACCTCTCTCTTTCCTACACTGACATGGACCTTTTCCACTGCGTGTGCTTGAGATATTTATGTCTGCTTCATAAAGATGAAATGTTTCAAACTGGATTCCCCATTGCACTATAGTGGCCCATTTTCACATATTGTGAACTCTTTTGGGGGAAAAGCTCAGCATTCAATGCTGCACTTTCTAACATTTTTCAAGTAACAGCTGTGTACTTTCGGATCAACATGATCATACTTAAATTAAATTATACGTGAAATAAACTGGACATGTTAGTTGACAAAAGTCATTGTTTCGCACTTTCGGCCACTGCTACTGCAGGATTGTGCATTGTGATTATTATGAAACATTCCATTATAACATGAACACGGTGTATTGCTGTTTCCAAGTGTCACCCTTTGCAATATGACAATAAGTAAATGATTTGTAGAAGTTCTTGTTTTGCATGTAAAGATTTCCCCACCTTTATTACACATCAAAAGTGTACATTTGCTTACCGGACAGTTATCTCTGGTAACACACGGGGATACTCCGATGGATAAGCACATGCTAGAACGAACTCCGTCTGGGTTATGCAAGAAAATAAGAAAACAATTGTGTTTTGAGACATATTTGGCAGTGGCCGTGACACATTATGACAGCTGGCTATTTAGTTACCTTCTCCGTGCTTGCATGGTCCAGCTGCTGCTTGATGAGAAACTGAGGTCTGGAAGATGAAGGAGGGGTTTCCATTGAAGCTGAACCCTCCACGTAGACTCTGAGCTCAGCTAGTGCCAGCTGGTCGCTGATCTCCAGCTCCTCCCGGCTGGGAAACATGCTGGTCAGCAGCTCGATCTCTGCAAGTTGAGACTCGGCGCACTCTAAGCAAGACATACTGGTGAAGGCAAAGTGAGGTCAGATCGGCGATCTTAACTAGCGCTATAAAAAAAAAGCTGCTTTCTGTCTCCAAATTCAACTGGTCGCTCAAAGTCTTGACAAGCGTATTGCAATAAATGCATGTACCGTTGTACGTTATTTACATGTGGATTCTTGACAAACATACCAGTCAAACACCTGGGCAACTTCTGTAATCACACCGCTAGTGCTCTAGGCTGCTCATCGAGCGTTGTTTCTACTCGGACTGTTTAAAGCGACGCACACAGGAAGCACACGTATCGGTAACAGTGGTGCCCTCGCATTTCCGTTCCTCTTTCCTCTGCATGTGTCAGCTGGAATTTTTCGGATGATTCTGCCAAACCTGTCGAGTTTTTTTTTTTGTTGCGATATTGTGATTTACTGGACCCCCTTTCTCTTCTTTCCGGATGAGATAATTAATCCATTCAAAGTGTTTTTTTAAACTGCAGACTGTGACAGTAAGTGGACTGAACCCTGAGGATGGTCATTGATTTCACGTTAAACGTTGATGTTACGTTACTTGTTGTTATCTTCTGGCAGTGAACGTAGTGGCACGGAGTTGTGTTAAGCAGCATTATGATCACGCCAAACTTCAGGCGACTGTCGCGTCTGATTTACGTGCATTTCTAATTGTGTTTGACGTTAGGTGAAAATGGTAAAGAAAAAGGGGAAGGACAATAGCTCCAGAGAAGAAGATGAAATTGACTTGGCAGGTAAAGAATATATCGTAAATGAATGTGTCACCATATTGATGATATATGACAACCTGTAAAATGCTTTTGGGTTACTTTGCCACATTATGTGGATTTTTATATCTTCATAGGTCCATCCTGCAGGCACATAAAAAAGGGAACGGACCAAACTCTTTTAAAAAAACTCTCAGGGAATTCCAATTGGACGAGTTGTCAGCATTGTAAGCATGAAGAAAATAAAGAAAATATCAGCACCCCGGTGGCACAAAACTCTGAAGAGGAACAGGAAACAATACCCATATGGATGTGCTTAAAATGTGGCCATATAGTGAGTTTATTTAACCCATTTATCATCAAGAATCTTAAAGTGCATGAAGTGACTTTTTGCTAAATAGCCAGATGCATTTCTACCAGGGATGTGGACAAAACTCTACGAACCGGCATGCCATCAAACATTATGAGACTCCGCGGTCGGAGCCACATTGCCTGGTAATCAGTTTGGACAACTGGAGTGTCTGGTGAGTACGCTGGCATGGTGTTTCCATCACAGAGGCACACGTTGTGTTTGGATTAAGAAGTACTCCGTTTGCATTAATCTTCTTCCAAACATGCAGGTGTTACATTTGTGACGACGAAGTCCATTACTCTAGAACCGGACATTTGGCTCAGCTGGTGACCAACATACAAAAGCAAACTTCTGTAGATCCCATCAAGAGACCACAGAGCAGTAAGTATCTATTCATTTATTTGTTTTTGTCAAACTGTATTAAGTGGAATTCCTGACTCTTATCGCCATGTTGTGTTTGGTTGTTTAGGAGTAAAGGAAGGCGACAGTTTGCTGGACGTTGATCAGAAGACGGGGACTGTAAAGGCAGAGGAGAGCGAGGACAACGAAAACAAGGGCCATCAAAAGAAAACCGTCAAGAAAGAGAGCGTTGCGATATCAAAAAAGTCTGACTGTCCTGAAGACGGTGGAGGTGTTTCTGTAAAGGGGCTGAGCAACCTGGGAAACACGTGTTTCTTTAACGCGGTCATTCAGGTAAGCCGGTGCTTTATAGGACATCAGTCTTGAATTTAAATGAGAGAAGTGGTGAATTGTAGTTATTATGATTATTGCTACTTGCTGTCATTGTGTTTTCCAGAATCTTTCTCAAACACACATCTTAAGACAGACTCTCAACAAAGTGACAGAAGAGAATATTAGTCTTCACATCAAGCCTGTTTCCTCCTCTGATCTGGTGTGTTGCCATTCATCTTCAAATTGTTGTTAACTGAAGATTGTGTCTAATTTACACAGTTTATTAATGAAAGCCTTTTGTTTGTTATGTGTGCAGGCGCCTATTTTAACGCAGTTAGGCCAGCCTGGATCCCTGACTTTGGCCATGTGTCAGCTACTCAATGAGATTCAGCAATCAAAGAAGGGTGTGGTGACGCCGAGGGAGTTGTTCACGCAAGTTTGTAAAAAGTGAGTGCGACCACCTGGAGCTCAGTCTTAACATGTGCTTAAAATATAACAACAAACAACAAAATCCCAGCATTTCTGCAGTGTTGTTAGTTGTCCCCTCTTGTTTCTGCAGGGCTGCCAGGTTCAAAGGATTTCAGCAGCAAGATAGTCAGGAGCTGCTGCGCTACCTTCTGGATGGGATGCGAGCTGAGGAGAGCAGAGTATGCATTAAGTTTTAAAGCAATTGAGTCTGTGGCTGTCCAAGTGACTTGAGTGTGACATGGATGTATTGACTACAGAACTGCATTGAATACATGCTTGTGAACCAGATGATCTGTATATGCGCCGTGCACTTCTTCTTTCATGCTTATTGTTAACACATCATCCAGATTATTTTAGTCTAGATCTGTGAAGACGTGCGGCTAAATAGCACTTGTTCGCTCTGACCGTAGGAATACTTTGCTCCCCCAGAAAGGTTGTCCAATAGGTTGGTTCATTTTCAAAGGGCCGAGGTTTTATAAGAATGCAGAACGGCGTTAAAAGGTAGAAATGACAAACGATACAGTTCAGGCAAACATTTTGTACGTCTTATGTCTACAAAAGTTCCTCTGTCTTGTTTATGAATGGTTATTTTTATAATTTCCATTTAAAGCTTGTCTTTGTATGTACAGAGAGTAAGCTCTGGGATCAGCGACGCATTGAAAGAATCTAGAAAAGGCACAGATGGAGATCAGCTCAAAACACTAGTTAAAGGTAAGAACCTGGGCTACACATTAAACTCCAATCTTTTAGGCTAATCTGCTGAAACTAATTAGTACTGTATACAATATTGGTACAACTAATAGCTAAATCTTACAAATGAAGTTCTAATTTCAGAATACGAAAAAAATGGATGTCCCAAAAACTTTGTCGACCAAGTTTTTGGTGGGGAAATGACCAGCACTATAATGTGTCAGCAGTGTAAAACGGTATGTATTTTGGATAAAATGCAGGCTAATTTGTTAGTATTGTATCAACCTCAACCTGAATGACCGCTGCTTTGAACTTCCAGGTGTCTGTAGTCACAGAGATGTTTTTGGACCTTTCCCTTCCTGTTTCTGATGAGGTAAATCATTGTTATTTTGTCGAGCAACCACTCATTCGTGTTTTATTTGGTTCGCACACATGTAACCCGCTGGTGACCACATCTTGCAGGCATACAGGAAGAAGAACCTGAAGAAAGCGGTTCAGAGCACCAGTGAGTCGAGCCAGGATGAGAGAAACAGCCCTGCTTTGACAAACGGGAATGACGACGACCTCTCCGGCTCCGGCAGCAAGTACCAGCAGAAGAAAGCAAAGAAACAGGCAAAGAAGCAGGCAAAGGTAGCTCACTGATTTGTAGACTGGTGGAAGCTTCCTTTTCTCCTTATTTCTCAATTTTCATGGTTGAATAATTGTGCAAAATAAACTAAATAGTTGGTATCTTTTAATTTTTCTTGTCTTAAAGCATCAAAAGAGGCAGCAAAAGATTGAGGACAGAGTCACTTTGGACAATCTCTCCTCTGCGAGCCAGACGGAGAGTGAACAGACCAACGCTGCTGCAGATGCAAAGGACGGGGAAAATGCTGACAATGCAACGGATGAAGAAGCCTCACTCAGCGAGGGCAGTCCTGCACAAATCAGTGCTTCTGAACAGGACCAGCAGAACCTAAATCCCGTCGAGGATAAGGAAAAAGAGGAAGACGTGGATTCAGTTATCGATTGCGACCCGTCGGTCAGCAACCGTTTTACGGTCCTGTCGGACGAGCAGCCCTCAAAGGACGTTGTTTCAGACGCTGACAAAATATCTGAAATGGATCTGGAAAGAGATGAAGATGGCACGCAGCTGGTGAGTGAAATGGAGAAAGTAGCCCTGGATGACGCCGACTTGGAAGAATCGAATGCTGTGGATGCAACAATGGAGAGTGAAGTTGAGCCGCTGGAGGAGAAGGAGTACACCGTAGTAAGTCAGGACCCGGAGCTTGCCTTCTGCACACTGGCTACCAGAACGGCCCCTGAGAAACAGGAGTGTTCAGTCCAGTCGTGCCTTTTTCACTTCACTGAAGTGGAAACACTCACGCAGAACAACAGCCTGCTGTGTGTCACCTGCACTAAAGTGCAGTCAAACAAGGAAAAGGTCGGAGGTAAGTGAAAGTTATCTGACTGGCGGTGGAGTTGTTGTGTTTTTGCAGTACAGTATCACAAATTTTTTATTTATTTTTTTGTGCTCAGGATCCAAGAAGAATGTCTACACTGATGCCTTGAAGCAAATGCTGATCTCTTCGCCCCCACCTGTGCTTACCCTTCATTTGAAAAGGTTTCAACAGGTAAAACCATTTTGAAGATGATTTCAGCACGTGTACACATTTTTGATTATGTCAACTCTCAGCTGTTGTTATTCACTCAAATGTGACCCACTTTTTAAAGAGAATAACACTTTCTTTACTGTTATCCTTCAAAATGCAGTGAAACATCCTTTTTAATGGGCATTTCTTTTGTTTTCCTCTAGAATGGATACAGTATTTGCAAGGTGAACAGACATGTCAGTTTCCCCCTGATACTGGATCTCGCTCCCTTCTGTGTGGTTAAATGCGAGGTAAATATTGGGATTGACCACTTTAATTGTCGACACACTATTTGTAAATTCTTTTTTGTTTTAATTGTACTTCAGGTATTAACACAAGTTGTTTCCAAACAGAACTTGACCGAGGTAGATTCTCAGGTTTTGTACAGTTTGTACGGCATCGTAGAGCACAGCGGAACAATGAGGTCCGGTCATTACACAGCATATGTGAAAGCACGATCTGAGTGCCATAAGCCTTCATCCAACGGCTTCATAGCTGAAGGTAGGCGTGCTTCGGCGTAACCATCAATAGAATAATAACAACTTGATTTTAATGTTTTTATGTAGCCCTCCATTAACTCCTCACTTCTCCTCAGGACGTGAAGCGCCACCCAGAGGATCCTGGTTCCATGTCAGTGACACAAGCGTTCAACCTGTGAGCGAGAGTAAAGTCCAGGGTTGCCAAGCCTACCTCCTCTTCTACGAAAGAATCCTCTGATCGGACTGTGCATCACTACTCAGGAAATCCGACAAACCGGTGTGCTGCGTCTGCTCCACAGTGTACGGGATCATCAGTTAACCAACCAGATTCGTCAGCCCTTACAATGGGGCTCGCACAAAGTTAAAATCATAGGGGTTTCACAAAGTGTGTCCGGTATCAAACGGCACCAGCTGTATGTTCACTCACCAAATATTGCAAGGTCGGCGAAGACCCTGGACATTGAACGGGTTGTGGTGGTCGATTTTGTTTGCATTACAAAAATCAAAAATTTCTGGAGACCAATTAAATGTTGTGGGAGAACCCAATTTGTAAAACGTATTTATGTGTATTTTTTTATCAAATCTCATGAAAACAAATCAAAATGAAATGCTTCAATGTTGGATTTGTATACTTGTCTTGGCCTTTTTTTTGTGGCTCCGCTCGCACTGCGCATGCGCAGTACGTGTTACCGTTTTTCCTGCTCTAAGTCGTCACATGACAACATTACGGTCTGGTTCCGGATGTCCAGAAACACCTCTAACGTACTCAATGGCAGTGTTATTATCGAGCTGACATGACAGGTCGGTAAACATTCGGCGTTTATTTAGGGGATTTTAAAGTTACTGTTAAGGGATGTTTTAGATTTTAGTCTCAACAACAGAACGATGCTATCGCCGCGGTTGTTAACGCTATCCTAGCCTAGCGTAAAGTCCTTCAAACATTGCTGTTGTTTCGAACTTTAAGTTAAATGTCAATGTCGTCGGTCGCTAGTAACGTAACGGTCTTGTCGTGAATGTTTATATGATCGTTGAGCCGCTCCTGCGGGGCCCAGTTGTGTAACTAACCCCGCTAGAAATGAGTCAGCATTCCAACTTGCAATCCATCCCGGCTGCTTTAACGTGCATTGGGCATAAAGTTCGCTCAGATAGTTTGCTGTCTAGATCAATGTTAACTTATGAAAATATAATACAATAAGTTATGTTCGACTTGAATCCGATTGGATCATTCAAATCCCTTGATGGGAAGGTCGTATTCTCTGTGCAACTAACGGTTAAGTATTAACGTAATTACTGGTAACTTGTTCCTCTGGTTAAAGACGGTTAAACAAATAAGTCGTATTGCAGCAGTTTGACCTCGTTGTAAAACCGCTTTTCAACACATTTGTATATGTTTTGAGTTGTCTCAGTAATGCCACCAAGAAGCAGAAGTAAAGTTAGTACAGTAAAGTCTGATCATGCGGCTTTGTTTCTTTGGCTTCCCTCTGTCACACAGGCTGAGCATTTCTTCCTCCAACCATGTCGGCCCAAGGCCCTCGCGTGTCAGTGTTCACCTTTCAGTCCGCGGTGCACAGCGACCACGTTCTCCAGTGTCTGGATGACCAGAGGCAGCAGGACGTCCTGTGCGATGTGACGGTGGTGGTGGAAAACAGGAGCTTCCGGGCCCACTGCTGTGTGTTGGCTTCCTGCAGTGAATACTTTCACAGCAGGATCGCCAACGTCACCAGACCGAACCCCATCATCACCTTGCCCGATGAGGTCGGTGTCCTGCTGCTCATCTTAAGGATATGTGGAACAACAACACACACCAAAAAAATTGTGGGCATGACCTGACTGTATTTACCATGTACGAGTAACTTTTTGGGAGAATGATATCAGTAATTGAGCACACCTATCATAACACAAGTGACTTTAGACTGAAGTTAATAATGGGCATCCTGAAAGAAGAGGGCTCGTCAATGAGAGGCTCTCACGTTGATTTGGGGAATGGCTAAAAGTTGAGGGCTGCGATGCACATCCACTGAAAGTTCCTGAATGTGACCAAACATTCAAATTTTGCAGAATGTAGACACTGCAAAATGTATTTTGTCTGGCACTATTTGCTTTTGTATAACATAACCGTTTGCAGTCCTTACAATGTAGCACATGCCTACATCACACTGTCCTTGCAAACAAAATATTTGTCAACGCCGCAGTGAAAAATAAGACCTTTCGTTGATTTTTAATGGGTGTGTAGTAGCTTAGTACCGTAGCATAGGCTGCCTACGTTATGCTGTAAGGTTCATGGTACCTGAACAATTGTCTGCGTCTATTTCCCTACAGGTGACCATTGGGGGGTTTGAACCTTTGCTTCAATTTGCCTACACATCAAAGCTACCATTCACCAAAGAAAACATTCACGCCATCCACAGCAGTGCTGAGTTTTTAGGATTTCATGATTTGGAGTCGGCATGCTTTGATTTCCTCATCCCAAAGTATTCCGAAGGCAAAAGCGCGACACGAGAGGTCAGGCGCAGAGTCTGTTGCCTGAGCCGGGATCCCAGTGCCAGTTTTAGCCCCGGCGCAGAAAGCAGCCAACCAAAATCATTGGAGTCACACAGCTCAGCGCCTTCAAGAGAGAATGAACAAACAGCTCTCCCATCGCAGTGTCCTCTTAGTCAGACGAACAGCGGGGAAAAACACTTTTGTTTGGAGGATTGTGGGCCCCAAATGACCCCCTTATCCTCGGAGTTAACAAACAATGTTGCGTGCCCCATGCTGTCTTTGCCATGCGCAGACACCGGCAAAGCAGATCAAGCCTCGCGGTTCTGTGGGACGGATATTTTAGAGATAGACGTGTGTAACGGAAGTGGGTTGAGTTTGGCAGATTGTGGCTTACCCTGTGAGCTGTCAACTGGGGACATGAATCTGCCAGAACTTATCGAGCCAGCGGGCAGAGATGTTAAGCAGACTGTGGAGACGCTCATGGCTGAAAGCAACTGCGACCCCGGTTCCTGTCCACTCAGCGCGTCGGGGGCGGGCGATGGCCGCGCGCCGTTAGAGCAGAGCGCGTCCGGCCTTGAATCGAAAACGGAAGGTGAGCCGGCAGACCCTGCGCTAAGTCACGAAGAGGAAGACGGGGAGCGAAGCAGCGTGGAGAGGGAGGTAGCTGAACATCTGGCAAAGGGATTTTGGTCTGACCTATGTCCACCTCAGCCTCAAGCGCTCCCTTTAGAGCCGACGGACCAAAACAATCTGGCGAAAGCATCCGATTTTCATTGGCTTAAGCAGTTGGACCTGAGTTCCAACGTAGGAGACTGTCCCTTCCTCAGGGACTTTGGGACAGGGGATGACCCAGCGCCACACGCCGACAGCCTGTCCCAGTCAGAGAAGAGCCCTTACATGTCCTCCTCGCTCAACTCTGGGGACGACTCAGACCTGGACACAGATGGGGACACTGAAGCCAACTACAAGAGAGCAGCAGAGGTAATTTGGATTGGATTTTGGATTTTTTTTTTTTTTGGATAGTTGAAGATATTAAGTGGAATAAACTCGTAAAAACGTTGTCCTCTACAGATTCAGCTCCCGTTCCCTGTGGAGCAGATCTCAGCCGTGAGCCGCAGTGCCTTCCAGCAGCTTCTGAGACACCATCATTTGACTCCGGATCAGCTTGAATTCGTCCATCATGTTCGTCGACGAAGCAAAAACCGCGCGGCTGCACAGCGCTGCCGAAAGAGGAAACTAGACAGCATATACCAGCTAGAATGTGAAATCAAAAGATTAGTAAGTTCCCTTTAATATGTCATATTCTTAATATGTTGGCAAACATGATATGATTGAATTGTTTTTCTTTGAAACCACTATTTGCATCCATTAGTGTAACCTACAGCAATTTTGTATGGAAGTACTTTTATGAAGAAAGCTTCTGGCAAAACCTCCACCTCTCCTTTCACTTTGTGTTCATTTGACATAATAAAAAGTAATTGGAGCACATGTCCAAAAAAATGGATCTACTTAAAAGTAATACAAATATAATGATACTGCTTCAACATCACTTTTTGCTAAAATGTGGTCATAATCCCCAGAGTCACCTCATGTTTTGTATTTTTAAATGTGCACAGATTAGAGTTCAAAAAGGTAGTAGCCTTTTTCTGCACAGCCAAATGGCGAGTTTGTACAGGCAGATCAGACCTCACTCAGCAAACACTCTGCTCAAAAGTTCAATGTCTGACTGTGAGGAGCACAAGATTGTAAATTTAGGTATTTCAGATCAAACCTTTCAGATCAAACCTTTACATTTTTGATTATGTAGACTGATGAAGGAACATAAGTGAAAGAGTAAGAAGCACGAACAAAGACACAAAAGATTATTACAATCCTGTCTGACTAAACATTAGCTTCTGTTCTGCTGAGTGACTCTTTTATTTCAGCTGAGGAAGTGAAGGTACTCAACTGTCCTTCTCCCTACAGAGAAATCAGAAAGAGCGGCTGCTGCACGAGCGAACCGACCTGGAACACAACCTGGTGGAGACGCGGCAGAGTCTGTGCGGGTTGTGTAAGAGCGTTAGCCTCCAAACTACTGGCTCTGATCAGGACCACCTGCAGCTTCTGGCCAAAGTCTCAGCAGACTCCCCCATCCACTCCCCTCCTGTTTTGGGTGCAGGTGAGGAGTCCCAGGTGCTTTTCCAAATGGTAAGTTCTTCAGCGTGTGACCGGAGCAAGCCACCTGCAGACTCGGCTCAAACCGCTGCAGCAGCCACTGGCCCGCAGACGGAGGAGGCAGTTCCTCCACAGAGCTGCCTCTCTGTGTCTCTGCTCGATGTCTGTCTAGACATGGACAACAGCTTATGATTGGACTCAATTTGTATAGTCATTTCTAGTCTCACAGGACCGCAGAGCAAGGGGTGGACTCTTAGTATGTAATACAATCCCCCTTTGGGTTTGATACGCCTGTCTGTATTTCACCGAATATTTTTACGGTATGATATTGGTGTCTTAAAGAGGGGTATTCCTCATATGCATTTCACTGTAGTAAACAATCTTATACTCATCATTTTCACAGATATTTTACAGTAATTCCCTAAATGTTTCATTTTTTTTTACTACGAGGGAGTTCTTAAAATTTAACTTGACTGTAAAAATGGCTGAAATAATTACCGTTTTATACCACCACATACACACTTTGTGTAAACGTTCAAGAAAATAAGATGTTTCTTTTATTTTGAATTGATTCATAATCATTGTATTCTATCACCTGATGTATTATCTGCCACTGTGCTTTTCTTTGATTAACTATGCGCAGCACTAACATAGTTATTTTTTTTCTTTTATAGTACAGGACTGGTTCCAGCTAAAATATATTCTCGGCATCATTATTTCATGCCAGTATATAGTTTGAATGAATAACTGTCAGTTTTTCCAGGTGTTTAAAGAATAGTGTTGCAAGTGTTGCATGGGTCGAAATTACCATATGTGATGCAAAACATGCCTTATGCAGTAGGACAGTATGAATACAGAATGACAAAAGGCCATTTTTTTATGTTTTTGTCTTAAGCACTGTTGCACATGAATTAACCCGGAGCCCACATTGATGGGCTTCTCTTACATTTAAGTTTGTCTTCGTGTTGAGTATTTTCTATCAAATTCTTTCATGGATTACAGATTTTAATAAACAACATTTTGTAACATTCTGTGGTGTTTTTTTCCACCCACAATAAGTACACAGTACCAAAGTTTGGCCAATAGATGGAAGTGTAACTCAATGTACTTCATCAGCAATAGGGAACTCTGCGAGAAGAGATATAAATAACCTGAAACAGCATGTAGTGTCTCGGGTGTCAATGGCGGACAGGACATGATCAACATAACAAAACTGTTAACAGGAAGTTCGGCCAAAGCTCTAAATGGGGAGCAGAAAACCAATGTTGAACTGCTTGTTCTACTTTAAACAAAATGACTTTGGACTAAAAGGTACACAAGGCCGTGGTTTTCTAAACTTGGATTGAGAAAAGTTTTCAAGTAAACTGCCTGATAGTGGAAATGACTTTGGGTAATACTACTGCTTGTACTTGTCTGTATAGTTATGTGATCTACAGGACTACATAGACTCATTAGTATATTAGAATACTTAGAAGTACTATGCAAAGAATTACTTGATCTAGACACTCGGCAGAGTAGAAATTGGATAAAGTTAAGTGTGCATGGTAGCCATAATCCCTGCACCCCAGCAGTGCCAACCGAGTTAAAAGGCTTAGTATGTAGACAGAAGGAACAAACCTTCAGAACTAGTCCAGTGGAAAAAATATCCAGTATATTTCTTGTACCATAAATCGTTGGGGTTTTCAATCATATACGGTTTGTGCTGCTTTTCTTTCTTCGGTTTGGCACATACACTAAAACTGCTGCAGATATTCATCACTCGCCTATAAATGGCCCACGTAAACATGTGCATGTAGACGTATTGCTGCAGATACGGTACATTTGATACCAATAGATGGTGTTGTTTGGCCAACCTTCTATCGCGGTAAAGTGTTGCACACAAACTAATCAATTAGATATACAAGAAACAAGAGATTCAGATGTTCCAATCTGACAAAACCTCCTTTCGCTACTAGCATGCCACGCAGGCTTTTCTTCAATGAGCTTTCATTGAAACAATCATCTTCATCTTATAAAATAAAAAAGGTTTCCTGTTTCCTAATATCATTCCTCTCTTTCATCACAGCAGCCCAGTTCTTATGAAGACACAACAACACTCATGTAAACCATTTTAGATCAATGAATAAGTGATATCATTAAAACAAAAGAAAGGGTTTAATGAGTGTGAAGCTTACTTATTCACTCTAAGCCACCTAACCCACCTGTTGTTTTATCTACTAGTTGTAAATGAGTTAACTTTATTTGTAGGATGAATAGCACTGTAATGCCATCAAATCGACACACCTTTGTCAAAGAACCATGTTTGAGCAGAATACATGACAACATAGTAGCAATCGTGGTGCAACCAAAGATTCATTTTGATGTTGATTGTTTTCTGTGTAGCCCGAGATGTGGAAATCTATCCTTGAGCTAAAAACGCAAACTAGGATAACGATTTGTCAAACGTCTTAAATTGATGGGATTCACAGAGCACTGATGAGAGGAGCTTGGATCATGCTGCAAAGGTCCTCTTAACATTAAGGAGGCTATTTGTTTTGTCTTATTATAAAAATTCCCTTGCCGGTTTTCTGTCCTTTTAGCAACTCTCTGCACTTTGGGACATTGTGTTCTTAAATGGTAAAAATGGCAATTACACAGGTAACCTTCAAAACATACTGCAAAACAAATCCGTGGCTCTAAACGAAACTAGTGTTGTATCTAAGTCAAAAGGATTAGATGATCGAATGCCACAGAGACCAGATATCACACACACATCTGTAGAAAATCCTTGAGTAGATGGTTATCACATCGGCTGTCATCTTCAAATACCAAATCATCATGAATTGGACCTATTTTTTCCTGAATTACACCCTCAGAAATTAGGATTCTCCCCTAGTTGTTATATCTTTTATTCATAGTTTGGTTTTTGCAGCATTGTTGCGCAAAGAGTAAGATGATCCTCTTTTTGCGAGCTACACAGGAAGAGGAACTTGATTTGAGGAGGAAGCAGCTGTACTGCATGGCAAGGTCAGAGGCCCATAATCCGCGGCCTCATTCATGCAAGATTAAAAACCTGCTCTGAGTTCTGATTAAGAACGCAGGGTTAGAAGATTAAAGACCAGCAAACAAAATGAAAGCAGTTTAAGTCCAATCCTGGAATTCATCAGAATACCAAAACCTTAAACTGTCATTACAACGTGAGATTAATGCAAAGCCCCCTTGAACTCTGTATCTGTCTTGATATATCTTCCGTGTCAGAGCTTGTATTTCCTTTTTTATCAAAAATCTAGATGAAGATCTCTCACTTCGTCAGTTCTCCTCGCCTCCCTCTTGATTTGTTTCTCTTATTGAATTTTTCCAAACAATTGGCTCAGATTACTGTAAATAATATTACCATTCATTTTTTTATATGTTTGATTTGGTCACATAATACATTATCTCTTTTACAAAGGGATTACATATGGTAAGACTGCCCGTTCCTTCTGTTTGGCCACGGCCCTTCTGTGGGGTTTATTCCTCCCACAGTCCAAAGACGTACATCTTAGGTTCACTGTTCACTGTTCACTGTAAATTGCCCGTAGGTGTGACTGTGAGTGTGAATGGTGGTTTGTATCTGTGTGTTTGCCCTGCGATTGACTCTTTCACCTCCAGGACCACCCCCTCTCCCAAGGATAAGCATTTCAAGGTGATAGTTGGATGGCTTACCTATATCCCTTTTACCTACTTTTCCCAATAAGTCCATTCATTATCCTCTGAGGGACAGACTACACAGGACACGGGCAGCAGGGATTAGGAAACAGAAGGCAAGGGAAAAAAACAATGATGAGAAATTAAAACATCTGGAAGTTAGCTTACTTGCAAGCAGAGATTATTTATGATAATAAAATTGACAAACACTATTCAGCGTGGCACTCAAGCTTTCTGGCCTTTTTCCTGAAGGCTAACGCACAGATAAATATCAACAGGTCGCTTTAAGTCAACAAGCAGCAACGTTGACATGTTGTGGTTGCCAGAAAAACGATGTCCGTATCTAATTTCATGATGATACAGACAATAATTGTTAAGAAAGAAACATCAGCGAATTTTAAACCACTCAGTAGACATTCTATGGTAAGTAAATTAGCTTTTGGATTAACCGCTTATGTACTGCAAGGAAACATTTCCTCCTATGTAGATAGAAGTAGTAACAGCGCAGTGACCTCCGCAATGGACTCCTCAATGCTGGAATAATGAAAGAAAATCTTGCATTTGAGTGTCTGTAACAGGGCTCAAACTCCTGCAAAACACAACACGTGTGTAATAAATGTAACAGTAAGGTCCATGACCTTGAAACACAACATGAAGCAAAGCAATTGAGCTGCTCTATCTGAAGGGAACATTCCCTCCAGAGAACCTTTCCTATTTTTTATGATTCTTTTTTTTTGGGGAGAAAATTGAACAATTCCCAATATAGAGTGTCTTATTTGTGAATATTTCCAAAGATTTTAGAAAACTTTTCCTTCAGAGAGGGTTCTCTTTAAGGATCGTTCCCTGAAGGTTCAGGAAATGTGTTTCATTCTTCCCTACATTTAGAAAACTTTTAGACTTTCAGGAAATCAAGAGGAGATATTCGCTTTTTTTCTTGATTATGCATTGTTGGCAATCATAGGACTTTCTCTTTTCAATAGTCTTCTTTAATGAGAAAAGTTAACTTTTCCCTTAAGATCGAATGTCCTTCAAGCACAAATCCTTCTCAAAGAATTCCCTGAAGGTTTTAAAAGAAGCTGCAGAGGACCTTCAAGTTAAATATTGTTCAGATAATCTTTAAAATAATCTTCAAGGAACCCAAAGGTTCTCTGAAGGTAAGCAAATGGTTCACCAAAAACTCCTGAAAAAACATTTCTCAAACCCATTAGATCATTCAGAAGAAGAAATGTTCTCTGAGGGAACTGTAACTTATTACATTCTGCAGTCACTATGAACTTCATTTTGGGGGTAGCACCAAGAAGGGGGCTGTATCCCATTGACAGGATTATATAAATGAGAACCATAATACTATAATCTCCCCCAGAAAGAAAAGAGACCGGGGGACATTCTGACCCCGGCTATCAAGCACCCTGCCCTGCAAACCTCAGATTAACAAACAGCTGGTTGTACATCCCGTGACAGATTACATTCACACTTGCCTTCTTGTTTTAGAAGTCTGCACTATAATGCTTTTCCAGCACCAGAATCATTGGGAACTGACGTCTTTTAGTACAAGACCTGTCAAGTAAAATAAAGTTATAATGTATGTGTCGGTTAACTTTTTAGCCGGTCATGCAAAAATGTTTGGGATTTATCAAATGCAAGATTTAACTTTGAATGGACAATTAACTTTGAGATATAGTTTGTGCTTTGAGTCGTTTTTCTATTTAGCACTGCAGAAATGATTCCCGAGATTAAAGAGAAGTCGCACACTGTAGGTCATTTGTGCATTTAATGTGTGCTGGTGTTGATATAGCAATGCAAATCCAATGCAATTCAATTCCATTGTTGCCTATAAAATCATTGACATCCTTCAAAAATGAACAGTTTTCATCCTCCTGATTCACATGCAATACCAATAACTACTGTTGAGGATTTAAAACATGACCATTTCACATTGGGCAACTCAGTCGAAGCACTTGTGCTGATCGTTGAAGGTTCTGCTTAATGCACAGTTTAAAATAACATTTTAAACAGGGATATGGAATTCATCTTTATTCATACATGTACACCAGTAAGAAAACAACCTTTAAATTAAAACAATTTAAAAAAACGTAATGCCGGTGACAGGTGCAGACTCTTTTTATGTAGTTTTTTACTACACTAGATGATACGGATTTAATGCGAAATGGCTCACATGTGTGTCTAAGGACATACATGGTTAAAATCCATTCAAACTCTGTTAAACAGTTGAATTCAAACCGCTTAAACGCTTAAACCTCCAGTGACACAAACTAGATGATCAAAACTGCGATGGAATTGTGTGCATGCTGGTGGTGATATGATTCCCATTGACTGTTTGGCCTTTTAATTCCAAATTAGCATTGTTTTGAAACAATGCTGAATGTATAGGAATATGTCAATATACAATAATCATAAGCGCCAATAAACCAAAATTGTTGTTTATGAATCCCGCTCATAATTTGACTTTTTCACAGGAATAAGTACTTCTAACCTTCATCCTTCATGTGATGCCAAACCTATAATGCAGAGAAAAAGCACACTACATTCAGTAGTCCAGTCCGATTTGGGGAAAGAAATAAATCTTCAGGATTTTGTGTGTGACAAAATAAAACAGCCGTGTTTTGGGGAGTGTGATGAGGATGTTATGTAGAAGCCTAAGCCTGAGTGAGGTGATTGTGGATCTAGTCAGACCTGAAAGCAGGCAAAGAGTGCGGTGATTTAGAGCGGCAAGAAGCTACTGCTGAGTCCGTTTCATTTAAGAGTATGTCCACAAACCATCTCTCTATTTCGGTTTATTTTGCCTTCCTGTGCAAAGCATTTTAACTCGTTGTTTTCAAGTGCTCCACATGTCACCTCACACCATGGAGGATAGAAATTTGTGAGTTCATAATAGTTGGTTAATTAATGAAGTATTTGCAAGCAACATCTATGTATAACAAAAATAAGACTGTGGTGATATGCAGTGTAATATGTAAGTAAACCTGCGGTTACGTAAATCATAACCACTGTTCTCTGATACCATGAAACCTCATGAAAAGAGATAAAAAAGAAAACTCAAAAGTATCAAAACAATCAAATATTCAAAATGATACAGCCGTAATTTGAGACATTCTAGTTTAACTAAACCACAGGTTTTCTTGATGTAACTCAAATGAAGTTGTGATAACTAATTATCACAATTATACAATTATACATCCTTATAAAAGGAAAGGTTGTGCATGCAGACAGGGAGCAATCAAAACCAGAACAACCAGAAATAAAAAGTTAATGTAATGTTCTCGCATACAGTAACTTTAGTCATAATGAAACAATTCCAACCTGACAAAACATATACATGCATGTTTATGAACTTCACATGATACAAAAGCAACAAAAAAAAGTATAGACAGTTAGCAACGGATGGCCTGAGTGTCAAGCGACTTTGTGGAAACTCGTTGATAAGCAAAGTGGAACAACGACCCTTCTGTTATTTAAATACACAAGTACATACAAAAGGTGTCGGAAGTACTTTCATCTCAAAGTTTCTGTGCGCTATAAATATGAAAATTGCAATCATTTTATAACAGAATACTTTCGAACGTCTGCAGTTGTTGAAATGATCATGGCAAATATGCCTCAAAAGATACACTTACCATTACTTACCCGCATGGTATGACACTGTCTTCCCTTTTTGTCGCACAAGACGAGGATCCAATTCTTTGCAAAAACACAGCAAGGCCAAGTGTCAAGATGTCAACAACCATCTGTCATCATGAAAAGGGTTTAAAATGTATACCTCCAATTAAGACTAAATAGTTCATTGTTCAAAACAACAAAAACACTATAACTTTACGTCAAAAACTATTTCTGTTTTGATTGTTACAATGCGTCCACCATATTGAGAGTGTTGTTGGCCCAGTGACACCTGTAGTCCTCTGAAGACGACACTGACAGCAGGAATGTGAACTACGGCTCCTGACAGCCCTCAGTTGAGTCCCCCGGCGAATTAATACTTGTTGTGCCATTCGCACTGACCAACACTCACCTCCTCAATGTCCAAGTTCTTCCTGGATTTGTAAATAAACTCTCCGATGGCAACAAACACTGAGAGGACCAATCCAGCCGCCAGGACGATGAAGATCCCCCCTATGTTCTCCACTCCCAGAGCGCTGGCCTCTTTGCTGTCCTCCTCCGGGCAGCCGTTCCCTCTCCACCATTTCTCCTTCATCATGTGCAGCTTTCCTTCCTCCTGAAGCTGCAAGATGGCAATGGTGATCTTGTCTCTGTAAGGGGAGCCTGGAGCGGGGACAAACAACTTGATTAACGCCGTCACCATGAACTCTGTGTTTGCCGTTTAGTAGACATCTGTGATACTGGTTGGTAATCTTTGTTACCGTGTAGTTGGTTGTTCATCTCTCTTACCAATCGGGGTTCCCACTCCGTAGCCCTTTGAGTCTATCAAGCCTCCAATCTGCGTGAGATTGCAGTTACGCTGGCTGATGTACTCGATGCTGGTTGACTCCATCAGAAGAGCGTAGTCTGTGGTGAGGACCCTCTGAATCCCCTCCCGGTTGTTTTTGACCAAAGCTGTGTTTTTTCTACTGCTCATGAAAGCCCACATTTTCTCGTAAGTTGAGATCTTGGATTTCTGTTGAATCAGGATTAGTGGAAGTTTAAAACTATGGGCCCAACATATAACATCAAAACAGATTTATAGGCTTACAGAAAATAGATGCAATTGACACATTGTCCATAGATGAAACTTGTTTCTAATATTTTAGATGAAAGAAAACCTTCCGTTGACTGAAGCAATTATCCTGATGTGCGGCAGGAGATGGGATGTTACAAAAGTCTACAAATCTGCCCATTTACATTCCATTGTCTCTCTACATTCAGACACATTTGTTATGCTACAAGCAAAACATTGAATCCCTGAAGCCACAGGCTTTTATAAATGTATTTGGATGAGCAAATGTCACAGACACAAACCTTTAACTCTACCATGTCACCTTAATGACTGATGACTAAGACGTCAGGTTGACGATGTTCTTGTTTGCATCACCACACCCTTTGCCGGACGGTGAAAATGAAATTACCTTAAAAAAGGTCATGGTGGAGCCGTCCCTTACAGCGCCGTACTCTATTTTGGTTTGCTTGGCCAAATCATCTGCAGAGTCGATTGGTGAGTCCATTCTCTCCACAGTGAGGAAGGCAGCCAGGTTGGCAGTGTAAGAGGAGATGATGATCAAGGTAAAGAACCACCATATTCCACCAACTATCCTTGTGGAGAGCGCTTTAGGCATCAGTTCGGATCCTGTAAGACAACACAATGCACATTATGAACTGGACAAAGAAACACATCACCAGGCAATGACTATACATTATGGAGAGAAAAAATAGCTGTGACACTTTTGTTTTTCAGGCACACCACAGATATTAGGAAGGTGATGTTTGAGGGTGCTTTAGACCAAGGTCAACTATTTCCAGCTATGAAAACAGCATGATGACATAACAGTATAATAATTGCAGTATAGTGGGCCAATACCTTGCTGCATAAGTGCTCCAACTCCAAACCAGACACTGTTTATCAGAGTGAAGTTGTTTTCAACCACATCGGAGTCTGGGTTGCAGGGGTGAGGGTTGTACCACTCATACGGAGTGAACCTGAAGGTAAAAAAAAAAATCACAATTATTCATGTGAATAATATAACATAACCTGAAAACAAGTTTTTTTTGCTGCATTAACCTCATTTTTCATTGTCATTTTACTGACATGGAGGAAACAAGCAGAAATCACTGAATAAACTCTCACCAAACACATAGAAACATTGCTGCATAGAATGGCCGATTTGTCCCATTAATTAGAAATTGTTTCACGCTTTTACCTGGCAATAACAAAGAGCACGCAGCTGACACCGAGGCACGCCAGCAGCACATACATCCAGATATCCGGAGACAGCGGGTTGAGGAAGGAGAACACTCCCGGATTGGTGCCATTGGGTTTGTGGTAAAGGATGCTGATCCCCAGCGTCATGAAGGGCTTGGAGAAGTCTATCACCTTTTCCCTCACATATGTGATGGTGAGTGGGGCCACGGCGAGGTCAGCCACCTGACACAGGCAAAAAAAACATCGCGCAGACTCTCAGCTGAAGACGGATGACACCCCTGATTCTCCAACGTGTGACATTGATCGGTACTCACGTGGTCAATCAGTTCTCGCACCATGCCATTCCACTCCCCCTTGTCATTCTGAGCTCCATATTTGCCATCGGTCACTAGCTTGACCTCATACGAGAAGCCCAGAATGTTGGAGAGCTCTTTGAGGAGGTCGAGACAGTAGCCCTCAAAGCGATCATTTCCGTACAAGGGCTTATCAGATTTCTTATACATGACATAGGGATTTTCCTGGAACAAGGCAATAAAAAAGGACTCAATTGGTTTTTCCAACACATTCCTCCTCAAATGCTGACTGATAATTAGTTTAGTTCGTACCAGAATAGTTGTCACAATGAGGGTTCTGTTGGCCATTGAGTCGGTCACATTTGTGGATAAGTCCTTGTTGCTTTCTGTTAAATTAAGGCCTGTTTGTGAGTTCCACACGCCAATCTGTAAGTGATAAGATATTAAAATAACCACACTCAAAGATCCATAGTATCCTAAGTTCCATTCACATTATCACCATTAGGAGGAAAAAAGGAGGGAAGAGTACTAAGAAGCAGACAGATTACAGTGGACAAACGGATTTCAGGGAGTGGTAGGGAGAAAAGGAAAATGCCACATTCCACCAGTACCAATATTCCTTCAGTCTGCCAAGGCAGTTAACGTACAGACCTTTTTCCACACTTTATTCAGGCGGTTGCTGCCCGCGATTGTCTTTCAGAAATAATAAAGAAAAAGCATTTTAATCACAGAGCTCCGAACTTAAAGGGGAAAACAGTCAGTTCTGGCTTGAGGACACAATTATTTGAATTCCAATGCCACAATTAAGAGCAGCATTGTCAAAGTATTCAACTGAATATCCACAAAGGTTTGACAGCTGCCATTATTTGCAACAGCTGTGTGAAAACAGTTGATGAGTTCTGTCAATATCAATTTTGCACTTAAAAACACTGTATGGTGTTTCACAGTCATCTTTCCGCATTTTCAGAAAAAAAAGCCAACAGCGAATATTAGTCGCTGTGTTTGTCTAATCTCCAACTCTGCTCAGCTCTACTCGATGTCTACAACAGCATTTACTGACAATATCGCCATGGGTCATAGTTCACCTTCTCCAGGCCATCTTCCTTCAGGCTGATGACGTCTAAATCGAATTCTTTCCGCAGGCCGTCTGTCTTGTTTATGACTATTTGTCCTGTCAAGCCGTTCCATTGTGCCTGTGAAAAGCACAGCACCAAAAAAACAAAAAACAATGAACGTCCTCATTTCTTACTGTCAAAGCAAAATCCAGCAGAAAAATTAAAACAGTTCACAAAAAATGAATAATTGCTAAACATGAAGCGCAAAACACTGACAGAGGAAAACTGCATCTTAATTGACATTTTTGCATTGGCTGGATCCTCAATGGAAATATGAAGCCTCTGAGAATATTACATGCTGGACGGTGATGTAGCCTGGCCTCTGCCTCAGTGGAGATCAGCGGGCGGGCACCACAGTTCAGAGATATATTTGAACGTAGTTGATAACGAAGTGAGCTCAGCTGAATAACAGTCAGGTCAAATCTCGGTTACAGAAGGCTCAGAGAAATGATCTGCATCTCTAATATGCACTGATGGGCGGCTGAGCAGCCACATTTTGTGGGAAGAAATCAGTACAGCCGACTTTTCAAGGTTTGTTTTGCAACTGGCTGTGAATCACAGAGGACGATAGAAAATAGAATTGAAAGAGCAGTTCACTCTATAACACAACAAATGTCTCGCCCTTTCTCTCTGTCTCTATACATTTATAAGTATATGTAAATAATAATAATTTGATATTTCTATGTATCAAACCTTCCCATGTGTTGCATTGCATCTCAATGAGAAATGAGTCTAAACACATTTCGCTGAAAACAAAAACATGCTATTGTGCATATTCGCATATTGCCACTGACAAACTGGATTCTTATGGCTGATAATCTACAACTTGTTGTGAGAAGTTTTGCCTTTCTGTTCTGCACAAACATAGGAGTCAGTTGGTGTTTTTACGAAGAAAGTACTTCTATTCTTTGAGACAAAATGATTACAACATGGCCTGTGGATTATTGCGAGAAGGGTAACAGTAATAATGTTGCATTTTAAAAGAACAGAGGCTGATATTAATAATAGCCAAATTCGTTTGGGAAATGAAAGGGGGTCGAGCTGTCTCACTTTATTCTTTATTGTCTTAGTTGTTGAAACGCGCTATTGCAGCTCACCCTGTGTGCGCTCTCAGAACTAGAAATGATTGGCCGTGCTTCGAGTTACACAAACCAAATGCCATTGAACACATTGTGCAGGCAAACCTTTAAACCAAACCTTTAAACCAACACGCACCCATTGAAAGTCCCAGAATGGATTAATTACGAGGGGGATATGTTAGTTTTACGTCTGTTTCTAATGCAAAGATCTTTTGCATCTACAGAAGGTTACAGAGTATCATTTGGTGAAGTTGAGCTTTGATTAGACCGCTTCACACAGTCTCATCGCACTCATCTGTGAGGCCTACTCAACCCCTAAATCCAGATTGGGTCATGTCATTAAGGCTCTTTTTAAATCCTCACCAATCAAAAGTGTCTCTGTCTTGACCATGTGTTGGTGTCATTACTCTACATGTTGTAGTGATGTCATGGATCTTCTTAGATTGGAGAATCCAGATAATAAAACAGGAATGAATGCTGAAACCTCACTGATTATCCATGTACATACCACACTGGCCGTCAGTGCCATAATGACAACAATCTTATTTTTTACTCCTCACAAAGGCGTCTATACCCCACCTTCACAAAACATGCTCTGCATGATCTTTGGTAGATTTAGGAAAATAGTCCAAATGCGTAAAGCTGAACCGTATTATCTCGAGCTCTCTGCCGAACGTAACTATTAATATTAAATACGTGATACAGCCTTCACTCCTGCAGGGGAAATTTAATTTTCACCTTCCCTCCTCAACGCGAGCAGAGTGTGGCGTAAGTCACAGAGCAGCGCCCCTCGATTCAATGTCCTAAAGTAACCTTCAGTCACAGTCACCATCCACCAGTATCTGTACGGTGTCAAGTTCACCTTGCAATCAATCAATCATATCATCCTATCAACCACACTGTAACAAAAGTAAGAAGAAGGATCATAGAAAATCCATGTAACTCATTGCATAACAAGTCAAACGTTGGCACAAATTTGGCTTTCTGGTTCAAAGGAGCACTATCAGCCCTACAAATGAAACGCTCATGAACACAAAAAACAAAGGCAGCATTTTATCATTGAAACACTTGCTGATGTAAGATATGAGTAACACATTCGACAGGTATGGTAACTATCAACAGAATTACCACACAATGATTATCAATAAGCAGAGATATGATGCTTAGTGTGATGGACCAACTAGAGAGTCGATGTTCTTCATAAAGTGAAACAGAATCAAATTGTCATAACACCTGTTCAATATGTCTGCCTGCTACGAACATCCCCTTTCCTTTCAGACCCTGTAAGACTGTTATCCTCCAGCAGTTTCCCTCAGCTCATCCCACCTTTACAGCTCAAAAGTTAATTTACTCACCACCTGCTCTCTGGACTCTGTGGCATATTCTGTACTTTATTCTGTCTGCACATCTAGATGGAAACTAGAACATTACAAGAGAGGCTATTCAAATCATATTTTTTCAATTTCAGTGTAAATTACTGGGCTACACTACAGGGTACTTCTACTCCCGCATCCTTCAAACTCAAAACTATGATGATCTAGAACAAATATGTTTTAGAATGAGAAGAATAAATTCAGTAAATCATATTGATCATCATCTTATTATCAAAACCTATTTTTATATGAGTACCCTGTATTCAAAAGTTACAGCTCTCATCAGTAGTCTTCGGAAACCAACTTATTTAAGAAACCAACATACCGAACATGATTTCCTGGGAAAAACATTAAAAATATAATCTCCGCGGACATATTCCTTGTTCACGACATCAGATCTCCTAATTCTATTCTCTCTGCTCCTTCAGCCAGAGGAACGAATTAAAGGTAGCAGGCTGTGAAATGGATGGTCGGGAGAAGACGGGCGGCTGTCACACATTCATAAACCAAACTCACGTCTTTGAGCATGCTAATGAAGCGTGATCCGAAGCGCCAGGGTTTATGGCGGTGGCACTGAAGGGAGCTGACGGTGATTTGGGAGGCCCGTTGCGAGGCGGCAGCCACCATGTAGACGGCATCGTACATCAGAGCTGCTTCTGTCTGAAAGAGAAAGCATCCATCAGCAGGAATCCAGATATGCACTTATCACATAAGGACTGCCGACGTACACGCACACAGCTACACACGGTTTCTCAAAGCAGCCCAACTTTTACAAACTGCACAGAATGCAATCAAACAGGAGCCAAAGTTAGCAACATCTGTCGAGAATTCTATTAAAAATCAGCTTAGCTCAGCAGACCTTTTAGGCATGCTGCTTACAGTAGGCTGTAAGAACAACCCCGAAAACCATCACCTGGTGGACCTTTGGCATGCAGTATGACGGGAGGAAAGTAAAGTCACTCACTGTCATCATCCCCTCCATCAATCCGGTCTCTGCTTTGGAGGGAGCCTGCAGTCGCTCCATGGCCCACCTCTCTACCACCGAGGCCACCTGCGGATTGTCTATGTTGAGCAGTCTGAACCCCGTCATGTTGACGCCGCTGTAGCGGTACGGCTCCAAGTCCAGGGAGAACAGGTCCTGCAGGGTGCAGCATCGTCAGTGTAAAATTCACGTAATCCTTAGAAACTACCTAAATTGTAGCTATGAGCTATCCAGCAATGATAACGGGCCAATTTACTATGGATTTATTTAGCACTGAAAACCATCGACAATCTTATTATAAAACAAACCACAGAATCTCTGTATAACAGAGTCACCGGATGAATTTGCACATCTGCACGCGAAGGATAGAAACACACTGCACAATAGAAATGTGTTGTTATGTGCATATTCATTAGGTTTGTCACATTCCTATTTTGGGGAGAAACTCGTGAGCTGAAGCTCCTGTGCACTTTTATTAAAGAAAACTATCTTTGTGTTCTTGAGATGCAGAAATTTCAGAAATGTAGCTTGAAAAAAGTATTCTTACCAGCGTGGTGAAGAAGAAGTGGTAATATTCAGTCATCATCCCCATGGACAAGATCTAAACCGAATAAGAGAACATATATTCACATTTCCCCTCAGGCAGACGCTATAAATGATCTCTTTTGCTGACATGATCCAACCACATCTGTTGCAAAGAGACTCTCGCAAATTGCCAACCACCCATTTTCTGAATGGCATCATTTAGAAATGTTTGCTTGGTTTCCATTAACAAGTATCCAAGTGAGTTGCTCATATTAATGTAAGCGACGTGGGTGTATGATCAGGAAATAAGTCAGTCCAACACGTTTTGGGTTTTCATAACATTAACACTTATTCCATTTCTCACAGCAGCCCTCGAGCCTCACACGTCAAGTTCCTCCTCTCCTCTCCTCTCCATCACTTCACCCTCTCACGACACAATTTCACTTTTCATTTCAATCAATCTTCCGTCTCTTAATGTGTATTTCTGCGTTTAAAAAAAGGCTGCGCTCAAATTTGGCAATGATCATTGGATTTCTGAAGAGGGTAGAATGAGACTAACCCTGCACAAGTGAATATTAAACCAAAGCGATGCAGAAGGACCAACATAAACCAGACTACACTCTGCTGATGGATTCAAATGGAATTCCTGACAGAACGTTTTGGGTGTCAAGTTATTTGTTAAATCCTCAGGGTAATGCCGACTGCCTAGCGTAGGCTTCATGCTGGTAGAGGTTTGTTGCTCACCTGCTTCAGAACATCGGCCGATGTTTGGTAGGAGCAGTCAAAGATGACAAAGAACTCCTTTCCCTTCTTCATCTCCTTTAACAGAGGACGGGCATCTTTACTTCCTGTTGGCAGCTGGCGGATCTTGATTTTAATGCTGTATCTGGATGGAGCTTTGATCAGCTCTTGCAAACGTATCAGTCCTTCAATTGAAAGTCAAGAAGACTATTGTTATGCTCAACAATCACATTTACAATACTTCATATTTCACTATGTTAGAGTGTTTTGGACAGCACAAAAAACTATATCCATCCAATAAGGTAATCAATTTTCTGATAACATCGACAGAAACTCCCACAAAACCTGCTGGATTTCACCTTTGTGCACCATTTGCTTGCCATGATAAACAGCTGTATCTTCACATCATTGGTCGGTAAAGGGTTTAAGTCATGATCACAATTATTATAAATAATTCTGTTAGTTCATTTATTTTTTGACCCCGGCCTATTATTGATAGACAGCCAGAAGTGGAAGCACGCTTTTTTTCGACACTGACTCATATATGGCTAATTTAATATTGCAGTTCTTCACTGTGACCACAAGAGGGTAGAAAATGACTCGATGACACTCGGGTTAACTCGCATCATGTCCAACTAGTAGATGCATAACATCAAATGTAAGACTGCATAATGAAAAATGTACTACTGACCAAAAAAATGCACCAATCATCCAGTAAGCACTCTACCATGCCAGAAGATGTATTTCACATTGCAGTTACTCACTATAGCCACAGGATGGCGACAAACATATTTTCTTAACCCACAGATCGGACCACGTCTCCAACTAGCGTTAAGGCTTTGTTTTGAATGCTTTATTTGCTCTAGCTTCAAGGATGTTAGCTCAGCGACAGAAGCTGAATGATACCACAGAAATTTGAAATCTTAAAAATCTTAAATGCAACTGCACGTTCGCGATGGCATGTTCGCTGTTCGCTGGTGCACTTTATTTTAAATTTTTAAATATTTTTAACTTTTTTAGTTTTATTCCTTTATTTTTAAACTAACCCATAGCCTTATACCACTAACCATGTATATTATATAATTATATTTTATTTTATTTTGTTCCTCGTACACTGTCTTGTCGTCCATTTTCGTACTGTCTGCTGTTACGCACCAACCGCCAAGTCAAATTCCTTGTATGTCGGAGATATTATGGCAATAAATGTTTCCTGATCCTGATCCTGGTATTAAAAAGATATATCTTAATATGTGACTTGTATAATTGCAGCGTTACATATTTTATTTTTATGGACCCCTTAATTAATTTAGCTATTTCTATAGATATAGATATAGAAGTTCTGTTTTCACGTAGTTTCCTGATCTCCAGGAGGGAATGATGGGGTAATATATGTGTATATAGTGAATATAGTGAACACCTTGGCCATGAAAACACGTGCTGTTGTGACTGTGGCCTGCTGAGCATTTACCAACACCAAGAAGCTCTTTCAAAAGTAACACGTAAGATCGCTATTGGTGCTACAGTTTGGAGATTGGATGCTAATTCAGCTTTTTGCAAAGTTCGAGGTTCAAGATGATTCAAAGCATCATTCTGGTTAACCATGTTCATGTCTTAACCATGTTTTATTGACTAATTGTTATAAAACGGTAAATATGCGGTCTGCATTATGTGCTTTGGTCGGAAAACCTGTTAAGTTTGTTATATACTATTGTGCATAAAGCCATTGTAAATTACAACGTAAAACCATGAACATTACAATTTATGGTGTAAGCAGGCTACAAAAAATATTATTAACTGGATTTTCCAAAAACATTTTTGCAATGAAGCTGTTCGTCAATTTATCCAAAAGATATTTGTGAATAGAAAGAATATCCTCCGCCCAAAACGCAGTTTTGAAAATGAAAATACATTCATTTGAAATGAATAACAATGAATGATGACTTTTGCAGAGAAACCATCTTCACTATGAGCCTTTTGGAGGAACGTCTCAAATTAATAAAATCAAATCTACATTTTAAAACATACTCGGCTTTCCACTAACCTTGGATTAATCATGTATTATCCCACAGGGATTTTGTTGCTTCTTTTGTTAGATTGAGGTTCCTCGGGTTAAAGAAAATATAAAAATATACATATTCAAATTTATATAAAACCGTATAACACTTAAGCTCCCATGAGATTTTGTTGCAAATAATGGTTGAAGTCAGATTCCTTAACAAACAATCAACAACAACATCAACTACTTACGGCAATCATTGCACATTACTTCTCATAGTTTAAAATACATATAATAATACTGTAAAAACAGTGGCGATTCCTCCTGCTTGCCACCAACAAACGCTGTAACGTTCATGTTCCACCCAACTATAAAATACACAATCAGCTCAAACCAAATGTAGTTTTCACACATCCGATTTCCAAATACCTTCACAAACCCAAATGTTTTGTAAATACAAAATGATATAATTAGACTGAGTTTTTACATATTTTGCTGCCAAAGTATTTTTACCGGTTTCACTCACCAGTTGCATCTTCGTACACAACAGTGACCGCCTTCCACTTGTAGTACTGCACTATCTCCAGCACAGCTCGGCTTATGGAGGTGTATTCCGGGTAGAGGTTGATGTAGAAGCTGTCTCTGTTGTCCACTGAGGGGTGTTTCCAGCGTGTCTGGATGTGAGGGACCTCCAGGGCGTTGCAAATGGACTGCACCGCACTGACGGAGGAACTGTGAGACGGGCCAAAGACCGCGCCAACGCCCAAAGCCAGCTGGTCGCAGGCTGGAGTAGTGGAACATGAAGTGGAGAGAGCAAATAACCAATGACCAACAGGGTAATCAGTCTCTTCAATTGAGTCTTCAACACAAGAGCAAAGGAAGTGAGATCGTCCTTACCTCTTCTTGAGGCCTCAAAACTGTCAAAAATGTTTATTCTCTGGATGTCATAGGTCAGTGTGGTGTTTGGCATTAAGGTCCGGTTCCTGTTTATGTTGATTACAGCAAATTTAAAGGCCAGTTCTTCAACACTAATGGGCTCATTCTCAAGCGTCTCAAAGATGCCGCCTGGAGGAAGAGAAGAAACAGTGGTGGCGTGAGAGTGATATCGGGATCAAGTGATGCCAGAGAGACCTTCGATTCAATGACCTTTCTCCGTTTAGTCATTCACCTCCATTGCAGCATTTGGAAGGTTGGCAAAACTGAATTCTTACCGTTGCGTAACATGGCCCAATTTTCTATGTTACTTTGCCCACATAATGCTACTAAGAGACCTGGTGGACTTGACGGGATTTTAATCTCATTCAGAGAAAAGCTTGACCTTTATTGACTCCCCCCTTTTGGCCTAAATTCCCCCAGCTGACACGCCTCCCTGTCGCTTCCTTATAGAGCAGCTTCTCAGCCAGCGTATGTGGGGACTTGTGCAGCGATACGTTATCTTGGTAGACATTTAAAAACGTACCGTGCCGTCTGTGTCTCCCCCGACAGGATTCTCAACAGATGAACCGCTGCACTGATTCGCCTCGCAAAGCCACATTTTCAATCTTTTTAAAAATTTGCTGTTCTAAACAACAATCCCCTTCGATGGAATCCAACTTAAACGTGCACCCGTCAGGTTGTGATTTATAGTAGCTCATAGTGAAGCCTCAAAATGTAATGCAATTTGTTGTGTAGAGGTTTTTCTTTTCAGGCTGCCAAAACACTGCTACTATTAAAGCCGTTCTTCCATTACAACGCTAATACTCTAAATAGATTGTTTCCTTCTCTACGTGTTACTTTTTGACTGATTCATTTCTGGACTGACCTTTTTTTGTTAAACATTTGGATTTTCTAATAGAAGATGGGGAGGATTGATTAATCCCATGACAACATATATGACTTTGAAGTCCTGTGATGTGCTTCTGCCCTTTGATTGGACTCTTTTTATTGTATAATTTGGTGGTCTGTCTGTGATAATCCAACATTGCTTTGACTGTTAATCTTGTATTAATAAATCACAGCCAAAACTAATTTAACAAAACTAACCTGTGAGGTGTCGCTCTTTCTGGTCCTTTTTATTTCGCAGAGTGAGAGAAGTAAAGACCTCTTTACTTAATTAATGAATTAACATTAATATTTTTGATTTGCTAAAACAATCATCAGCGAGCAAAAGGGCTTTGATGTCATGTTTGTCTCTAAAGTCTTTTTTTTTGTACTAGTGTGAACCAAGTTTAACATGCCGTTAAACTTTAGTGTGTGTAACCTTTTAAGGGTGGAACCAATTTTCATCAATTGACTGTTCAAGTTTGAAAATCATCACACACATCATCACAATTTCCAAATCCCATGGTTTGTATCACTTTGCTTTCAAAATAGAAAATAACAAACGATATCATTTGAGTTAATTGCTTAATCAATTATTCGACTTATTCAACAATTATTTATCTATTTCTACAAACAATTTCTGTGTTAAAATCATTTTAAGATAATTATATATATATATAGACTAGTGCATAGCCTAACTGTAATCTCAAACACAAACCTAAGAATGTAAGAAATAACACAAATGATGTTCTCTGTCTCATGTCTGCTGCCTTATCCGCCTCTTTATAGAAAACTCCTTCAGTAAGCAGAGTCTGACAATGTCATTACACATTTCACACTACATAGGACAAGGCCATCAACCCCGACAAATTCAAGTGTCAAAATGTAATTTCAAGATCCATTTCTCTTTTAAGCAGAACCACGTTCATCCGACTGTGTCTGCCAGGACCGCAGGAGGGGGATTGTGTCAGAGTTGACTCTTAATCCACTGCGCTGCTCCACAAAGATGACGTCTCTAGCGCGCTATAGCTGCCGTCTGAATATGCGTTACTCCAACCGGGCCAAACACAAAATGTTGAACATTTCAGTTACATGAAGCGCGGCATGCAGAGCAGTAGGATTAAACGTTGGATTTTCCCGGGATTGTCACCACCTGCACATAGGGCGTGCACACTGTGGTGCATGTTGATTTCACCCAAGCCTTTCAAATGTAAATGATTTTAAACATCTGGGCCTTAAGTGATGTGATGATATCATGTACACTGTGCAAACTTGATACAGGAACTAACTGGAAGTACTTTTAAAAGCGCTGCTATTTTCAAAGTTGTTAATCAATCAGCCATGAACACAAATTGTGAAGAACCCATTTTGATGCTACAATAGTTTGCAAATGACCTCACTTCAATACAGAGGCTGCAGATGGCAATAGGTCATTACACTCCCTAACAGTGTTTGAAGACTTGCCTGCAAAATTGTAATCGATTTGAAAGGAGAAAGGCCCTTTAAAAAGCTCCCCTTGAGACCATGATTGTGAATGACCTTTTTCTTTGGTGTAGCATAGCCTCAAACCCCAAACTGAGAAAGCCTTGTCTGGACTCCCTGGTCACTAAAAGCGTGCTTGAAAGTGCCAATCCTAATTCTGGATACCGAGGCTCAGAGGGCAGCTGCCAGGTCCCAATAAAGTCCTTAATTCATTCCAGTGAAATATTACATCTTCATTTAAATTTTCTTTTTTAAATGTGTATTCCATCTCACATGTGTTTTGTGTAAAATAGGGAATATAAACAAGTTTTGATGCAGGATTCGACAACAGAGTAATCCTAGTGACAGCATCATTTCCAATCAATCATTCTGTCCACATACTTAAACAGGGCTTTGGAAAATAGAAGGCAAAGAGCTGCTGCTAAATGTTCTGATTTACATTTTTATAGCTGACCTCTAATCCCGCTCATAAGAATTTGCATTAATCCTGATTCTAAAGCTGAAAATGCAGCCAAAATATGCACTGCATTCGCACTTTCATTTTCAGCAAAAGACAAATACATCTATTTTATTGTATTGCTCGTTCATTCATTTTCCCTTTGAAGCTTCTTTCGGTGAAAGAAATCCCACATTTTTCTCTCCTCAGTTGCATCTGAGAACAGATCTTAAATTTGAGTGATTTGCAGATTGTCTTTAGCTCAGCATGACGAGCACCGGTAGAAGCAATCAACGATGGTCCACATCAATAAATATATATATATATATATATATATATATATATAATAAAGTAATTGAGCTCTCGACAACACACATCATTAATACACCTGAGGTGATTACACACTGTCTGAAATGATTGATTCATCTGTTATCTTGGTTATCTTGTCAAATAAGCTTCTATATTACAATGGCTGACAGCTGCAAGTCAACATCACCTGTCTAGTCTTTTGAATGCATTTCCAATTAAAGAACCCAACAAAACATGATGAGTACATCACCAGGAAAATGAATTCTCTACCTCAGGCTTTAACAGTTGTGGTCCAAAGAGATTGAGTTTAAATTGATTTGCACAGCGGCATTCAGTGAGTTCATTTGCAGACAATCAAGCCACTATGTGTAAGAAGAGATATTTTCACACTTTGATGCAATGTTTTCACTATATATAAGCTTTACAATAGTTTAAGGCGTTTCCATACTATCTATGATTGATTCGTACCTACTGGAGCAACACCTGCGAGGCGAGCTCTGGACCAACATGCGCTGGCAGCGCCTTGACTGGGGCCTCGGCCGGACTCATGCTGAAAACTCAATACAATGACACACTCCCTTGCTGGTCTTCAACCTCCACCTGTGTTAGAATATTTTGTGCAAACCCTGTGGAAGACTTTAAGTGCAGTGGACTATCGCAGGGAATGAATAGGTATGTGGAATGTAGGTCGGTGACTGTGGAGCCACATCTGGGGCGCAGGACGACGGGGAGAGATTGCTGCCTTTTCTAATATTCATGTTGTCAATTTTAAAATAATGCCCTACAGGAATGCACCGTTGTTTTTGTTTTGTTCATCACCCGTTTGTTGCGTTACAAATCTGCCACAACCGAATTCTGTTGTGAACCCGCGTGTTGCATAATGACAACAAGCGATCCTTGAATCATTGAATGAGGGAGTCTCCAGAGAACACCGAGGATCTCTTAAAACCCGACCACCACGTCCTCCGTGGAGGAAGCAGAGACCTGGTGGAGGTCGCTGAGGTGGTCAATGAAAGCTCTTCGGTGGCAAAGCGCCTGGGGTGGATGAGATTTGCTCTGAGATGTTGAAGGCTCTTGACATTCTTAAGCTGTCTTGGCTGACCACATCTTGAGTTTCATGTGGAGGTGGGGGACAGCGCTCGTGGATTGGTAAACTGGGTGCTGGTTCCCATGTTGTTAAGAGGGACCAGAGAGTGCGCACCAACTATCGAGGTATCGACCTCCCCAGCAGAAAGTTAGTTCCAAGGTTTAGTAACGTAAGCTACAACTAATTGTCTCAGGGCCATTGCAGCATCCTTGAGAGTTTGCCGATCCGGTCCACATGTGTTTCGTGGACCTTTAGAAGAATCGCATGCTTGTCCCGCGGGGCGTACTGCAGTGTCTGGTTTGGGGAACTTGAAGAGAGTCAACCTTCAAGTCTGAAACCATGGTTCTCTGCTGAAACAAACAGGTATTTTACCCTGAGGGTGGGAGTAAATCTGCCCCCTAAAGAAATGTACGTGTCCTCTGGGCATTGCAGCAGGTTGTGGTGGGCAAGATGGAGCTGGGTGGATGTTATTCAGACCACTCGGAGTGGAATACCTGCTCTCTGGCGTCCAAAAACTGATGCTGGCTTTTGCGCCATGCTGCAGCGCCATGTTAAAAGTCCTGCCTCAACACAAGGTTCTTTAGCAGTGTTATGTGATCAATTTTTTAAAGGCAACTCTCAAAAATGTGACATGGGATGATGCACTTTTCCATTCTGCACTTTCCATTGAGTTACACAAAACAATTCTGTCAACGCAATTTGTCTTTGGGCATCTTACACTCGTTTGCAGACGACACGTGGATCAATGCACTCACTCAGAGGAATGTTAGCAAGCAAATAAACAAAGGAATAAGACAGTTGGTGGTGTCTGCATTTATACTTCAGTAAATACAAGTTTGAGCATGCAGGTGCAGAGCGGCATGTGAAACTAGAATCATTACACAAGCTTGTCTTGTGATACACTTTATTGTGCACGTTGACAATGCAATCATCCATTCCCCGTTCTCCAAAATATAATTAAATGAAATTAACAATCTGTGAATACCTGCATGATGAAGCCATGCTCCAATGAAAGCGTTTGGCTCATAATTGCAGTTCACTATTACTGATCAATGCTTTATGATTCATTCAATGTGTAAAGAAAGGATGGAAGGGGAGTTCTTGCCATAGCCACCGGTAATTACTTTCCAATATCATTTTCAGGATCACTAAACTTCCTTCACGTCTTTAATAGGCCAGACAGTGCTGTGGGGTGATGCATGCTGGGAGGTCACAAAAACAAAAGATTTAGCTTTTTGCTGCGGGCACATACTGATAAAGCCTTAGGCATTGCTTTTAATAGACGTCTGTTCCTTCTTTCAGGGCTCAAAGAAATAACAGGGTTCTGGTTTCGGTAGCTAAGTGGACCTTTTTTTTATTCCTAAAACCCAAAGTAAGAGGTTAATATTAAAGAACCGTTTAGAAGGCTCTGATTCTAATCGGTGACTTTTGTGCAATCATCACATGAAGGAGAGTCTTTTAAGGCAGGGGAACACAATGACGTAGTGTTTCGGTTTCTCCCGTCTCACCATCCTGGGCCAGTTTCCAGTAAGACCCCCCCCCCCCCCAACCCGACACCACCACCACCACTCCAACCTGGGCCCCTGCCAAGCTGTGAATGAATGAGGAGGCCCTAACCAGTCTAATATCTCCGTTTGATGTGGAGCACTGGGGTTTCTCTGTTTTGCAACCTAACAACAAAACTTTTAGATATAAAAAAAATAATAATTTAATAATCTGTATCAAATCCGCCTAATTTAGGAATCAAGACTTGAACAAATACAGATTGGAGGCAAAGCCACAAGCTGCCGCTTCTGCGCTCTCCGCAGCGATGAGATTTGGTGGCCGTCTGAGTACCATATTTGAGGAAGAGACTTTCTGCATTAAGGGGATTATTGTTAGTTGTTTATGGGCTTGGGGGGAGAAGATTTACCATTATTACCAACCCCAGTGAAAAGAGTGGAAGATCTCGGTCACAATCTGATGGCAGCACTTGCCAAGACGGAGAAATGTTAATTGAACGAAGCCTCGCCATATGGGGGAGATTATGGTGGGTTCATGTGTCATGAAGAGAATGACAGAGATTAGGGGCACACTGAGAGTGATAGATGATTTAGAGAGATTAACAATATAGAGAACAGATCGGGACTGTTATAACAGGGAGGTCGCCCAGGCCTATTAGCCCTCGAAGTTACGCAACAGCACAAGTCTCAATGTTAAAGTCTCAACATGTAGAGGGAATTAAGAAAAGTACTGAGTGGTCCGGGTATTCATATAGGAGCAGAGAGTGGTGATGCAATCTTCTAACCCAAACGTTGACTCTTTAAAACAAGTTCAAGCATCAAAACTGGAAAGGGAATAGTTGGAGCAAGTGCTGCGTGTGTCTAATTACAATTGAAAGCAGCATTTTTTGTCAACTCTCGAAGGATTAACAGACAACTTTGGAGTCAGATTCACATTCACAGGTGTCATGGCGACAACTTCTGAGATTATTGGGTAGGAGAGAAGTCTGTCGACCCTTCACTCTTTAGCGCTGTATCATTTTCACATTCCTCCGTGCCAAGAAAATCATCATGCCAACTTAATCACTTATCTGCCTCTGACCTGCTTTTTAAAATGGAGGAAGAAAAGTGGATTTAAAAGATATGAATACTATGTGGACTACCACAGTCATCAGTTAATTTGCATTAGGAAAATAAATCCCACAAATAATCTGACTGTGGAATGATTACTCTACATGTCACATCAACATGGTAAGTCTCTGGGAAGATATTTTCCTAATTACTGTTGCATAACACGGGCACACACTTGTATGTACAGTATACTTATAATATGATGTACTATGCAGTAATAAAGGTATATCCAGTATATATTTCCTTAGCACACAGATTCTTTAATTTAGTTTTTAATTGAATTTAATCTCCCAAACTGCACAATTACCATGAAGGGATATCTTTGCATAACATCCACATGTATGATATCTCGATGAACTACTCTAGCTGTCTCTATTTAAAAACAACATGTATGTATTAGTAAGGCCACTGTGGTACATTGGAAATAACATGCTTATGCCACATGTTTTAGTACATACATAAAGAAAGGTAGAATAGGTTATTAATCCCAACAAACTGCCCTCAACCTAGGACTTTAATGTAATTATGTAATTTAGTATTGAAAAAAGTATTGCGGCAGTATTAATATTAACAATGAGTATAATGGCATTGAAAAAGATTGGACAAATGTACTACTTACCGATTCTCAAGACCTGCTGTGAAGTGAGCCAGAACTCTGCTATAAAGTACAGCAGTGCAAATCCCTTCCATTTCGCCATGGTCCTCTCTCCAAAGTCAAATTTATCATTTATATCAGTTGTTTTGCCCTCGGTAATTCATGCTGATAACTTGCCAGTCCTTGTATCCGTAGCAAAAAAAGAATGACAACCGACCCACATCCATCTCTCACACATTGTGAGGAAAAAACAACAACAAAAACACAGACTCCACCTGCGGCTGCCACTGTTCAAAATAACTTCAGTTTTTCCATTCCAAAATCCGTAATGTGCCTGTAAGGTTTTAGTTCCAATGTTCACTCTCCTCACATCCCTCTTATCATGTTCTTTTCTAGTGCACACTTGAATCGTAGCCTGCAATTTAGGAGGAGGACCGTGCGCTTGGCTCCTCCTGTCAAGCTTGCGTGAATAGAAATGGGCATTTCATATTTCCACTTTCAAAATAGAATGTAAACTTAGGTCTGGGCATTATCACAATATTTAAACAATAATATGGAATAAGGCTACATACTTGTAATATTTATTTTGGGGTATTTGTTCAAAAAGTATAATAATATTTGTTTTTTTCTTAATAGCCCAGCTCTAGGTGAATTGGCTGCATGTATGTCTTCCATTAAACGTGTGTGATAAACAAACTTTCCACGAATTCAATAAAACTGCAGATCCTTTTGTAGGTGTAAGTCTTTATTATACTAATTGTACCCTTAATACATAATATTCATATCACATCATGTTGCTGCTTTTATTTTGAAATCAAACATGCTTGGTTTCCGGTCTTGCTCAGGCTGTCCTTGTCTAACTTGACAGCCGAGCGTCTCCCGTGCTGGCGCTCAATTGAGGGCAAAACCAAGCTGCTAATCCTACAAACATGGATACGTCCTGAAGATTAACTTCAAATCTGGCAACATTCGACCTCGACAACGTCTTTGCTTTTCTACACCGAGGAATGATTAAATCTTTGCTCCAGTCCTGATAGAAACGCAGATCTAATCTTCAAACTGGTGTGCGGTGCTCCCTCGACGATTAACTACCTCAAACTGTTTCACTGGCACTGTCTCATATTAAAGTAAAGTCAAATATTTATGTTATCTTAACCCACTTGAGTGGTTTGGGATGTAAATTATAGATTCTGTTGATTTCTCAGCTGCACCAATCAGCAACCATGATAATTCTGAAAAAATCAGGAGCGTTTTATGTTTTTTTGTGTAATCTCTGTCTCTATTATATCATTCCCCAGAAGTTAATAAAATTAGATATTTATAGTTGAGACAAATTTCTCAATCAACAACTTGTGACACTCATCACGATCTCTGATGCCCTCTTGTGGTGAGCGATGAGAAGGTCGAAGATCAGCTCAGACCACCAAAGACACTTGAGAAAGTTTTTCATCAAGCAGTAATCACGTCACACGGAGAGTTTACAGGCATTGACTCAAAGAGGATTCAAATAGAAACAAAAACAGATCAATGACTTTAGACTTCCGTCTGTGAATTGAAATATTTTGACAGAAATATTTTAAAAGAAGTAGAATTTTCAGTAGTGCTGTTGTGCACACCGATAATGTCCTTTAAAACATCTGTATAACTGACACAATATGTTTGGTTCCATTTAATATTTACTTAACATTTTGATCATTTATTTTACTTACTTATTTCATCTTTCTACTGCAACACCGATAGTCCATCCAAGCAGAAAACAAAACACTATACAGGGAACCATTTTAACAGATTCCAGACAATCCATCACATCACATACAGGTTATAGCATCTGTACATGTTTACAAAACTGCTGCTGTCTAGAGAAACACAAATTCCACACAAAGCTCTATTTAAAGCAACGGCTGTCAGCCTTTAGTTGCTGAGGGAACTGCGCCTGCTAATGAAGTGTTTACCACAAAATAATTCCATTTATTGATCACGCTCATCCAGTCTATAACTGTTATACAAGGAGGTTATTTAATAATTCATCACAGCTTCTTTTTGGAGTGGTTGCATAGACACTTGAAAAACAAAATGTATTGAAACACATACAAATCGGATTATTTCTCTTAACTCAACTTTAAAAAACTTTACCGGGGGCTTAATAAAAAAAGCACAACGCCTTTATTTTACAAACACGGTTACGTTTAACAACCCATATTTAGCTTTATCTCAATACAAAATCGCAAAAGTGAGTAAATAGTAGAAACAACATAAACACGCTATTTGCTCTGAGCGTCCGAATAGCTTCAGCCTTGATCTTGACCCTAGTGAACCAAACCAAATTTGTTTTAAATTTGATTCCGATGACGAGCACAGTGCTCGCTTTAATGTTTAACCAGCTGTAAAAACTCACTCACAGCTTGTGTTTATATGTACACACCAGCGTTGTTTCCCCTTTGTTGAATCCTTGATGTTTCGTAGCCTATGAAAACAGGAGTGTGTGGAACCGGATGAAAGCTGGACTGGTAGGATGCGTTGGGGTCGCTGACATAAGCATGTGAATACGGCGTGGCGCTTTGGCTGCTGTGAAAGGAGATTCCTGGCGCGTACACACTTCCCACGTTGCTGGAGCTCCGCATTGAAGGGTGGCGAGCCGTCCCGCCCTGATACACCACTGACACGTTGTCAGGCAGACCTGAGTTATACACGACGGGAGGATTGAGTAGTACTTCACCATTTGTCATAACCTGGGGGATGTTTTGCCATTGCGGCCCAAGCTGTTGTCCATCGTAGCCGTGGCTGGAGACACTGGAGATGGGTTGATACCTCATTTGATAGGGCACCAAGTTGTCTTGGTGGTACACGCCGAACGAGGCTTTGTCCGAGGCCACGCGGCGGCAGAGAAACAACATGGCAGATGCGAAAAGGAAAGCGCCCGTCACCCAACCGATGTAGAGAGCCTCTCCCAGCTCCCTCCGCTGGGCGTCAATCAGCAGTGGGTTGTAAAAATCTTTAATGATGACATGAGCCGTCCACGACACGGGAATGAGGACACAGACACAGGCCGCGAGCTGCATTCCACCCGCGACCATCAGAATGACGTTCTTGGCCCGGTCATTGTCCTGGATGCAGGACGTACACCTCATTCCGACCACAGCCACAAGGAGGCCCAGACCCGAGAGGGCCAGAGAGCAGCACATCAGGCCCCTGGCTGCCTGGAGGTCGGGGGGCAGAAACAGCAGCGAGTCGTAGATCTTACACTGCATCCTGATGTTGGCCTGCCTGTAGCAGTTCATCCACAAGCCCTCCCAGCGGGTTTCCATCACTACTATGTTCTCCCCGATGAAAGCTGTCACCTTCCACATGGGCATCCCCGTGGTGGCCGCCGCCCCGATCAGCCCGATCAGACCGACGCACACTGCGGCTATCTCGCAAAAACCTTCAACCATTGTGCGGGCCGTCACAAAGTCAGCCGTGTCCAAATTCAAAAGGAGTTCAGTGAAGAATATATTCCGAGTCAGAGTCAATGATGTGTCCACGGCTGCGTAGGTTTCCTGATCTGATGCAGTTTGTAAAGTGGAGGAGGGGGTTTGTTATGGGGAAATGCTTTGCTGTCACCTGGTTGGCTGAGGGCGATGGGGGTGAAAAAGGACCTTTGCTTACTTAGTGTTTATGGTTCCTCTGGTTATAGAGGTGTATCAGTAAACCGATATATACAGGACACAGCTTGGAACTTCAGAATCTTTTACCACTTGCTTTATTTTCATTCTCAATAATTGTATGTGATACAAATGTACATTGTGGAACATGAGCTCCTGCAGTATTGCTGTTGTCCACAGGGGAGCAGAAGTGACCTTTGACGTGATTAAACTGAGAGGAGTTCACGTCACACAGTCCAAAAACAGTCATTGATTGTCGAGTAGCAGAAATATAGTTTATATAAAATGTTAGAACTCCAGTGTCATTCAAGACATTCATACAAAAACAGGTGGTTCATTTGGGTTTAATATTTAGCAACGATGGAGAAAGACAACATTGGCATTACATCACCACATATTTTCACTATGAAACTGCAATGAAATGGACTAAACAGCTTTTTGTCGTTGAATTTGAGTTGCAAATTCTTTTCTCGTGAACGCCGCCGCTGGGTCGTCCCTGTCTGGCTTCTCCTGAAGCACTAAGGCAGCTGTCCACACCTTTAACAAGCAGTTTTCAACCTGCATCTCATGTTTACTCTGCCATTTGTTCAGTTTTATTTAGTGGCCAACAGCCCCAGGGCATCACCCCAAACTTAAACAAAGACTTAAAATTCTGTTACGATTGATTGGATACGCACACAACCTTTGGAATTTTAGAAACAAATATCTGTGCATTTCCTACACAATCAGTTACCAATTTACCCCTTTCTGTCCTGAGGGAGTAACCGCTTGGTCCTGTGATCCTGCATCTAACGACAACTAAGCAGAACCATATGAGTGAAATGTGTTTTAGGGGAATTGTTTTTTTACAACACAAATGTGCAAAATACCACACAAATGCAACATTTATGTTAAAGGAAAATAGGTTCAAAATATCTGTAGTAGATAACTTCTCTGTATTACTACATAGGTCAGTCATATGTATCTAAAACAATAAACACCAAACACCTGTATCACTTTACTCAATGATTAATTCAGTTTTATATTAAGCACACATATATACAGCATACAAAATTGGTAACACAAAATAGAAAAGAAGTCTGTCAGTATGATTGATATGCAACACAAAGTAATAAAAACCATGTATGGATAGGTCATAGCTCAGTGATATGAATATTCTGTAACCACTGCTCTTAAACCCTATAAGTGCTACATAAATGAAATATATAATTCCATGTTGGTGATTTAAAACAGAAATCCATAGCAATCTGATCTGTTTACATTTACATTTATTTATCGAAATTATTTCTTAATTGAAATGTCTGGGATTGCACTGCCAAGCAAAGCTTTGTTAAAAAAAGATTTCCCCACGCATATATTGACCATTACTGCAATCTTATTACCTCAGTCAGCTCAGGTGTTTAGAGATAAGCCACCCCGCTGCGTACAGAAGGGTATCTGGAATGGTAGCTGTAGTTGGTTGAGGGTTGCCTTGACAGCACCGGCTGAAACTGGGGTTGTGTTTGGGGAAGAAGCACCAACTGTTGAGGCTGCAGGCGCTGCGGAGGATAGTTCATGAAGTCGGAGGTCTTTGAGTACACGTACCTCTCCGACCCTTTGTCCTCCGACTGCAGATTGCAACAAACAAACATGCATCCTCCGAATAGCAGGAAGGCGGCGGCCACCCAGCCGATGTAGAGAGCCTCGCCGAGCTCCCTTCGCTGGGCGTCTATCAGCAAAGGGTTGTAGAAGTCCCTGATGATGACGTGAGCTGTCCAGGACACGGCGACGAGGACGCAGATGCACGCAATTATGATCATGCTGCCTGCGACGATGAGGACCATCCGCTTTGCCTGATCATTGTTTTGGATACACGACGTGCACTGCATCCCCAACAATGCGATCAGCAGGCCGAGGCCGGCCAACGCCAGGGCGCAGCACATGAGCCCCCGGGCCGCCTGGAGGTCGGGGGGCAGGGCCAGGAGGGAGTCATACACCTTGCACTGCATTCTGATGTCGGCCTGCCGATAGCAATTCATCCACAGACCCTCAAAGCGGGTTTCAAAAACAATGATGTTTTCCCCAATGAAGGCCGTGACTCGCCACATCGGCATCCCGGTGCTTGCGGCCGTCCCAATAAGCCCGATCAGGGTCAATATCAAACCCACAATCTCCAGTGCTGAGTTGGCCATTACGTCCTCCTCTTATTCCTCCAAACTCATGCGTGCAATAATGTGCGGACGCGTTGTGGCTGCACCAGGAAGCAGTAGCTGGATTGACTTTGCATCCCAGTGGAGGAGGAGCAGGATGATGTTCACCTGTACAGCCTCCTCCTTGTGGACAGGACACCAGAATGGGAGTGGTGGGAATTGCGACCGGTTGCTAGGAAACGGTGGCCCCAAGGCCTTTTTCTCTTTGTGCACCTACACCGGGAGCTGCTGTAAGCTGCGAGGTTGTTTATTCAGAAGTCTCCATTTACATTCTCAAATTACACTTGAAAAGGAAGTTGAGAAAATAAAAGTGTATTATTCAACAAGGCAAGGGGTTATTTAAATAAAATATATACTTGATGTTCATGTTATGGATTAAATCTATTTATATTGAAGACACGAATCAGCTCTGGTGCTTAAAATTGCCATTTGGTTGTTTAATCACTGTGTTATCCATTATGTTACAAGGAATTAGGGGTGTTTACATTGTGTTGGTTTTTTGTGGGATAGGGCTCACACTTGTGTAACCAAGTGACACTGTGTGTATTGGATTTCTTGTCTCTGGCTCTTGGCCATTAATGGCCATTAATATTTATTTTTTTGAATTGCTTCACACACATGAGTTGGCCCGCTCTCCTCAGAGTAGTGCACAATATTCAAGTTTTTACGGTATGTTGGTACACACAATTCCAACATTCATTCAACACGTTAAAGTTGTGATGGGTAATCAAGTTGTTTTAATGTCTTACTTTGCTCAGTGTGCTCAGGAAAAGCATGCCTCGGTTATAAATACATCATGGGCTGGATTGCAATCTGGTTTTACCAGTTCAGGCCCTTTTCTACTGACGACAATGGAGACAGCATTCCATTTACACACCCGTGAGCTAAACAGCAGCAGGTTTAGTGGGACATACAGAAAATAATTAACAAAAAAAACAAAATATCTTTTTGTCAACATTGCCCTTTTATTGGAAACCACAATTGACCTTTGTGCGTTTAGGCCCAAATTTTCAAGAGGAAGATGTACATTCACATCAGAAACTTCAGGTCAACTTTTGTCAACTATCGTATGAATACAGATTATAAATACATCTGGATGATCCATCTAAGCATATGGAAACAAACAAGCATTATTAGCAGATTTTATCATGATCAGAACAATATCAGTTCCATAATGAATTTTATTTGGGAAAACACTTGGCCACCTCTGAGAATGTAATGGAAATATGGCCATTTCCAGTGACCCCCTTTGGGCATATTAGTCACTTCAAACTCATTCAAACGAGCCAAATCTTGGAAGGTAAAATAAGAAAAAGAGTCCAAAATAGTCTCTGTTTAAGATTTCCATGGCTAGTACTGGCTCGGTGTGTAAGCTACTGACCCCGGCGGGGGTAATGAGTAGGGAGGCTGGTAGGTATACGCCGGCTGGTACGTGTATGGCTGGTACGTGTATGGCTGGTACGTGTATGCAGGTGGGTACCGATTTCCGTCAGGGTTGTATACAATCTTCTCCTCTGGATCCTGGGTGCGGGGAGCGTGGCGGCACAGCAGGATCACTCCGGCAGTGAAAAGCAAGGCTGAGGTCACCCAGCCGATGTAGAGAGCCTCCCCGAGCTCCCTGCGTTGGGCGTCGATCAGCAGAGGGTTGTAGAAGTCCCTGATGATGACGTGGGCGGTCCAGGACACGGGGATGATGGTAGTGAGACAGGCCAACAGGAACAGACAGCCGCCGCTGACGAGAACAATGTGCTTGGTGCGAGCCCGATGGTCCACCACTTTGGTGCACTTCATTCCCACCGCCGAAACGACAAGAGCGATTGTGGCCACGGCCACAGAGCTGCACATCAGACCCCTGGCAGCCTGAAGGTCTGGGGGCAGAAACAGCAGGGAGTCGTACACCTTGCACTGCATTCTGATGTTGGCCTGTCTGTAGCAGTTCATCCACAGACCCTCCCAGCGGGTCTCCATGGTGATGATATTCTCCTCAATGAAAGCCGTCACCTTCCACATCGGCAGGCCGGTCACGGCTGCCACCCCGATTAGTCCAATGAAACCGATGATGAGGGCCACCACCTCGCAGCAGATGGCGTCCCGGCGGTCTTTCTTCTCATTTCTCTTTTTTTCCTCGTACAGGGAATCCTGATAATCGGCATACGTCTTGGCCTGCTTCTCGTCGTAGAAAGAGCCCGGGTAAGATTGAGGAGGCTTGCTGTAGCCAGTGTAAGCCGTGTAAGAGGCCATCGTGGCTGTAACAGCAGAGAGCCGAAGACCGGACTCTCTCAAGCTCTAGAAACTCAGATGAGGAGAAGAGAGCCAGTGGCGGAACTTATACACCCACAAAGAAAATGCAAAGGATGCAATGCAACCTTACAGGTTGAGCTGCTTCACAAAGAGACACACGGGGACGTAACAAAGAGCTTGTTTGAAAAACAACTGCCACCAGTGACAAATCAACCATTTGGTGTTGTTAATAAGAAACCTTAATCAAAAACTGAATTAATAACATCATTAAGTCACAGTTGATCAAAAAGTGTTTTATCTCTTATACATGTACTATACAGAACACTTTTTGTTATTTTAAACTAAATAAATAATTTAGTCCCCTAAAGTTGACAAAACTTTGATTTATAAAGCATCAGCTAAATCATAAATGTTCCTAGTTAGAACTTAGAGGTAATAAATTACATGTATTAATTAAGTTATTCTTACCTCCTAAAGCTAATGAGAAGTTTAAATGAGTATTGTGTTTGGTACATAGTCAAATGTGTAGGACAAACTTCTGTATCTTCCTTTTACAAATATTATAGGATTGGGAGCGATGTGCAACTATCTCCTCCTTTAAATGTAAAGTGAGCTGATGAAAAGGTGTTGAGCACAGAAACTTGAGTGGGATTGTTTTCATTGAAGTAATGAGACAGTATTTGGTTCTCACCCAGCTGACGGTGCACTGATGTTTTTCTGCCTTTTGCAACAAATAACGATAAACATGAGGTGTGCTTCTAGATAGTTTGGGCATTGACCGAATGACCTTTTACTATTCAGCTGCTTTTAAGACTATTATACTATGGTGTCCAAATCTAGGATTAACTAAAATGTTAATAGAACAAATATAATCACACAAGCAAACATAGAATCAAATCTTTATTGTCTGTTCATTGTCCATAGGTAGTGTGACTACTTCGACATTAATTACTACCAAATAAAAATGAATACTGGAGAGAATTAAGCTGTTGTGTGACAGTGATAGTTGACAGTGACAGTTGATAACTAAAATGGACCTTTTAAATATCAGAGACAGCATTTCAATGCAGCACAGTTCAGTTCTTTACACATATTGTTGATGCTCATAAAAGCTGGATGGCTTCCTCTCTAGGTACACGCTCCCGTCTTTCGGTGCATCCGTCACGTCCATAAGGTGAGTGTCGGCGTAAGGCTCTTCCTCCTTTGATCTGCGCCTGCTGTAGCTGAACAGAAGAATGACCCCAGAGATCAGCAGTACACCAGAAGTGGCCCAGCCAACGAAGAGGGCCTTCCCCAGCTCCCGTTTCTGAGAATCCAGCACCGTCGGGTTGTAGAAGTTGCTGACGACAGTATGGGCCACCCAGCTGACGGGGATGAGCGTGGTCAGAAAGGACAGCAGATGCAAACCACCTCCCAGGGCCAGGGTGACGTTCTTGCCCTTTGTATTGTCGTCACAGCAGCTGCTCCTTTTGGTCCCGCACGCTGTGACGGAGAGGGAAACAACAACCAGGACTACGGACACACACATGAGCCCCCTGGCCGCCTGCAGCTCTGGCGGAAGAATGAGCAGCGAGTCATACACCTTGCACTGCATCCTGAAATCGGCTTGTCTGTAGCAGTTCATCCACAAGCCCTCCCAGAGTTCCTCCATGACGATGAGATTGGCACCAATGAAGGCGGAGACCCTCCACATGGGCAGGGCAGTGACAGCTATGGTCCCAATAAGGCCAAAGAAGCCCAGAACCAGCGCGAAGACCTCCGTTTTTGCTCTCATGGCTCAGAGTGTAGTGCAGCCTCGTCTGTCGTCGAAAGCACTGCTACGCTCGTGTCTTTTGCAGAGCCGTGGGTTTGTGATATTATCGTCATTCATGCAATGTCATCCCACTGGTTTTTGGGCTCACTCAATCATTTGTTCTTGCTAGTGTCTTTGGTACAAAGTACCGTGCATACCGTAGACAATGCTGCAGCCATGATCCCAAATATGCATGTGCATGCTTCTTTACCTTGACCACTTATTCTATGTGTACTTGTGCTCCTAGATCAATTTAAGCGACACAATAGTACCTTTTTCTTCCTGTGTGTTATACTGAGTCAGCATTAATTTGAAATGTAACATTTTATTAGAGGGGAGTTTGTGATAGAGCTGTAAACTTCACCATGGCTTCAGCGTGAGGATCATTTACTCTTTGTTAAGGATGGAGAATCGACGTGGTTTTCCTGTATAAAAATAAGACGTCATTGGAAAGAGATTAGTATGAAACTTAATCTCCCCATAGAGACGCTTTCCTTTTAACGGACTTATCCGTTATAACTTTGAAACTTTGAATTAGTCTACAGATTTTATACATTATGCTGCAATGACAATAGCCATTTTAATTTGCCTCAAAATTCTTTAAAGATGACCAGGTGTCTGATTGAAGATGTGGAAAAAACAATAGAGGATTTAACAGATCTTAACAAAGAGCCACTCCTTTAGTCAAACTTCAGCTGGAGGAACAAAGGCAACAACACTCTGTTGATCACCCGGTTTCTCCGAAGTAGGAGAGACGGAAAGGGGAAGGTGTGTGCGAGCAGGAGCTGCAGCGGGAGAGGTCACAAAACAGGAACAGAAACTGGAAACCTGTTGAGCAGGTTTTCTGAGTGATACTGTGTTCACATCCTGAACATTAGCATCTGTTTACCTTTAGAGCACCAATAACTGCACTCAAACACAGACAAGCTGTGAAGTATTTCGTCATTAGACGACTTCTAAGCTGCCGTTGAGTAGAGTTTTGTTTTTCTCTTTGTGAAAAGGGTAAAATCTAGAAATCTGATGCACGTGAGATGATGTAGGTTGGTGGTGGTGCAGTGGCGCAGGAAGTAATGCAAATATACAGCAGACAGTGTGCCATCTGCTGCCTGTAAATGGACCCGCACATTCCCAGGTCACCAAATAGAATCAACAAATTGCATGTATTTCTTCTCCCTTCCACATTTATTTCAGTGTTAATGTGTTGATTAAAGATGCCTCATGTAATATATTTATGATTAAGTTGGTCTTTGCCAGAATAGGAGGTTGAAAATATAACTACAGCTGAAAGAATGTGTCCAATCTAAAACATCAATGAGGGATGTACAAAAACGTAACGCCCTGCATATTGTTGCATCACCTGTTCTCACAATGTGATGCAACGTTTTATTTTCTTTTTTTTTATATAAACCTGCTCAAAACTGACATTCTCCCGGAGCTTTATTGCTGTTATTTAAACAGCAGCTCAGTGCAATTTTCTGTGATTGTCTTTTTGTTTTGTTTTTATTGTTTAAGCAGGGTTTATGACAGATGAACGTGTGTTTTATCCCTCAGAAATCATAACATTAGCCAGACAAAAACAACTGTAGAAATGCCAAAAGGGTAACTACAAAGACAAAATTTAATCGCTGCTCAACACACCTGATCTAGAAATAATCATCAGCTCAAGGTGATATGTAGATTTATTATCGGTTCATGTAGAACATGTGTTTGTCACTGTTAATAAATGGACCAATTAGACCAGATGTTTGCTTGTCATTTTCTTGTTCAGCCCAATGTGTTCTCTTTAACCTTTATTGTGGACACTGAAGGATCAATAATTTAAAAGGTCATTTTACTTTTCAATCTATTAACAATTTAAAGCTGCCCACCATTTTATTGACAAATTATCTGCCTGAAGTGGAAAACTGTGTAGATCAGAAATTCTTTTATTTATTTTTTAGCTCCCTCACGATCAACAACTCACTCCAAGTGGCTCTTACATCTCTTTAAGATCAAACGTCTTTGATCAGCCACGTAGTTCCACCGTTCTGGTGCACGATTGAGGACATTTGGGTGTTTCAAAGAAAATGTCTGCCGACCCGCAGGGAATTAGTTAATCAATAGGTTACTAAGAAAGAGGTGCTTTGAACTATAAGTAAGAAACAACAGTATTTATTATGATATCAATACATTTGTCTATATACACAGTAATAAAAATGCTGAGGGAGCACTATGAATTGTTTACAAGTCTGACTTTTTTCACTGTTCAGGCATACTGCAAGGCCCTCCCCTTGATTGCTTGAGCACATTTTGGACTTTCCTTGTGGAAAAAAATGATTACTTGGGTTCTTTGCAAACACATTAATTAACATGGGAATAAATAAAAAAATCCATTACTACTGAACAGTGTTTTTTTTCTCAGCCTAACACACAATACCTTTATAATAACTGGTGTGAACAGAGTGTGCCCACTTGGTTGGAATGCAAAGTGACATTTAGCATTCTTTAAATTGCAATACTGATCAATAAAAATGAAAAGATACAAGAAAATGGTTTCACAGTAAAACATAATCATGAAACAGCAAATTCAAGTAAAAACAGGATTGTGTTAAGTTAAAACTAATTGGAAAATCCATCTACCCTCTCTGCAAGGGGGCCTGTTACTTAATTCCATTATTAAATGTAACAAGTGAAATTTTCCAGGCTAAAAAGACAGCGTAATGTCTGTTGAACAAGAGATCAAACCATATTTGACATACATGTTAACATAGGAAAATTGTTACCAAAAAATGTCTGTATAGTCATTTGAAAATGTACAAGTGCAGTAACCTATGAAAGACAACACTGTCCATTGGAGTTAATCTATATGTTTAAGGACAAAGAATATACAGCCCTTAACTATGACAATATTTCTGAGTCACACAAACAATACCAATACCAATGTTCTAACAACTTGTTAACAGCAGGACTATAGAATGCTGCCCACATGTGCAAATGATGCCGATCAAAGCAACTTATTCAATTCCACGATTGTACCATTAGGTCATCTCTGAAAGCTTACACCTGACGTCTAAGGAACAGCATTTGATTTGGGATAAAGCTCCCTTGTTCGATTCCTGTATTGCTCCGCGTTTGATAGTACCTGTACAAAAAGCATTCAGCAAAAGTAATGAAGGATATGACTTCTACTAGCTCGACAATCAACATCAATGCCCATGCATTGTTTGTGAAGACTGATGACTGGTCTCGATGGAGCCCATGGAAAGCGGTCTGCCCGTCTGTCTCCGTGAGCCTTTATGTGCCAGATTCTGGGGACGAACCGGACTGCTGCCTTCTTACCCATATCTCATCCCGCTCCGTTTGCTTTTGATCCTCCTCCACGCTGTTATTGGCGGCGGCGCTCTGCTCGTCATCGGGGGAACTGCTGGCCTTTGGGGACTGAAGGCTCTCGCCCTCGCTGGTCTCCTCGCTCTCCAAGGACAAAGCCATGACCGGCGCCCGGAGCTCGGCCTCGGCGGACGACGCTCCGGGTGTCTGGCAGAGCTCATCGTCTTCATCACTAAGGATGTCTGTCTCCTTCACCACTTCCTTGTCCTCGTATTCTTCCAGGTCAAACTGTTGCTCCACCCAGCGGTCTGTGTCGCCTGCTAACTCGGCCTGCTGAAGCTTATCTGGTTCAGTCTCTTGCTGCAGCCGGTTGATTGAGTCGGGCTCCTGTGGTGAAGTGACTTCCTGTCCGGGCTCGCCGTCAAAAACGATGTCGGTGTCTATAGTGAACCGGTTGCGCACCAACTTCCTCCGGCCGAGCGTCCTGGTGGGTACAGATGCTGGAGAAAAAAAAAGAAAAAAAGAGGACAAGAGGATTTAACAAATAATGGAAATCAGCAAGTTAGCGCAGCATATGCTTTAAGATAACATTAGTATTAATAAAAACATGGGTCATTGATTAATCAACAAAAAAACAACATTGTAGACCACAGAAAAACTAATACTATAATAAGAACGGTTGTCCTGTCTGAAAAATGTTGAGTAAAACCATATCCATGACACCCATGTCTACAACCCATGTGCGTCATCCTACCTGCGTGTTATAATGTGCATTCAGTAATCTGCGTTTACGGTTTTAGGTTCTCCCTTATACACATGAAACGTGCACTTGACTGTATTGTACTACTCAGTTTTAACACTAGGTGGAGTTACTGTCTTGAGCAACGGCGGCTTTTCCACAAAATAAGAGCAATAAAAGTTTCGCCATGAAAGATGAGTATAATGTGGACCACTAGAGGAATAAGGTCAGTCCCACAACGGGGCCGAGCTAGAGCAGAAAGTGAACGGCAGCTGGCCCGCTAGTTCAACAACAGTGTTCTTTATGTGTTAACAATGCACAAGAAAAAGTCACCATAGCCTGCAAAGAGGTGTTGATTCAACACATGGCCCGTGACAGGAAACCCTTCTCAGATGGGGACTCTAAAAAAAAACACGCCACGGTGCAAGGTAGTGGGGGTGTGGCTGTTAGAATTCACTGTATCAGCCACCGATGGGCCCTTTGTGTCGAGACAGTCCAGCTTACTCACTGTCCACCCAATCCGAGCACAAGGCCTCTACCACAGATCATTTCCAGCTTTCCTCTCTGTTGCTGTTGCTGCTGCTCAACAAAGGTAAAACCTACTCAACCAACGTACATCAGAATGGTAAAGCCATCAGTGTTATTCCTTATGATGAAGAGAAGCACGAGCTGAGTGGCCGTAGCTGGTTGGCAGATCTGCCTGATACTCTTAACAACAAAAATTGATGAAAAATGTAATTATTAATTATAAAGTTATTACAAATGAATAAACTTGCAAGCTGGTAATATACCTATCCCCCTTTTCCCGCACTAAATAGAGTGCTGACCAGTAATGGAAAGCTGTGATTAAGGCCGGGTTGTTTTCTATAAGTGTATTTAAATATCAAGCATAATCTACCCACATTCAACTGATTTTGCAAACTTTAATACACTACAGATGAGTCAATATACGGCATCTCTAGTGAGTGGCTCAGCGCTACGTATATTTTTCTGTGCGTGAAACAAGTACGGAGACCCTCTGAAGCATCCAATCGGCCTCCACTGAGGAGGAACAAATGCAGAAGTGGGACAATTGGAGCTGTAGGGTGAGTGCAGCCACTGAGTGGCATTTACCTGCTCTATTTATGGCTGGACGGGCTCCCTTCAGGGCACAGAGGCGCTTTCCACCAAAGGGCACATACTGTTGTTTGACGGGTAAACTCTCGGTTTTTAGGAGCTGCCTGCGGTGCTTTTCCCTCAAGATGGAATGTACCGTCTTCAGAAAGTCTTTTCTACTCTCTGGTGAACTGCGGGAGACAGAAGGGACACATTATCGGTTTGTCACTCCGTAGAAAGCTGCAGATAGAACTGTATCGGTGTCACACAGCTTTAATCTCCATTTGAAGGGACCCTCACCTGCAGCACAGCTGAAATGTCCTCTCTGGCCTTCCCTCGGACTCAGACTTTGTGTGGACAATCTCACAAACCGCCGAGCCTTCGCCATCTGAGGAAGTAATCGACACTCGCGAATGATTTCACATGATTTGTAAGAATAATTTCTGAATTTAGAAAAACACATATTTGTTATGGCCCAATTATTCGTTGAGTTGAGTCTACCTGCATTGGCCAAGGACCTGACTTGAAGGGAACTAGTTGGGATCATGTGACGATATCTGAAGGGATCCTTTTCCTCTGAAGATACAGAGACTCGATGGGAGCCACCCTACATTCATTGAAACAAAAGAAAATGTGAAATTATACCCGGGCGAATTAGCCGTTTCCAGCTCAATCACCTTTAAGGTCGGTTTAGGAAGTGACCCACTGGATATATGCTAAAAGTGGGGCATAGGCAGTGAATGTGAAATGCCTTCAAAAAGCCATATTCTAAATGGGAGCTGGTTTTGACGATTGCTTCTGTAAAAACGTACCATTTTCTTTTTTTGCTTGGATCCTTCCTTGCAGACGAAGACGACTGCCATTTTGAACACTAGAAGTAGGTAGTGAAAACAAAACACGTAGTCGGTCGAAGCTTAATGTAACCGAGACATACTCATTACGTATTCATGGAGGAATCTCATCTATGACCTACCAAATGTGGCCATCTGGGGCTCTTTCTTCCATTTGCCCAAGGAGGCGGGGGGGTTGATCCAAGTCGCACTGGTGTGGAGTAGCAGATCCCCCATAGACAGATCAGCCACCTGGCGAAGAAACTAAATATCAGCAGTCATTCCGCATGTACTCCTTTGATGGTAGGACACACAGTCAAGCTACTTTTGTCCAACCAACCTCTTTCTTTTCACCACTCTGCTCAGTGATGAGCAGATCGAACACAGCTCCGAACTCCTCGTGGATCTTCTGCATCTCGTTGATGTGGCTGGCTACTTTGTTCATGGCTTTCATGGCAACTGCAGACAAGAAGAAAAAGCATGGTTAGCAAATGGTCGTGACTGCGATGCTTTCGTCTGTCAATGCCCAACAGGGTCGTACCATCCAGATGGTAGTGCTCCTCACTGTCAGGGTCCGTGAGCGAGTAGAGCTCCCTCAGCAGGAGGGGATACTTCAGCACCCTCTGGATGGGTTTGATCAGGTACGACTCCAGGGTGGAAGAGTGCTGCTGCTTGGGGTTGCGCTCCTCCAGGAAGGCCTTGAAATCTGGATCGGTTTTGGCTGAAATGACCAATAAAATCACTTAATGCAACACAGATTTGATTTCATTAGAGTTTCATTTTCAAATTATTGGTGTGTTGTTGTTGTTCTGCTCTTTGGACGACCCGTGTTGCTGTATTTGGGGTTTGTTATTTACAGTAATACATCTTTTTACTTGAAAATAATGCTTATGTTGCCGTTGCAGTTAAATGTTGGTCTTGTGCAAACCAAGACCAGTATTTGATTGCTGCTTTACTTTTAGCATTAGAAGCCTAATACCTAAAGCACAGTAACGGGGGAACCCCCGCCACCCCCAAGAAAGTTTGGAATTATCAATTGTGAACTCCTCGCTACGCGAGTTCCACAGCGGCGCGAGCGTGCATACAACGACTTGACAGGTACCGTATATACAGCAAACAAAGCCGGTGAGAGTCCACGGCTGTGGGTGTTTTATCTAGAGAATAAAATGTTCAAACTGCTCATTATACAATGCCACTGGGCTTTTAGCCCTGCGGGCCACCAGCTTCAAAGTATGCAGAGGTCAAGTGGATAACTGTGTGAGTGACAACACTGCGGAGCAGATTTATGGAGCCTTGCAGGATATGGCAGATGGTTGCTGGATAAATGCATCTTCTCCTTTGAGTCCAGGAGGAATGTCTACCAAAGAGTACATTTACTCACCTTTTACAAGGACTTTAGGGACCTTAGTGTGGCTGGCGCAGAAAGCGCTGTAGATTTTAAAACGGTCTGCGTAGTACAGGAAAGAGCCTCCCAGGGAGAAGAGGATTTTCTGATAAAAAGGGGAAGGGAAGTTATCAAACCAGTAGTTATAAAAGACTATACGTGTGTTAATAAATGCTTCAGGTCAGTAATATGTGGATTTGTCAAAAGAGGGTGTACCTTAAACTGGTCCACTCGCTCCAATTTTTCTAGATCGGGAACCAGTCTGGTCCCATCTTCCAGGGTCTTGAGAAACTCCAACTGAAACTCCACCATTTCTAGCAAGTTCCCAAATAGCACATCCAGCTGATGGAAAAGGGAATTCGAGCAAAACCAGAAATCAAAACTCCTCATTTGAAATTGTTACCTCTCCCTCTCGTCCTCATACACAGCTACTCTTCACATGATTATGTAACCCTCTTTTCTTGGGACATTTTAAACAGAGTTGGCATTTAATAAACTACTTTTCAAAGCCTTACAGGGAACATTTGACATACCTCATCCTGTGTGAGGAAGGTCTCTTTCTGCAGTGGGGTTAAATATCTCCCAATGAGACAATTCAGATCCTGCAAAACCAAAGTGAATCATGTGGTTTATTGTGGGTGCGATTCAAGTGATTATGTTGATAACAGACCTAACAGCTTTACATAAGTCTTACATAACAGACTCACAACAAAAACAGAATAAATCCTTAAGTTGTCTATTAAGAGGGTCGGAAAAATCCTTCAAATCGGACACAAATGTTTGGGAATAAAACTATAGTTCACTGAAGCCTATGAGTAATTCTACTAAAGGAGGGCTGACCTAATAAAACATTGGACTTGTGGGTTTGAGTTGTCAAAGCCACATGAGGTGGTTAAAAAACCCTCTCTGCCCCAATTGGTCACAAAAAGAGGTCTAAAGAAAGCAGCAGTAGAATGATAGCAGATATGATTTGTCAAACACCAACCTCGTCTTTATTATTATTTGTCTACTTTTATAGCACAGTGGCTGTTAAGCCACAAGGTCCCACTGCTGCAAACTGCCCACACGGAGCCATATAATGCATGCACATGTCTGTTTAATACACTATGCATCATACATAATAGGATTTATATAATAAATGTATTCGTGCCCCCTGTAATGACGGATAACATTTTGAGTGGCCTTGACATTATCCTGTTAAAGTCCCTCTCTAACCCAGTTATTCAAACAAGCCACTTTACGCCAGGCAGAAAGGGATAAAGCAATATCCAGGCAAGGGCACAGATGTGTCCCATCATATCTCCTGGGAACCAGAGATAAATATGGATCGGTCTCGTGGAATAGGCAATGTGTAGGGCTACGGCAATCTGTGGCAGACGGAACATAGATCGATTAACAAGAGGAAGACACGCTCACTGGCAAAGACCAGCAGCCTGTTATGAGGGAGACGACGGATACGTACTTTGACATAGGTGCGTTCGGTCTCCACGAGTTCACAGATGACTTTGCGGAGCTTGTCGGCGTCAGAGAGCTGTCGGAGCGTTGCAGGTGGTGGGAACGGAGAGTCCGGGCTTGGCGAAGAAGACACACACTCCGAGGGATTCATGTCATGGAGACTGCGGCAGAAGGCAGCGACTTGCTCTGTACTCTACAAAAAAGAAATGACCAAAAAGTGGAAAAAAAATGTGATGCAATTATGTAACTCCAACCTCCTCATAAAAAGGAAATATCGCTTCGGCACGTAGTCAGCACCTCAAATATTAACTGGGTGTGAATCAAGACGGCGCAGACTGTGAGCCTAGAAAGAGGTCTAAAAATCTAAAAATAAAATAAAAAGTAATTGGCACTAATTCGGTCTATTTTCACGCTGTCATAACAATGACTCTCCGCCTCCCCAGTTTCACTCACATCCCTCTTTTCCCTGGTGTTTTCCGCCTACTGGCGGATCGGTGGTGTAATGATTCATCTCTTTTACAGAATCATAATATACACACACACACGCTGTCTGTCCACATACAGTATGGGTTGCCGGGGAGACCAGCCCTGATGTGCATTAGACTATCATTTTGGACAAAAATAGACTCCGCTCTGCAACAGCCTACACGGCTTAACAGAGTTACTCTGCTTGCAACAGGCTACAGCCTCACCAGTCATAACAATACGGATATTTGGGCTTTTCACATCAATAAAAATACAAAACAGAACAAATAAATAACCATTCATACCCATGAAAACCTTATCCTATATCATTAAGCAATGCATCTTGTCCCACCTATGCTCCATTTGCTCCTCTTGGAAATAATAATAAAACCCCCACGATAGATGTTCCAGAAGATGGAGCATTATAATTAGATACGCAACATAGCCTACTATCACCATTGTACATGCACAAATTTGCATTCTTCATATAACTGAAATACTAAAATGATTTTCAGAACTAATGAGTGCACACAAAGTAGAAACAGCAGGTCAGAAACCAATCCCGAAAAGAATAAATGAAAGCAATATATGTACGTAACAAAAATGTGGGCAGTCTTCTTATGGAGCAATGCAAATGATTATTGTCATTAATCAGGCAGACACATCCGTATATGAGAGACGACAGCAGTTTGTCCCTCTTTACAATGTTCCTGAAACAGGGCAGCCAGATCAAGAGATGAAAAGTGCTGAAATGCCTTTAAATATTAGAAAATCACTGATGCTAGTTTTAGTTAGACGTACAGTTAAAGATCTGCTCCAATACGCCATTGTCAGCAGTTTTTGCACTCGAAGAGGTGTCACAAAATGTTATGGCAAAAAGCCAAGTTGCCCCACAAAAGTCTGATGTTAGACTATTGGCACGAAAGATCGCCTTACTTGACACATTTACTGCTGATTATTTGCGGGGTGCAGTACGTTTTACACACAATCGGCGTCAAAACAGATCAATTGGGATCTGCTCTCATCCCACACGTCTGATCTGAAGAAGACATTTTCCTACAGAACAACATATCTATATTAGTTCCTCCAGTATTTTTTATTAATGTGATGCTAGAATACATTAAGCACAAATGGTGCCGCAAATTGTCAAAAGAAAATGGGAGAAACGCATTTCAACAGAAGCCTGCATTCAAACTTGCCAGAGATAAACGTGTTGCCAATTAGTCAACTGAGCGCAACCAGTTTTTCTAAGCCAATGACGCCGACAGTCCAGTCAGTCTTCGCAATCACAATCTCGACTAATTAACACCATGGCAGCTTGGGGCTCATGGAGTCATGACATGGCTGCGAGATTACGAAAGAACAGAGGAGGCGCGTCAGATCAAAAGGGCTATAACTATTACATAAAAAGAACAATATGGAGATAAGACGGGCTGAGATGTCAGAGACGAGCGTTCCCAATGAAATATAGATTAAAGGCTGCGTCAAAGCATAAAGAGAGAAAATTACACTTCTTCCCTCCTGAAACGGAGATACGTATCACATCTTGAGAAGCCAAGAGAGAGAAAACTCTGCAACGAGGTCTTGATAGTTTGTCACATAACGTCCGAGTCCATCGAGTAGAGACTCAGCGCCGACATACAGCGTTTCCTTTTGGCATCCTGTGGAGCACTTCAGTGATTATGGGGCAATTCGGCGACACAACAGTGACTCATGGCTTCCTCTTGTCTGTAGAAGCAAAGCGAAGGTGTGAAACTAACGCTGAGAAGGAGAAGTGTTTTACTCACACTGCAACAACAACAGCCGCTCGGCATCCATCACAGCACTAGCAGGAGCTAGTCGGGTAAAGAAAAGTCATAGGAGGAAGGAATCTCACCAGATGGAGCATGTCATACACGGAGTCTGAGGAGCGCTTGCTGTGTTTGTTCCACTTCAGGACGGACATAGCAGAGTGCCTTCATCAGCAGGTAAAGTGCCAGAGAGAACGTGTCTCCAGTCCTAGGAAAAAGTCAAGTCTGCACTGCACATGTCTCGGCCCCTGTGCCGTTCCTTCGGTTTAAAGTGAGGAGAAGGTGCTGCGTTGCTTGTGATGAAGGATGTGAAGCTGCTCAGCCTCCTCCTCTCCGCCCACAGTCTTCCAACTCCCCTTCTTTTCACCCTCACAGTCTGCTGTGGTTCTGTCACTGATATTCCGCATTTTGTTCTCTCTCTCTCTCGCTCTCTCTTTCTCTCGCTCTCTCCCCCGCTTCTCTAAACTCAGGCACACAGTGTGAGTGCGAAGATCTGGCCAACTCCAGCAGGATTGTAAATGAGTCTCAATAATCTTCCGAACCAGCGAGAGAGCAAGGGAGCAGGAGGGAAGGAGTCTCCTCCTCAAGGTTGTGGTGGAGTAAGATTGGCTGAGGTGAACGAGACAGCAGCAGAATAGGAATGCAGGATTTCAGGAATGGGGGGGGGGGGGGGGGGGGGGGGGGAGTGATGGAGAGAGGGGGAGCTGCAAGGGAACAGACTGCAGTGAAGAGCTAATACATTCACTGCTGTGGGAGATTTTGCAGTGAAGAAAAAGAGTGCTAAATGCTTAGGCTTGCCAAGATGTTTTCTATTAAAAGTAATAAATCAAATGATGCACAAGTTCCACAAGCCCAGAAATGAGCCCTTGTTCCGATCAGAAACGGAAAGAAACTAAATATGCCAGCAGATTTCACACGTTTGGCTGTAAATGAAGATATCAGGAACAGCGAAACAGTCGAGTCTCATGACTGATGTGTCCTCTTATCTTTGGTTTTGTTAAAGTTGCAACTGACTGTTGGAACAAGAAGTTCAACAAAGGGTTTCCACAATGGCGGCGTTTTGCAAACAGTCCAAAGCGGAAACATTTGCATACAATTCAGTGTGTATAGTTTTGTTTAAATATACACAAAGACATTCATTTTTTACTGTTCTATGACGTTTTTTTCACTGATTCATCAAACACGTTTAACATTCCAAAAAGACAGTAGACCTTTTTTATAATTAAAAGACGAAAGTTACAATTTGGGACAAAGCATCCCCTAAAACTGTGATAGAAGGTTTTTCCCCTTATTTTGCTCACATCCTAAATATATCCCCATTCAAATCACAGCCATAATAGTTGTTGTTATTATTATTATTTCATAGGAAGTTAACTCCAACAGGTACAATATTTGATGAAGTTAAAAGAGACATTTTTAAAACAGGGCACCATCTGAAGGGCAAGCGGTTTGGTGTGATTATAAATGATGTCACAATCAAGTGTTTGATAAAAGATATCGAAAAGATATCCTTTCATTCATAATTCCACAAGCATTCAGTTTTAGTTTGAAGTCAACTAGAAGCATGAAGAAGAAGACACCACTGCTTGAATGCATCTTATTAAGGAGGCTCTCGTTTTATCTAGAAGCATGGGATTAAAACCTGGCTAATATTTACACCGACCCGCTTTACTAAGCAGGAAGGAATTGGCAAATAACAGATGGTGCTTCAAACTGTGGAGAAACAAACTGTTCTAATGTGTTTTTTTAATAGCAACGCAGTTTAAGTGAAGGGTGTGCAAGGCAAGCACACGACACAAAGCCGTGCCGACGTCTTCTGGAGTCACAACCCGACCACTCAGTAGTTAATAAACTGGGTATCTTACCTTTATGCCCTCAAACTCGCTGAAGATCTCAGAGTCATCGTCCAGGCTGTCTCCTGAGCTCTCGAGCAGAAGTCCCACCCCGTCGTCTAGAATCTCCTCTGCAAGAAACAGATTTATATAGAATTCAATCAATGTATGTTTTTTTATGAGATGGGTGCCCTTTTCACAAGCATTGTAAAGTACATAGACAACGTGTACTTGCTTTGTCATTTTATATTATAATTAAAGAACTTTATCTGATGTCTTTTTATGATGTCTTTGTCAAACTAATCCACAAAGTGGGGCTGTAATACTGCTGGCTGCTTCCTATCCTCCTGAATAAAGACGATTCAGTTTGTATAAATTAAACTGCTGTCACTAAGCACACTGGCGATAAATCTTTTCTGGACAAGAAAATAATTTAAATCTTGGAAACTTTGGGTTACTTAAATGATTCCCCGGTTCATTAATAGAGTGAGGTGTTTCACATTGGGAATCGCTTCAGTGTGGCCAACTATAGAAGCTACAATAGCACCGTCCGTCAGTCAGTGACAGACAGGTTGAAGTCGACCGTCCCCTCACAAATCATTCCACACCAATGTCTTTGGTGCAGAGCCCCTTACAGCTTTAGGCTAGAGATACAGCTTACAGGATCCGGTGGGACGGCCTGTGGCAGGATAATGGTGAGTGAGCCAGGACACGCTGAACCCCTTTCCTGAAATCTGCCTATCTGCTCACATACACATGCAGTGCCCGCCCCAGGCATGATGTGGTGAGCCTTTGCTCTGCCCCCGAGGAGAATGGAGTTGGGTGAGAAGCTGAAAGCCGTGGGACAGTACAGACTCCAACACCGAAGGCCAGGTTGAGTCGCATAGAGACCTGGAGGGCCAATGGGTAAAAGCTTGTAAGTCAGGTCCACATCTTGCTGTGGTTATAGCTAAGAGCAACCAAGATTAAGTGAAATAAACTTAATCCTTACCACCTCTTTAAGCTCAAAACGGGTGTTAAAAGGGGGCTTCGAACACAACAAACATTTCCCAAAGGAGGAACCAGGTGGGATGGAAACGCGGAGCTTACGACGAGCAACTTTCATGAAACATCCTAAAAAGGATGCTTCCCCACCGGCTTTACAGCACAATTACTGCGAGAAACCCAGCAGTGCAACTAAAGTGAACACTGAACAGTAATGGTGTGCCTCAAGGCACCACTCCACAAAAACCCGCCAATTACCGCTCTAGAGCGACTCAGAATAGTTTCTATGACAGGTGCAGGCAGGCCTGCCATGTTCAGGTTCAACATGTCATGGTAGATATCCCAGCCAGCCTGTAAAAGAAGGTCCCTGCAAACAGAGAGAGGCCACGACGTGTTCACCAGAAGCTGTGATATTTCTGATTCCCAGTGCTTGGACGCCACCGCAGCCCTGTTCTCTGTAAAATCCCCTCAAAGGGAAAACTATATTTTTTGACGTTGTCATGGTGACGTGACATGTTGCAGCTGCGCTGTCCCATTCATATTGACACCATTTAAAGCCATCACCGACTCACACTCAGTTAAATCCCTGAGGGGTTTGAGTTTAGGAGGAAGATTGGGTTTGGGCTTAAATTAGTTCATAAAGGCTAAAATGTCTACCAGACAGCCCTCAAAACACTCAACAACTTGCCAATGGGACAGAACTAAGCCCTCGCGGAGCTCTCGTCAGCGCGCCTCACATTTCTCTTTAGTGCGTAAGAGTGCACATTGAGTCTCCATGTCAGATCTTCTCCTGCATGGACACAAAGTGCCCACATGTATGACTTGGGGTCATCAAGCGACAGCTGGGAGCCCATGCAAGCTCTGCACATGCGAGGGCACGAGGGGGGATTCTGGCCCCTTTGGCCCTCGGACAGTTCGGCGCGTGTAGTCAAGAAGAAGAAGAAATGGCGACAGCTGATACGAACTGTTTCCGGCGGCGCTATGCGAAAACAAACAAGTCTCTTTGACTCCTCGTGCGGGTATCGTCCATCGAGGTGAATTGAGCAAAGTCCCACCTGTCCGTCGCTGACAGACGAGGCGTGTGGTGTCATTGCGTGTTCTGTAGTCGGTCACGCAGGTGTGATTCCCACAGTCAAGCTACGAACGAAGGAAAACAACTGCCTACTGTCCTTTTATGTTATTTCAACTGACATTACTGTAATTGATGGCCTACACTGTGCAGGATTTCTGAAAATCACGGTTTGAAAGTTAATTTATTCAGTCAGCGCTGCTTATCGGGCCTGTGAATCTACCAAGTTGCATCTTTAAAATGCGCTTAGGTGGGAACATTTTAAGATGGTCGAGTTCATATCGGGCTTGACAGCACTTCTCACCTTGACTCTGGGAGAAGATGTCCGTGTATGAATCCTCCTCAGCGTCTGAGCGGCGGGGCGGCAGATAGCAGAGCTGACGGCGCTCCACAGATGGCAAAGTGTTAACGGTCAAAGCCAGCGAAGCTTGAGAGAAAGCTACTTTCATGTCGGAGAAGTTGAGACTGTGCGAGTCTTTTCCGTTCAACTGGAGTATTTCATCCCCAGCATTGAGACCTGAAAAGTGGGAACATCACCGTTGGTACATTTTTCCGCCAGTCGTGTGAAAACATCTACTCCCCCAAATATCAAATTCATAACATTAATTAAAAGCCTCCTAATAAGGAAGGAAAAATGCTACACTATTAGTTGTACATTCATTGTATTTTTTTTAATCCTTTGGTAGCCCAAAACATGGCCCACCTCTCAATGCAAATACCGCCGTTTGACAGCATCTCTGTTCTCCACCTGCACCATGGCCCACTCCCGCATTTGACATTACACAACCCTGCAGCATAACTTCATAGGGGTACTGGTGTGAAGCAGCTGTGGTGGTCGTATTAAGCCGCCTTCACAAACGCCAGTGAGAGGCAGTGTTGTTATGATTATAGTAATCAACGCCCTTGAGAACCTGAAACCTTCCCCGCCGATTGGAAAACATGCACTAATGCATTTCTAAAGACGTGTGGAGAAAAAACTCTCAATTGACAGTCATGTGTGAAAAATTCCCCTTTAAAAAAAATTATAATGGAACACCAAAACAACCAATGCATTTTTCTTTGTCTCTTTTCTCTAGAGCTGTAAATGATCCATTCACAGACGCGCATTGAGTGTGTTTGAGGGGAGTTATTTGATGTAAATGAAACTTAATGAACCTTTGGCAAAAGCTAATCCGCCCGCCTTCACATCAGTGATGTAGAGCTGCTGCACTCCGTCCTCCTCCACCACTGAAATGGAGAAACCTGGAGGAGGAAAGGAAGAAGAGGTGGAGAGAGGGCGAGGGAGAGCGAGATGGGGGACTCTTATATAAAATAACCGAGGGATTTGTGCAGTACAAATTTGATGGTAAGAATAAAAACAGGTTGTGTACAGGTCAAAGAAAAGCAATTATTCTGCTGAAAACAGCCTTTCATATGAAATCTGACGTAAGCATCTTTGCTGAACATTACATTACATTTTAGAAGGCAATGTAAAATAAACTACGAAGGATCATTCAAAAAGCTTCATACCGTAGCCGATCATGCAGGATTCATCTCTGTCAAACTGGATTACTTTAGTAATTTTGCAGCAGAGCTCAATTTCTTTGTAAAGCTGTGAATAACAAAAGAAAGTTATTATATAACTCATGAAACAACAGACAATTTTAATCATATTCTGGTGGCTGGGTTATTGACAGCATAGAAAGAGTGTTCATTTTCTGTATCAAAGACAAAGCAGAGCAGGGTCTATTATGCAGGATGGTCTGAGACGTGTCAGGATCACATGATGGAAATACAAAAGCAATACAGGGATACAGGCTCCTTGAATAGATTTATGTTTTGATGCATGGTCCTCCCCGGGAGGCGTTTCTCCAGAGATGTGTAATTGAAAGGATAGAAATACTAAATCTACTAATAATTCAGAAGAAATGATGCTCTTCGGGTCTGTGGTTTACCTTCACATGTGAATGGAATTATTAGCATTTAGGTTTTTTACTTTTATAATCTGGTTGAGGATGAGACATAAGCAGGTAGTTACATACCAAGTCATATACATCCTCCTCTGGTTTGGGAATGTAGAATTGTCCTTGGTTTTCGATAAGGAATTTGAGTCTCAAGTAGTGCTTGGTGGGATCAAGCTGGTAGGCCTGTTTAATGAGGGAAAGAAGAGAGAAAGAGGATTACCAGGTAGCCAAAATCTGCAAAGATGGCTGGAGTGAACAGTGGTGCCCGCCAGGTCGGAAGAGAATGGCCATCGCCCGCTGTTACCTTGCAGATGGTTTCCAGAACGCACAGCGCTGACTCCCCGGGCTGGATGATGGTGAGCACTGGCTGGTCATTCGGCAGACACACCCACGAGGGGGTGAGGTGGTCAGGAACCCAAATATCACTTTCTGTGCTGGCCCGTGGAAGGCTTTTCACAGTTCCATCCTCGGTTTCCTTTTGGGAAAGAAACATTAAAAAGGCTTATTCAGTCAGCCATTGTTGTACTGAATCCTTTTTACTACATAACGTGTAACTGCAAAGTTTGGTTAGATCAAAATGGATGAGGATGTGCTAATCATTCCTCACATATTTATGTAGTATATTATATAACACATACATTTTCTAAGACAAAAGAAGGGCGAAATAATAGCTGGTATAGTTGTGCGCTCTGGGCCTCGGCTCTGCTGCTTACTCAGGAAACAGAGAGGGGTAATATTTAATTAACGTCATTGTTGACTTTTCATCTAGTTGAGTAAATTTCCAATCGTGTTTTCCCTCCAATCTACTGTCAAACGTATGCATACAGTGAATGATTCCTCCTTACTGTATTTTCCTTGGTTGGATTATCAAACATGCCATCAACGGGGTTTTTCACTTGCTCTCTGCCATCAGCAAAGACCTGCTGGGTCAAAAACAACATGTGACGTGGTCATTATTTAAGCAGGAATGTGAAGGATAAAAGCTTGAGGATGAGGCAAAAGGAAATCTTTTAGTGGCCATGGCGGTTCTATAGACTGCATTGAAACTAAAAAACAACTGTTAAGTATCGCCGACCTGGTTGATACTGGGATGGGCTTTTGTTTTTTTCTTTGAGGTGGTGTCCAGACCCCAGAGGGAGGAAAACCTGCTCTTGCGTTTGCTACAGGAGCGAGACATGGCCTGTGTTCGCCTTCTCACTCCGTTCTCTGAGCGAGCTGCCACCTGCAAAAACACAATGACTCAGTCAGAGCTCAAACACACCAAATGACACCATATGTTTGACCAGATGTCACAACACAGGTTTGCAAAATGATTTCTTAATACGGAATAAATCACAAAAAGGGAGGAAAAAAAACGGAAAAAAAGGAATAAGGAAACAGGGACTGCATGCACATTAGCACGATGTTGGCATACAGATATTGGGCTGTCATATTTTTTTCACACACGAGCACTGTCAGATTCTCACACAACAAATAATTTCTTCATTTGTGCAAAAAAATCAAGAGTAGGAATGTCTTTAAATAATGTCTTATGTAAGACGTTTTTGGATGTTGAGCCAATGCAGGTATTAACGGAACTAGCAAGAAGATAATTAGAGGGGGAGAGAAATAGGACATATTTTTAAAGAAAGGAGAGAGCTATTAGTGCCTTTTCTTAGACATCCCGGCTTGCTATATTTCAGCTCAAACACCCACATGCTGCGCTGCACGGCACTGGCGGTGCTGAGATGATCTCCCAACATAACTTTAAATATCAAATAGATGTTCTCCTGTACTATTGCTGCTTTTAGCTGTGTAGCACAAAGTAGAGCAGTGGGAGGCCAAAACTCAATAAAAAACCTCTTCAACAGGCTCCGAAATATGACTCATCTTGGAAAGATTTGGTCTGAAGCGATACATTTACTTTCTAGAATCAATTGACCTGCCCAGAGAGTCTCCTTGTTTTCTAAGAGGTGACAGTATTTGTTTTGAGGAAGATACAGTTTCAAAAGCAGTTCTATAAGGAGAGTGCAGCGTTAAGAAAGATACCGCCACAACTGAGAGGTTACAGGTTTGATCCCAGCAACGGCCATGGATTGTGTTGCTGAAAAATGTTTGAGCTGCATTGGTTCTCCAAATATTCACTGATTTCAAGTCTTATTTGGGAAGGCTCAAGATAAATGCATAAAAAAAGGTGAAACAAAGATGTTATGTAAAAGTGTATCATGACAATTGTTCATAAAACCAGATTCAATAGGAACCTTTGAAGATTAATTGTGATATTTACCAGTGCATGGAAGGAAGACACAGAGAATATGCCCAGCCGGCCCATTGCCAGCTTGGTGGGACGAGATGCAACAGCCAGGAGACGTTTGGGGTTGGGCAGCTCTCCACCTTGCAGGCTGGCCAGGTAGCACCTGAAGCGGAATAGATCCATATGAAACTGCTCGAGGTTCTGCTCCCACAGGAAGATCTGCAGAAGGAGAGAGGAATAAACATCCAGTTAATTGTTCATCGCGGTTCTAGTTTTACCACTTCAGTCCAAGATGGCGTGTCATCTCTCCTCCCCAGAAACTTTGTAACCATTTTACTCTAAGTGGTGCCAACCGGCGCTCTCTGTTGCTAATGGTTTGGTGTTTACTGGGGCAGTAGAGCGGTACATTGTCTTCATTCACCGATCCATCCCACCCAGTCACGGTTTTTGAACTGGTGTTTGGAGAAGGCGTCCGGGGCAATGGCAGAGGGCTCTGTGTCAATGCCAAGTAGCCCAGAGACGAGAAGGAAACAATACTGCACATTCCACTGGCAGATAGAGGCTGGGAGCATTGCAGCTCTCCGAGGAGCAGACCTATATCCATTCAGCTCTACACAATGCGAAACCTGACACTGCCAAACAGAACCGCTCCAAACAGGCACTACTTAACTAACCCAACAAATGCCATGTGATCCCCTCTTCCCCGTAAACAGGACTATTAGAAAACAACACAAGCTTTGCAATTAAGTAAAAAAAAGTAACTGATACCAAGTGTGCACTAGTTTAAAAAACAAAACAATAAGCAGCCTGGTGGTTGAAAGGTGTGTAGCTTCAGCGGCCTCTAGCGGTTGATACTTCTGAGATCTGTTACTTAATCCTTTCTGTCCATCTACAACTCATGCCCCATTCTTGCATCAGACAACTGGGCAATGCATAAATATCTTGACAAATATCTTGAGAGCTGCGTTATTAATTAAGGACAAAACCTAAAATCAAAAAACAAACCCTTTTCTGTAGATATGTTGATTTTTGTTTGAAGGTGCATAAAATACTTAAAACCTGACTATTGACAAATAGTGTGACGCATGAGGACAATTAAACTTATTTAAATATATACTCTCGTCAAATGTGTTTTTACAAATAAAGGAATCTACACTGTCAGTTTTGTTTCGATCTACTTTCTTGTAGAATTGATATGGACACATCTGACGTTCTCAACAGAGGCGGTTTATTACAGTGTATTTTATTTATCAAATGTCATTTTTGATTGACATTTCTGTTCATAATTTTGAACAGACGTTTTAGTACTGGTTTCACCAACCAATAACATCAAACTCTTTCAGTCGGGACAATACTTAAATCCCACGTAACTGCCTAACATGCAGGGACTATATGACGGACAAGCCATGTGAGAAAGGAGCTTTAAACCTACTTGATCCAGGATCGTCTTCCTCTTCTTGGTGTCAGTAACAGCTGACAGCTGCATGTCTCCCATCTTCTTCATCTTCTCATCCATATCTATCTTCTGCTCAAGCTTCTTGATCTCTGCACGAAGCAGGCGCACCGTATCCTCTCTGTGATGCTGGCGGGCGACGGCGGTGGCACATGCCGAGTGGATGGCTGTAATCCAATTCTCCAGCTCTGTCTGGCTGCAAGTCTGCGTAGGGACAGACATGGAAAGGTCAGAGGGTAAAAGGCAACAACTGGCTCCCTAACATTTGAGAAATAAATCTATTTGTTGCGTTTTCCCAATTCATTGCTAATTTTTTGCAAATCAGACTTGACGAGGGGGAAAAAATACTGTATCTTAACGTAATGCTGGATCTTGGGAGAATTTGCACTTCTTCACAAAACAGATGACATTCTAGCATTCTCTTACCTGAAACAGGAAAGCATCTCCCAGGGAGTTGCTTAGACAGAACACAAAGTCCTTTTTGGGATGCTCAGGTACCGCCTGGACAATACTGTTCTCCACCCAGACGGCATGCTTAGGAATACTGTTGTTGTCAATCCCTGAACGGCCATCGGTTTCATAGAAGAATAGAGTACAACCTGGAAAACCAAAAACAGCTACTACATTACATGCATAGTATGCAAATTACCAGCATAAACTCTCAATAGCCCAATCATCAGGAAAGGATAACAAGTACAATGGGTATTTTTAAAGTGCATTTGCTCAAGCAATTTAATTCTGCTCTCCAGTGGCAACACAAAGAAGTGCAACTTAACATAAAAATAAGTAAGGGAAGTATCATGATTAGAAGTTTCATCATTGCACTGATTTAATGAAGCTTGGTTTAGTTGACTATTGTGAATTGAGGTTAGATTATATTTATACTATGTAAGAATTTCCGTATAAACTACTGTATGTCAGCAAAAAAACTACATCAAAAGCATCCAGTTTTAACTGCCCTGTATTAATATTGAGATTATGGAATAAAATGTGAATGTTATTGATACATTGAGGGCATAACAAACCTTTCAGGGAAACCCAGTAACTTTTCCACTTGCGCCTTGTGGCTGATTCCACTTTCTTGTTCTTCTTATGTACGAGGAAGTTCTTGACAGCGAGCCTGCCGGCTTTGCGTACCATCCCCTGGGTGACGCTGAGCAACGGGTCAGATTGGTAGGTGGAGCTCATCGTGCTCTGCTCGTCACTTAGGGCGGACCCTGCCTCCTCCAAGCTATCTGTCTGGCAGGAGCTCATCTCCAGCTCTTGGCGAAAGTTCTCGTACACGCCCTGCACACACTCGCTGGGTCCTCCGCCGCTGCTGCTGCCACTGTCACTGCCAGCAAACATGCTCCTGCCAGCTGCCGAGCACACGGAGAAGGAGGCGGACATGGTCTTGTAGCGCCTGGACTGCTGCTCCGCCTCCACGGTCACCCCGTCGATGCCGCTGTCCTCGTACTCGCTACCCTCTCCGGCAGTGACGTCCTGCATCGCGGCAGAAGCACAAGACGAGTGAGACGGCATGGCACACCCGTTGTCTTCATCACAAAGAATGAAGCCTGTCAACAGCTGCTACCTTCACTGGGAACTAAGCTGTCTGGGTACATGCAGCATTCTTACATACATGTAGCAAAAACTGTGCGTAAAGAGGCCTCACAAGAGTCCCTGGGCTGTTTAATCCTGAGGTTCTGCTGAAAGGGCTCCTGGGAGATGAAGGGGGTTACCCTGAGCTTGGTATCTCCATTTGGTCACATGACCCAATCATGCGCTCTAGAGCGCTTTTTTTTTCTGGGGCTGACGGCGCCCCGCAGTGACAGGGCCACCATACACGTTTTACTGTCTTCCCCAGGCCTCCCCTCATTATCATGACAAAAGACTGAGGTATTTCAAACAGGGAGTGTCACTCTCGTCTCTGCAGTCTCCTCTCCGGGAGAAAACAACAGCTTTCATCAGGAGTCAACACGTTTCTCACCTCACCTAGGCGCTCTTGTATACAGTTAATCTTTTTTCTGTGAGTGGAATGCACTAAAGTAAAAAAAAACGTGGGCTCAATCGAAAGGAAACAATTGATCCACTTTAAAGATACTTTGAGCCAAATTGGGATTTTGAAAGAGCAGCACAATGTACATCTTACCTGTATAGTCTGAGCCCTCCTGCCCTGCATGCTGGCACACATGGCGGCTTGGTGGCTGCTCAGGCCCTCGGAAAGGCAATGGGAACGCCGGCAGGGGAGGGTGTACGCACCATAGGAGTTCCCATCCTCCTCTGAAGGGGAGATCATCTTATCATCCTCTCCCTCCCTGATGACCCGGTTGGTGTCATGCCACTTGGCGTAGCGGCTGTGCGGCTGTCGGCGGGCGGGGGGGCACTTTTGGCTACACAGCTCGTCCAGGGAGTTGGCCCTGTCGCCGCAGTCCGTGGGGCTGCACTGCAGGTGTCCCTTGCCGTCAGTAAAGTCCCTCTTGCTCTCTTGTGGGTCTATGATCTCCTCCGTGCTGGTCAAGTGGTCTTGGCTGAGATCAGACAGCGAGAACTCCAGGCTGTCATCTCGCCACATGTCTGCAGACTTGGACCGCTTTTTCTTGAAGCTGGCGGTCTCCTTGGAGCAATCCCGAGTTTTCTGAAGGTACGTCACCTCGCCCGCGTACACGTCTTCATCCTGCACCTCCTCGGCTGTGGGGCCGGGTAGGGTCACGTGCATCGTATTCATGTGCACCGAGGGATTGGCAAGGTCGTTGTGAAAGGACACAGGCCGCAGGTTCATGGCCACACGGTCCACCCAGATGGGGCTTCCAAAGTCTGGGAGGATATTTGTTTCATCGAAGGGCTCCAGGCCATTGTCGGCCAGGGATTGTGGGATACTAGGGGTGCTACTTGAGCGCGTGCTCGTTTCAGAATTACGGTGCTCTATTTTCCCAGAGGAAGCATGTCGAGAGCGCCTGGACTGTTTGTTAGAGATGCGAAGAGACCGAGACATGTGCTTACGTGACAAATAGCCATGTTCGTTACGGTATAGGGTGTGGTCCCCATTCTGGCTTTCAACATTACCCATGATTCAGAGGCTGAAAAGAAGAAGACAGCGTGTAAATTCATTTAAATTCTATTTATTTATTTAAATTCTACTTAAATCCGATAAAATCACAGAATTGTAAATGTTAGCTTACCTGCAGGATTGTGTCGAATTTTTTGCCATTTTGTTTGTCACTGGACCTCCGGAAAGTTTAGACCTTCAGCTGCTGGTACAATGCACAAAGCTCTGAAAATGCAGAAATTCATACGGAAAAATCAATTATGTATGATGTTATGGATTAATACAACCTTTGTTTTATAAAGTCTGCAGCTAAATATGGAAACATGAACATCTACATTGTTTGCGTATCCAGAGTGGCTTCTTTTTGCCTGTTATGCAATAGTCAAAAGACAGTCAAATAATACTCCTAAGCGAGATACAGTACTGAATAGACAAATCAAAAGAGGTTTCATCATTTATCAACTGGAACTATGATGATAATTTAAGAAACTACCTCTGAGGGAAAACTATCATGGCATAATTGCTGAGGACATACGTGTTTATAAAAATCATATGCCTCCATTGAAACGACCACTGATGTTTCACTAATCAAGGTAGCCTATAATTGTATTACTGTTTATTATTGTTAACAAATATGGTTTGTATATTTGTACCCCATTACAAGTTGTTTTTCATCTCTTTCGCAAAATCCCTTGTACTTTCTCCAACAAATGACAACTGAAGTTTGAAAAGTACTAACAAAGGAGCAAATGTAACCTTGAATTTTTTATTCTGTTGTGTTTTTGGGGGAAAAGTCAGTTTTGCTCCAGGCACCCACTAAAACACCACCCTCATTTTGACAGAGGAAGAGACTCACTTCCCGTTCAAAGTGCACTGGGTTGGCGTAAGGTAGAGGAGGCGTAATGACAGCACGACCACTGTGACAGTCAGAGTTATTCGCAGTTTAAGTGACCCATCCAATTTAGCGTTGTTGTTATTAGAAAAGGACCGTGAATAGAAGGGACCGGGTCATACGTTTTTATCATAATGCACATTTGGGTCCATCTACCTGCCTTTAGGCGGGACAGCCTGCTTTGAAATCGTCCCATTCTATTCTAGGAAGATTGAATAATCGCATTGTGGCTGTTGTTCCTGCTGATGTGTACTCCCCTCCTTTTAGGACAGACCCTTTGGGGGTGCAATGTTTTTCGTGTGTGTATCCGCTGCAGATGAGTGGGAGCCCAACCCTCTGCTGCTGCTGCTGCATGGACTCGGGCGAACTGTGAAGAGGGGAATTACGTAAACTGGAACTGACCCCGTTTCGCTACCTCATGTTGCTCCCTTTCCCTTCTTTATTCTGCTCACTCATCATCCCTCACCAGCACTGCAATGCACAATGCGTGACGGTGATGGAGGCCCATTCATATCACCCTGCAGTCTGTTGCCGCTTTCATTCAATCCTATTTGGTAGAGGAAAATAACACAAAACAAAGGGGGGAGTGTGTGTGTGGGGGGGGGGGGGGCAGAGCTATGAAATGCCACTGCACTCATTATAGGGAACAAGATTTGCCGAGGGACACAAACATGCTTTCAAAATGCACTATACCATGGGCTACCTCTGGGGTTGTGTGTACTCTTTCATATTTATAGTTTCATATGTTAGATGAAAGTTTAAAGGCTTTGCTGATGTCGTCCCTGGGGAGAGACAAATTGTCCTGTGTTTTTTTCTTTTTGCCCAGATTGTCACTCTGTGAGGCCTACAGGGCTGCAATGAACTGTAAACACTATTTTCAAAAAAACCTTTGGGAATGTTTTTGACAGGTCTCAGGGTCAGTGTTTATAATTGAAATGTCTGCTTTACAGCGGAGATTTACGATGTTAGTGTGCCGTTTTCAATAATCTTCTCTCAGTGGTTACAATGTGATGAGGGACTTAGCAGAAGATGGGTTTTCCTCAGCTGGTACAGTTGAGGAAACCCACTGCGCTCTGACCTCGGATTTTACAGCAAAACATCAATTTTTCAGCCCTGAAATATGTGAACCAGCTGTTCATTAAACACGCCATAATGATCCCAAACTATTTCAAATAGCTGACGCATTCTGCAACAATTCTGTGATTATCCACTGTTGTTTACAATAGCAGCAGCAAAGTCAGAGAAAGTGCAAAGTCCGACAGAAAGGAAGCGATTTAGTGTGTGAAGAAGTCTACAATCAAATGTCCAACCCACATTAAAGCAAAGGCAAGTTGGTGGTCCAATGCGAGCTAGTCCACTTCAAACTCTATCAAATCAGAACGTTCACAACAGGTGTAAACCTCAACGCCACAATCAGTTCCTCGTTTAAAGCCACTACCTCACTATTAGTCTGAGGTTAGAAAAAGAGAGACGGCTTTCTGTACGATCCCTTTGCCGTATGAACCATGATGGATCAGCAACCTACTTATGCCTCTTTCAAGGAGATAACAGAGTTTCTAACAAAGCTTTTAAGATGTAAAAAAAAAAAAGCGGTTTCCCTAGAAAAGCTTTTGAGAAAACTAAATGTAAAAGTGAATATGCATGTTGACATACACAGATTTGCATTTGTAGCCAAAATACTTAAATAAAACGTTAAAATAGCCTCGCTTCTACCATGTTCTGTAAAGCTGCAAAGGTACGGATGCATAGAATTCATGCCCAGTTGGTTTATTCTGAGAAATACCCGGTAACAAACTCAAGAGTGTTACTGTCCCCGTCTCGTCACTCTCAAACAAATACATTGAAATGAACAGATCAAGGGAAATGCTGACAGAAAACTGGCATTGGGACAGAGCGAGTATCCATGAAAGTGGGTCATTTTCAGCGGGCCGCATGAGAGCACAGGACCGCCGTCTGAGAGGATTCATCTGTTACAGGCCCTTATTGAAATACACAACTACAGGAGATTCCAGCCACCCACAGATCAAAGATGAATAGTTCTATTGTGACTCAAGACAAGCAACATAACAGCTACAGGGAATGACCACAGCTAAACCCCTACTGTGCTAAGGTATACTACAAAATAATTTCCTTATATAAAATGATACTTTTCTTTATTGCTTATACAATATAAAAATATGTCTAGTTACTTTTTTGTGAGGCTAATTTTTTTTCTATTCTCAAAATGGGTTTTTTCAAATTGGAGCAGGAAAATGTTATTTAAATGTAAAGACAGTAAGGTTTAGTTCTCTCACCAGTGGCCAAAAGTTGGATTTATGTTCCAAAAGACTTTCTTTTATAAATTTAACTGTAGTGAAGGAACAAAAGAAAATAAATAAAGTATTCAGATTTACTGTACCCTCCAACTCCAATTACCGACAAGGTGTGTGATATTTGAGAGGGTTTTGGGAGAGTCATGTTTGTATTTCAATTTCATTTGCTGTTTGTCATCCCTGAAATAATTTGACAGGTAGATTTAAGGTCCTTTGGTTATTAAAGCCCCACTTAAAAGCCTGCATTACGTTTGACAAATACCTGGGCCTGTTGGAACAGAAACAAGTGAAATAGTTGTAACCACACACTGCTTTTCTTGGCCTTTCTTCACAAGGACAAAAATGTCAAGTTGCTCGTATTATTAGAGGAAAAAAAAAAAAATGACCTAAAGACTTTTAAAAGGAGTTAAAAAATCTGCTGACAGCGTGAAACACCTTGTTCAACATTCCTATGCTCATGAGCTCCATGTAGAAACACTAATACTGTAAGACACTAGATAAATGTGTCATGTTACGTAGCTACACAACCCTTTGGAATCAGACACATAACGTGACAGAAGATACAAACTGATTTTGACTCTTTACGTTGCTCGGACTCCTGGGAGCACATTCCTGTCATTTAACCCAACTACACTGGTGAAAGGCAAGAATGCACTGGGGTGACTAGTTACAAGCTCCAACACAAACCCTGTAATCTGAACACTCCTGTCACTAGAGATAATAACACAGGTAGTGGTAAAGGAAGAAGGGGGGCAGGGGGGTAGCACTGAGAGACCCCTCTAAAGACAGCTCACTGTTTCCTGCTGTTTGGGATTTTGATGAACAAAATAAATATTCCCTCCAGTTTTCAATTTATATAGCTAAACTGACTACTATACCACTGTCATGCATCAGGGTATTTGTGTTACTTAATTTGTTGACCGAGAATCAATCAATAGCAGTTGGGAAAGGACACTTTCAGCCATGATGAAAGCAGTTTTTCTTTTTTTGCAATAGCATTATGCAAAGATATGGCAATAACTGTATCACAAAGCCAAATGCTAGCCAGGATTATTCAAAAACGTATCTGATGAAATTACAACAGCAAGAAAATCCAAATAGATAAATAATATTGGTCCAAATTAAACCGAGATTGCTAATGTTATTACTTTCCACCAGCTATCACTACATTAGAAGCAACAATAACAACCCAAACCACCCAATAAGTTGAATTTGCTGCAGGACAGTGGCAAATGGTGGTGCTGTAGATGACGCGTGTGAACCCATCAAGTGAGGCCCAGGTGGTTGTGTGTTATGGGCATTGTTGTTGTTGTCTGAAGATCTGCCTTCAGAAGGATGCCAACACACACATCAGGCCGAGTAATGACTGACGGTAAAGAGGGAGCGAGATCTAGCAAGACGGAGGCAACCATTGATTGGTAAAGGTGGTGTGGGAAGATTGAATACACAGGTAGATAGTTATGCCATCTGATGCTTTTTTGTAAATATTGCAAGGATAAACAGTACAGTTGGTTTTGTGACAGATAATGGGGTAAAAAGGAATGAGAGAGTTAGAACCCCTGTTTCAATTCAAAACTGACTAGGGTGTGATCTGATCTACTGTGAGCAGCCAAGCAAGCTCCGTCCCAATGTGACAAAGACTCGGGAGGTAAATGTAGACAGCCGTTTTCTCCTGTTTGCTTAAATCAAACAGTTTTCTCTTCGCTGCGAAACTTATTAGCTTAAAAGATCCTAATACTTTTCAGAACGGCACTTTCTGTTACTTTATTGTGGCTACTACCTTATTTGCTAAACAACCTTATTCATCATCCTTGTCAGAGTTTGCTATGAGTCTATGTACGGTGGTACTGCTACGGTTTCTTTATATTCAGGTTTTCAAAAGATGAGCCCTGACTGTGCGTTACATTCTTTGCAATAAACCTGCAGGCGGTGCTTTCGGGGCCTGTTGTCGAGCAGCAGCTGGTGTTGTTTGGCCTGGTGGCACCTTTGTCCCTGGCAGTGTTTTCTCTGGGGCACGACTG